GGCGGGTTGGTAGGGGTTTGGGAATTAGGGTTAGGATATAATATTTAAATATGTGGTGAGGAGGAGTTCTTGGGTTGGTCGGTTTGAAATTTATGCTGGCTGTGCTAGACCGGGCAGGCCCAAGTTACACCTCCACATCTTATTTAAATAGAAAAAAAGAATTTATTTTTTAAAATATTATTTAAATTAATTTTATAATTAATTGATAATTATTATTTATTTTTTTTTTTTAATATCAATTTTTATCAATGCTTCATTGCTTCCATATAATTATTATTATTTTTTTCTACCAACGGGTCAGTCGCCTAACGGTATCAGCCTCTTACTTCTCAAAAGAAAGTGATGGATTCAAGTTTCAGAAGAGATAAGTGTGTGGAAGTACTAATTAGGAAAAAAAAAAAAAAATTATTATTTTTTCTTAAATTTGGATTGAGAATGTTGAGTGACTTCAGCCTCTTATACTCCCTTGATTAAAAGTAAAATATGAAAATCATTTACTGTTCCATTTATTGATTGAAAAATAAAGGAAAAGGCAAAAATAATAATAATAAATCTAAATATATTAAAATTAAGGTCTAAGTTAGTCTAACTAGTTTTCCTGCTATTCTAATTACCATTACACAAATTATAACACAAAAAATATAAGTTACATATACATGCGTCAACTTATAAGAGATTGAATCAAATCGTTAAATGTATCCAATCAACCATCTTCGACTAAGCATATTAGATTAAACTCCCGTATTAAAAACATTTTCCAATTTTAAATCCAATGACGAAAACTCAAAATATAGCTCAAAATATGCAAGTAATCAAAACAAAAGCTAATTAAACAATGTCCTATCACACCAGGTTATGAGGATGTATCAATTCACAAATCACAAAGGAATCCAAGTTCATTTTCAGAATCTAAATCTTATACTAAATGCATTAAACTTTTCACAACACACCAACCATCATTTGACTTGTCATTGGAATTATTATTATTTATTTTTTTCCCTAAATGTCATTGGAATTATTTAATTTGTTTAAAACAGAAGAAGAGCAAAATTAAAAGAGATATGTACTTATATTCATGTAACCAAATATAAATATTAAATAATGAAAAATTAACAGATACCATCCATAAATTCCTCCCAAATTCATGGACCTGAAGTCATAATTGATCACACAATTCAAACACACTTGTAGATCATTCTATTTACATTCATTTATATCTATTTTTTTATTTTTTTTTATTTTTCTAAGTTTGTTGAATTTTCTCTTACCATTATTCTTAGTATAGTAGTCCTAAATTTCTTCAGCACATACATATCTATATATATATATATATAATTATATCAATTGAAAACTCTCCTTTGACTTGGTGGAAATTCCAAATTCTCTATATAGAAAATAAGAATCAAGACTTTTCTTTTTATATAGGTAGAAAATTGCTTGGACGACTTGTGAAGTTGACAAAAATGATTTAAATAAATAAAGGTTAAAAATTCATGCCTAATAAGCTATGCCAAATACATTCTAAATGTCTGATCAGTTTGGTCATGGCGATAATAATAATCTACCATTTTTTTTCCAAATCAAATTTGACTTGACCCTACATAGTCAAATCATTCATGTGCTCTGCCAAACACACCTTATTAAAGTCGTTAATTAGTGATTAGATAGATGTCACATTGTTACAAGTTGCATTTCTCCTTCATTATTTTTAATTTAATAATTAATTTGGGTTTCTCACTGTTTGTAATTTTATTCATTTATTTATGTCCCCAATTTGATCGGGTGATTCAATAGTATCTAAAACATATAGTATTTAACTATTTTTTTCATAATTTTTTTTATCAATAAATAGGTTTACAAATTTATAAAATTACAAAAAAGAGTTAACAAGTTCTTGATTACAAGTTATTTGAACTCAAACTAATTTACGCAGTAGTAAACAAGCTTATAATTGATATTTAAATCCGGTATTATTATTTAAAGAACACATAAGTTAATTTTTTTTTTTTTAACATGTTGACACTCTTACAAGAGAGAGTAATTAGAAATAATTTTAAAAAATTAAATTGATGATGATATTACATTAAAAAAAATTAGGTTATTTGAATTTTAGATAATTACATCCAAAACCTTAGGGCCGGTTTGGTTTGTAATTCTGAAAATAGTTTTCCAAAATTTAGAAAATAGTTTTCAAATAATTGTTTGGTTTGTAACTCTGAAAACAGTTGTCAATAACTCAGAGAATATAAAACAGTTTTTAGATAATAATAATAAAAGACAGTTCTCTTTAAATAGACCTTTTATAACTAAGTTTTCAAAAAATTGTACTGAACAGATTTTTTTGTACAGTTTTCTATTTTTAGTTTTCTGTTCAGAAAATTGTTCTTAGAGTTACAAACCAAGCAAGGCCAAAAACTGTACACAAAATTCTGCTGGGTTCAATTTTCTGAAAACTGTTTTATGATAACTAAGTTATAAAAAAGCCTGTTTTCATATAACTGTTTTTTATAGTTCTCTGAAAACAGTTTTCTATTCACTGAATTTTTAAGAACTGTTTTTAAAGTTACAAACCAAGCTTTCTGAATTATTGAGAACTGTTTTTATAATTACAAACCAAACAAGCCTGAACTATTTTATGAGAGCTATAAAAAAACAGTTCCATGAAAAACATGTCTAAAACTGAACAAAGCTGGAATATTTTTTTATACTTTTTTATCGAAAACTGTTTTCAAAATTACAAGTCAAACATACCCTTATTTTCCTACCAAATCTTAATGAGAAAAACCTAAATCTAATTACTTCATTAATCTAATTACTTATTTTGGAATTTTTTTTATATTATTTTCGACTTTTATTTGTCCACATATACAATTGTTAAATATCAATTATTTGTAGCATATGCAAATCCGATTTTCAAGCCTTTCTTTTCAGAATCTTTCCTCTAATTGCAGTAGAAATGACATCAATTGATAAACAGTTTAGAAAACAACCCTTCAATGTCATATCTTTGACAATAATCAGCAAACAGGTTAACAAACAAAAAAAAAAAATGGGTACGAGTGCAAAAAAATATCTCTTTCGGTGCCATTCTGAAGCTTCCTTTGTGTCCTTTCATGTTTTGTTTCTTTTTCTTCAAATACCCTGCTGTGCAAGGTGTGTATCTACCACTCACCATTTAAGAAGTTACCATAGAAACGATGGAGCCACTATTTCTTTATTCATTTATATTTACTATTTTTTTTATACAATTTATTATTTCTAGGTATTGGATGTTTTTTTTTTCCCTTCTTTCTTCAACTCCTGACAAATAACATACTACTCTAACTTTATTCCTATGAAAACTTACTCTAACTTTATTCCTATGAAAACTTGCACCGTCAACCTTTCACCTTCAAAGTTAGAAAACCACACACACTTGAGTAAGGAAAATTTTTTCTAACACCACCGATCTAGTTTTGTATTGATGACTTTGAGTTTTAACTTTCAAAACCTAAGTCAAAGTTTCGAAACTGATAAAAAATAAATAAATAAATAAAGATTATGACACCCTAAAAAATAACTAATTCTTTCTACTTCAATCCACGTGAGTGCATCGAACTTTTCTAAAATACGAATATGATTTTTCTTTTCGAATTCGAACTAATTCATAAACGTTAACTCAAATACAAACTAAGAAACACAAAACAAAAGAGATTATTTACACTCAATAAATCATTGCTTGGCAAAACAAGGTTAGACAAAAATATAAATATATTAAGAGACTTTCGGGAAGTTTAATGTTTTACCATCTAATGCTTCAATGTAGGATTTGCTGGAGAACGGTATATACAAACACAAAATGGACCAAAAGAATGTCCATCACTCATCAGATACTCAGACTTGTCACAAGTATGTATCAAGTCCAGTATTCATTACAATCAACACATATTTCAGCAATACATAGCACTGTATACACCAAATTAATAAACAAATGAGACCATCTGAAACATCCAAAAAGAAGAAGAAATAAACACAATACAAATAACATGAAATAAAATTCATGTAGCAGACCTCAAATTCAAAAAGATTGAGTTGAAAACACATAACATGCAAAACATGATTGGATGTCCATAGGATACTCACTACTTTAAATCGACTTATATTATTAGACAACACCATTCAAGACAGTTCAACAAACTTCTCCCTACTATGTGGCAAACTATTTTTAACGGCTAAATGCCAGGTATTAAAAACCTTTGTCCAATCTTCAACAAAATCTAACGGGCATAGCCCAATGCAAGAGGCTTCTATCACTATAAGGTTTGGAAAGAGTCAGATGCACACAGCCTTACGTTTATGCAAACAGACTATTTCCAATTTCAAACCCATGACCTCCAGATCACAATGGAGCAACCTAACCATTGCGCCAACGCCCAACCTCATCTTCAACAAAACCTGTCCTGGCCATTCATGAAGCTCACATGAAATCATCATGTCTTGCCATTATGCTCTATATAGGTACACAAACACAAGTTATGCCAATGCTCATGCACGTTTCAATTTTTATAATTTTCTATTGGATCTGAAAAGAAGATAAACAGAACTGGACAACAAAATAAAATGTTACAAATCCGATTTTTGGCCACCCAGGATTCGAGAGCCTAATACAACTAATGGGCTCTTTGATTATTATTTACTTTCCAAACAATTAACACGTGATAAGAACACAACTCTTTCCTCCACTTTCTGAGCAACCAAAATTTGATAAGGTTCCGTTGGTTGGAAGTAAAACATTTCTTATCCAAGGATGTAATTATATATTAAACTATACTGCGTACTGGAATTGTAATGATGCATGTACTTTTCACACTAAAACAGTTCAGAAAACAACTCTTCAATGTCATATCTTTGACAAGAATCGCCATATAGGCTAACACAAAAAAAAAAAAAAAAAAAGAAGTTATGATGGTGACTGGAACCATCAAAGCCCTATATATGAAAATAAAGTAGAATGCACAATAAAAAATTGAAGAATAGCTGTTGTTCTGTAGTTGAGACTAGATGACTGAGTTCATAAGAGGAGAGGAGTTCACATGGTTACTATTAGTTTCTTTTTTAGCCTATAGTTTTCATTCAACTGAATTCAGATCCCAATAGCAAAACTACATCATGAAACCATAATTCTCACCCTAAAAAGGCAAAATCAAATGAGTTCAACCAGATCCAGAAAAGGAAATATTATCTACAAACAACTCTTGCATCATGAAAGGGAAAAAGAAAAGCACATTTCATATGTTCATATCGCTTGAGATAGTAGCTACCCCAGTTGCAAGCTGTACATCTCATCCTTCTGGCAAGCACTTCACGTCATCCAACCCTACTTCTGGAAATCATTTTATATGCAAGATATAAAGCCAATGATTAAAAAGGTGAGGAGGAGGGGTTGGAAGGGGTAAAAACCAGATAGGCTGTGACATCAAACTAGTATAGAGCGTCAAAGATGTTACCACCAAACGATTTGAGTTGCCTATTGCTGAGTGGTATCCGTTGAAACATCAAAACCAGGAGGGACAAAAACAACATCGTGCCACTTTGATGTAGTATTATCCTGAAATGTTATTATTTATATCATTTGTATCATATATCTCAGGATAAAGAGTAATCAATTGATGAAAATACAGGAAAGAAAATTGATTCAGAATAGGACAGACAGTTATACAAGTACAAATCTCTCAAATTAGGATTAAATGGCATTACATTTAAATTTCTCACCTTCATTCCTTGTATTATATCCTCAAGAACAGCAACCTATGCAATAGAAGCAAAATTGGATGTCATGGAATAGAAGAATCCCCAACAAAGGAACATCAGCTACCTGCTGCTTCTTTTTTTTCTTTTTCCATTTTTTTTTTCCCCGTGATACAACATCAAAAGCCATACCTGTATATCTCCCTCTCTAAAGACAGGATTCAATTGTTTCTGCTGGCGGGAAGCTCTTAAAAGCGAATTTTCAAGGTCCTCCTACAAAGATCACTGGGATGAGAAGGAAGGAATATAATCCTGATATAAAGTATTATGATTAGAATACCGCAAGTCTAGATAGCTTCTTTTTTCCCCTTTAGGTAAAATTTTAACAAACCTTCCTGAAAAAAACTGGACGATATCTCTTGTTTTGGCTCCTCAATATCAAGCTCCTTGACTACAATACAAGAGATTTAAGATCGGTTCAGACCATTAGCCTAGAGCCATTAGGGAAATGCAATAAGATAAAGATACTATTATATCCTGAAACCAATTATTAAAAACAATAACTGGACACATTTTACAAGAATATATTACCATATTGTTTTATTCATACCATGAACAGGCTTCTTGACTCAACAGTATGTTTTATTGTTTCTCTCTAGACTGTGTTGAAGTGCACTTGTCTTATACTCTAATTTATACCCTTTATATTGTTCTTGACTTCTTTCCACATATTATATAAGCTGCATGCTACAATCACATGGGCCATGTGAAACCAAAAGCCTTTCAAATTCAAATCAGATTGCTCTGGTCTCAGACTTTCGGTTTTTCCCTTCTATTTGTTATTCTCTCTCTAGGCAGATGACCACAAACAATTTCAGTTTGTCATGCAGCAGTACGCCGGTCAATACAATGTTTTTTCGGTTAAGTGTGATATTGAGTCTCATTATCAGATTGGAAGTCAAAAGTCATTTCGCTTTGACCGTTGGATGATACGAAAAATTATGATCACCATTAAGTGATTAAACCCATCACCACCATCAGACCCGTCTCTACATACTACTGTCTGTCATGCACGCCTTCACCATACATCAACAATCACTCACATCGCCATTCACTACCATTGTTATTGTCACCATGGCACCGATATCATTGCTCACATTAGTTGAAAGCTTTGTCGATTTTTTTATTTTCTACAGTAAATCATAACCAGGTCCTAAAGCATACTTTTTAAAATTTGGGTATCTCGTAGCAATTAATTGTTCGAATACCCTCATTTCTACTATCTACATTTTCATGCGTTCTATCTCAGACCTACTGATCATAAAACCTTGTTGTTTCAAAAATTAGTTTTAACTTATTAATTGTTCCAACTCCACTCGTTAATCCTTAATACCAACTACTTAGAGTTGGCTACATGAATTCACCTTCTCTAGCCTGCTTATGTGAAGCCATAATCTCGATCAAGTAACCATGCTTTTTTTTTTACAACCTCAATCGCGCTCTTTTTCCCCTTTCTTTTGTCCTTGGGGGCACCTACAACCTAGATCAAATCGCTCCTCTGTGCCGGATTATCTGATCCATGTGGCACACCGCTAGAGCATCTTTGGTGATGTTCCCTCTAGTTAATGGATGCCGCTACTAACAACCTACAAAAGCGTTCATTTTTATTAAGTCCTTTCCAGTTTTGCTACTCATTCATTTTAACATTCTCATTTTGCCACCCTTGTTTTCAGGTTGAGAAAACAAAAGAAATGAAAGTTCGGAGTGGTTGTGATTTGAACTGTAAACACTGCTTAGAAGAAGAAAAAGAAGATAATATCGAAGAATTTTAATGAAGCAGCAGGATTAGGGTTTAATAGAAAATAGATTAAAAGATTATTTCAAAACGAGAACTAGAACTTGTCAACATTGTTGTGATTATTTGAAAAGTGGTTTCATTTAAAGACAGCAGAAACGGTTTCACTTTAAAAAATTAGAAGAGCAAAGGTTGAAGAATAATAAAAGAAGAGAGCTAAGAATAATGAGCAGAAGATATGAGAAAGAAACAAGGAAATCGGAACCTTTCAAACCCTGATATTAAGTAACTTCTCAACTCAATATTAAGTAACTCCAAAAAAGATTATGGCAATCCTTTGTATGGACATTAAACCCTAATAATGAATCTTATCTCTCAAATCAAACCAATCATTAACTAACCAAATAGTTCAGTGCTTTAGAAGCACGACAGTAACTCACTTCAGTGATGTACACTATTTTATATAATTTAAATATAAAAATATGATAAATGAAGGTTAAAAAATATAACCCAAGATAAACAACTAAATGATCTTAAAAGTACGATGAACACTTTTTTTCAAGAACCGAAATAATTTCATCAAGCCCCTAATATATTTGGTTTTACAACCGAAAAAGAACCTAATTACATAAACCCAGCCCTTTCCCCTTCCTATAAGCCATTTCCTTCTCTTTAATTATTTGCAAAGAAAATTCAATTATGGAGAAAAACAACAGATTAACGGTGGCGAATAAGTCTTGAGATTCACCTCAAGGAAAGCCCAAGGTGAATGCCGATAGGTTTAAGCATCCGAAGGCTTTGGCAAAATGGTGCAAGGTTAGACACCTTACGTTTTGAGACTTCTATCATGATTAGGCACACAACTCATTTTATTAATAAAGCTGACTTTCTCCGGATATTAAAAACATTATTTTTTAGTCTTATGTTACTTTGCAAAACCAACCATTGATTCATTGCTTATTTGAATGTAGGACCACTAAAATCATTACATTTCTCATATTTCCAGATAAAAGCTTTTTTTTCATTTTTTCCTTTAGATGGATCCCAATTCCCAGGACAAGAAGCGTTATGTTTCTCAAAATCCATTTGGTATCTTTATGATTATTCTTCTCTATGGCATTGTCTTCTAGTGTTTCTATTCACTTTCTTAAAGGATGTTCATCAGTAATCCTATTTTCTTTTACACAAAATTTAGTATCCTCTCTATCAAGAAAAAAAGTATTCTTTCATTTTGAACAGTAAGACATTAACCCCTAAAATTTACCCCTTTTCTTTCATTTGCCATTGTTACACCACATCAGTATGCTACAACCTTTACTGAATTTTAAAAATTATCTTAAAACAATGTATTATGCATATAGTCTAATATAACGAGTATTGGATACATTCATGCAATTTCACAAGATAACACAAGTAACAAAGGCACAAATGAACTGCTAAGATAAGAGAACCTGGAAAACTGGGACTCCAAAGAAGCTCTCATCAGAAAGACCAGCCTTTTGCCTTTCCTACAGAAGAAAAAAAAAATGACAAAAATCATTATAACACGATATAAATCTGGTGTAAAAAGTAACAGATGGGGATTTAGTAATATGTTGTCTGCAAATTGAACAGACATATTTTTTGGCTAGAGAATAATCCTTAAACAGACAATCACTTATCCAAAAATAATAATCCTAGACAGATAATTACATAATCCGAAAATAGTATCATTGTGAAATTATGACAACTGCATCATATCATGTTATCTTTTTGTTATTTAAACAAAGTGCTAAACAGTGAAGAATATTTAATACACCTGTTTATGTTGCCATTACTCACCCTAAGAGCATTCTTGATTTGGGACGTCTCTGGTATCAACCTAAAAGCCACCCCATCAAGTTTAAGCTGGAAAACCTGTAACACCAATCACCTATTAGATTCCACAATCCTTTTTTCAACTACTACTTACTAAACAATCAAATAAATTAATAAAGAACCAATCTTCCCATGTAACCCAGACTATATTAGTATATTTCCATTCACATCATCTCAAAAATTATAATAATAATAAATAAATAAAAATAAATAAATTCCATGGATCAACTAATTTGGGTATAATTCAAATTGTATATAAATATATAAACCTTGTTCAGAGCTACAGCAACCACTTTTGAGCCTTGGCGCATTCCGGGGTCCATGGATTTCATCTGTTCAAGAAGTGCCTCAGCATCCTCTTCCTTGAAACAGAACAACCCGAGAGATTTCCCAGTGTTTACTCCCGAAATTAATACGAATTCCTGCGAAGAATTGCTGAGAGCGTACACGGGCACGCCGGCCAACCGCTCTTCAATAGCCTCCGTTGACAAGGCACCTCCACAGGCAGGTCCAGCCCCATTTCTTTCAGCAATACGACCCCATACTGGGTTTCTGCCAGAAGAACCAGACCCGAAGCTGACCCGGAAGCTCGAAAACCCTGATTCGATTGCTTGTTTTGCGTGGTGTTGGAGATTTGAGAGGGTGGATTCGAGATGGGTTTTGAGAGAATAGGGATTGGATTTGGGGCTGAAGAGAGGGATGTTGAAGAGTGTGTGGTGGTGGTGGTGGTGGTTTTGGAGAGAACTATAGCAGTGGTTTTGGAAGTCTGTTATGGCTTGTTGAAGGTTGAATTGGGGGAATTTGGGTTGTGGTGAAGATGATTCACGCTGTTTGGACTTCAGGAAATTCATAATTTTCTCGGGAAAATAGGGGTTTAGGGGGGTTTGGAGAGTGATGAGAGAGAGTGTGACTTTGTTGGGGGTATCTTTGAAAAGATGAGATAAAAAAAGAGGGAAAGAATAAAAGGGAAATGCTAGGTTTTCAGGTAAAAGGCCCAACAGGCCGGCACGTATTGACAGGCCAAATTTTGGGCCTGCATTTAAAGGCACCACTAATTTTCTCCTGTTAGCCCAAATAGTTCAGCCCGCTAGCACAAAAGTGACCAAACAAGAAAAGTGTTGATGAGGCCTAAATGAACCAAACAAGTATAAACTATAAAGTTCATTTATCTGTTTAATAAACAACTCCGGATCAACAAAGGTTGTAGTTTAATAGTATTTTTCTATTTTTTAATGTAAAAAATTAAGAGTACAAGTTCCGTTATGAATAAATTGGATGTGAATGTGTGTTTCTTGTCTAGGTAAAAATATATATATATTGAAGAGCAATATGTTATAAACTCAACTTAAATGAGTGTGTAAACATGTGTTGAATGATTTTGGGACTCATATGGGGTTATGATCGAAAATCCGCATGATTATGGTAACAAAATGGAAAAAGGTCGCAATTTTCCATTTTATCCTTATAAATTACTGTACAATTTTGTGCTTATACTTTATTATTTTATATTCAATAAGATCAGGTATATATTAAGCAAGTCTTAATTTATTCCATGAATTCTTTTGATATTCTTAATTTCTTATAATAATATTAAGTTTCAAGTTCCAATTGAGAAATTGAATCTTGTTTTATCCACGTAAAAGAAATAGAATTATTATCATGATTGAAAATTTGTTTCATTAGATTCGTAATATATTTACAAAAGTACTCTACTAAATTCATCTCATATCACTTTGTCCCCGTCCAGTTTAATAAATAGATTTTGAACAAGAATAAGATAGCCATACTAAAAATAAAAAAAAAATAAATAAATATAACTTTCCAGCCCTATCATTCATGGACTTGGATAAACAGTAAAATATTGACCGCCAAAATAATACAAAGAGAGGTTTTTTCGTTAAAGAATAATACAAAAAGAGTTGATTTTTTTTTTAACAAGGTTGATTTGTTGTATATACATGATTTCACGTCAATTTTTTTATTAATAAAAAAACCTTCACATCAATTTTTTGATAAATAAAAAAAACATTAACACCGTGCAGGAATTGGTTTCACACTTGAGTGTGTGCGTAACGTATCCAATTGAGAATCACGTGACGAGCATACAAGACGACAAAAGTCTTCAAATGGACCCCACCTTGACCATTAGCAATTACTATGACAGTTGCTGATGTTTTGTCCGATTTAAAGGTAGGTGTGTTTTTCAGAAATAATCCAATGCATCATGAAGCACCGTAAAAGGAAAGTCGGTGGATAAATTTGAGGGACTATATGTAATTCGAGTTTGTTTTGATTCACATCCAGCTGGGACCGTTTGATTCTTAATTTTGTCCCCACATCAATTTAAAGTGTAGGATAAGGTTTCATCATGACGGGATATGATACTGCGTTCTCATCGAGAAATACGGAGTATATGAATTTTTTTTTTTTTTTTTAATGGGTTGGATAATTATATATACAATCTCGACTATTATGATACATTTAAAAATATATATATCATAATTTGACACACAAATAAATATATGGGCGAGTTACAAAAAATTCTCCTCGATTTTCACCTATTTGCAGAAAATCTCCTTTATAAATATCTTTAATAATTAACCCCCATTAACTATTATAAGGGAGTCATTTTAACTAATTTTTAGAGTAATTGTGTGATAAAATTTTCTGACGAAATTATCTTAAAATCAAAACAATTCACCACTCACTTTTTTTTTTATTTTTTTAACCGCATAAAACACTAAAACAATGTCTCTTATTATAAAACGAGGCCTTTGATTTTTTCTTTCCAAATTGTTCTTGCATTTGGAATATATATAGTAATATGGTAGTTATTTATCAAATATCAATTTAAATTGATTTTGGTGAAAAAAAAATAAAAAATAATTTGTACCATTATTTTTATAAAATTTAAAAGTAGAAATTTATAAGATTCTCAAAAATTATGGATATAGCATACCCAAAAAAAATCCAGTGGCGTCCACCATTATATCAAAACAAAACCCACCTCCACCAGCAAAAACATATTTCACACTTGTTTTTTATTTTTTATTTTTTTATAGTCAAAGGATATTTCACTTAAATAATAAAAATATTTGTTTAGACTATCTTTAATTATTTATTTATTCTGTAGAAAAAGCATTATGACATAAAATTTGATTTATTTCAACATCATAAATATTAATCCCAATACTTTTTAATTAAATTGTGATATGCTACACACACACATCTATATATATAAATGAAAAAAGCCACTTCCTCCTAATTATGAGATAATTTTGCCACATAGTTTGATAAATTTCTACTTTTAAATTTTATACAAAATTATGGTACTGATATTTTTGGAACTCTCGTATATATCTTTTTCTTTATCTTATTTTATAAAAAATCATGGTACAAGTTTTTTTTTTTTTTTTTTTTTCTTTCACCAAAATCAATTTAAGTTGACAATTGATAAATAACTACCATATTACTATATATATTCCAAATTCAAGAACATTTAAAAAAAAAAAAAATCAAAGGCCTTGTTTCAAAATCAGAGGCCTTGTTTTAGTGTTTTATGCCGTTAAAAAAAATAATAAAAAAAAGTGAGTGGTGGATACTTTAGTAATACTAATATATTGTTTTGATTTTAAGGGTAATTTCATTCGAAAATTTTATCACACAATCGTTCAAACAGATGTTTCGTATTAAGGGTAATTTTGTCCGAAATTTTTTCTCACACAATCACTCTAACAGATGTTAGTTAAAATGACTCCCTCATGATAGTTGAGGGGGATTAATTGCTAAAGATATTTATAAGGGGGATTTTTTGCAAACGGACGAAAGCTAAGAGGGGTTTTTTGCAATTTGCCCTAAATATATTAATTTTATTTATCTATCATATTGGGATTGTTTAATTTTTAAAATTATAATAATAAGACTATTGAGAGACTTTAATAGTAATTAACTATTAATTACGGCATTGATTTTTTTTTCCCTTAAATATGAAAAAAAAAAAGACAAATAAATTATAAGTAGTGATATTTGCAACAATGAGTTGCAATAAATTATCAAATTCAATGTTATTTTTATGCACAATACAAGGAAGTAGAGGGCTCATTCCCTTATTTATTGTATAGACGGTCCAATTAAAATAAGTATGTCCGACAATGCACTATAACAAATCGGTGCAAGAATTATTTTTTATAAATTTTTTAATAATTTTTTTAATTAAGTGATCAATAAAGAGAACTGAAAGAACTCTTATGATGGCTTTGTAAAATCATTGCAATTTGCCCATTACGCATCTAAGAGCAAAATTAAACCTTTTGAACAAAATTACTCTCAAGTTTAACAAAAATTTGCACCTTTTAAATACAAAACTTTGCACGTTATTGGCGAGAACATGGGTAATAAGCAAATTTCATACTAACTTGAGAGACATTCGTGCAATTAATTCAAAAGGATCAAGAGATTGTCGAAGAAACCAAGACTTGTTTGGTTTGTAACTATAGAAATAGTTTTCTGTTCTCGGAAAATTGAAAAAATAAAAAATAAAATAAAACTGTACAAAAAATTCTGTTTAGCTTAGTTTTCTGAATATTGTTTTATGAAAAAATCAGTTATTCTGAAAATTGTTCTCTATTTTCTGAGTTTATGATAACTATTTTTAGAATTACAAACCAAACATGTCCTCAAATTTTTTTTTTTCCTCCATAAATTCTTAATATGTTACTACGATGGATGTGTTGTATTACAAAACTCTTTGGTATTTTAGGGTAATAAGCGAATTTCTCTAATATTCAAGGGGTTTAATGAAATTAGCCTAAACATAATTCAAAAGGAAATATGTTACTATGAGTTTCAAAATTTAAGAAGAACAAAGCTATTTCGTGATAAACTTACTATTTTAGACACATGCATTTCAATTATAATTATAATAATAACTACTAACTTAATTAGCAAAGAAAAACAATAAAGGGTGATAAATGGTGATAAGAGTCCTTGTTAAACTTTATTTTTTGAGATGAGTACAAAAATTGATTGATTTTTGTAACATTACTTGAACAGTTTACTGTGTAATGACCAGCAATTTGTTAATAGGGTTTTTCTAGGCAATTATTAATTTCATAAAAATCACCTGCAATTTGTTCAAATGTCATGGTGAAATTTGCTGTTGAACTTGTTACTTTTAATTTTTTATGAATTTAAAAAAATCCAATTTCATATAAAAATTCAGGTAATTCAATTAATTTTCATTGATTCAACCAGTTATATAAATAATCCAATAATAATTTGTGGTTTCTATTAAACATTTAATTTGGCCAAAATTCCAAATTTAGGAATATCAGATGATGATGATATTTTCAAAACCTAATTCCAAAAACGGAGAAATAAGTGTGAGCCTTCTCTTCTCCACATTAGTAGTTATAGGAAAAACGACTTTTTAACCAACGAGACTGAGCTAGTGAGGAAAGAACAATCACTCGAGTCTCTTTTATCATTTTTGGAGTGCTTTTCGGTCTCATAAACATAGCACTAAATTAACAGGGGAAGTAATTGAATATATACGGGCTTAAAGTATTTTCAATGGTTGTCTATATATTTAATTTTTTTTATATATATAAATATAATGTGTGATAGTAGATTTAGATAAAAGAATTTGGACTAATTATTTTCAAATTTATCCATTATTTTATATCTCTTGTATACAAATATGTTTGTCAATAACAACTAGGGATGGCAACGGGGCGGGTTTGGAGCGGGTTTCCCTAAATCCCGCCTCGCCCCTTTTAATTTTTGTCAAGTCCATGCCCGCCCCGAGACCCGCGACGGGTTAGATTTTTATATCCAACTCCGCCCCGTTAGGAAATACTGTGCCCCCGTGCCCGTACCACTAACAAATTTTTTTTCTCACTTTTTGGAACTTAAACTCCTGTTATTTAAATGTGCAAAGCCTAGGAATGACACAACATAAATAAAATTATGTATCCTAATAAAAATAAAAAAAATAACATGCACATAACATAATTCAGAGAATATAATAAACAAAAATAAAAGTTTAATACAACCAAATCACAAGAAGTTCTAAGCTCCAACTTCCACCATAACCAAAACAAAAGCAAATTTAATACTAAGTTTACATCCCAAATTAGGATTGTAAGAGATGCATAATTGGGTAAGCCGCTAAAATAACTTATTAATATATATATATATATATATATATATATATATATTAAATATAGTTATATGCGGGGCGGGGTGGGGCGGGGCCCCTAAGATATGTATATTGAACCCTTACTCGCCTCGTGACCCTCGACGGGTACAAAATTTGTATCCATGTCCGCCCCAACGGTATAACAAGTGTTCCAATATCTGTTATTAACGGGGCGGGACGAGGCGGGGCCCCGGCGGAGCGGTAAAAATTGACATCCCTAATAACAACCAACCACATATCATACCCAAAACCCACATAGTTTTTACAACCTACTTGGGGTTATGAAATAAGAAAATAGGGTGGAGAGACAAAAAAAAAATTGTTGATGAGGCTGTGTGAAAGGGTGGTACAAAATACATAATAATTAGTTTATTCTTGAAGTTAATTTTTCAATTTGGTGGAGTTAGGTAAAATAATTACACATGCATTAAAAACTATTATTAGGTCCAAAATAACCTCCAAACTCTTATTTCCAAAATTTCAAAATATTCTTCCTAAATTAAATAAATCTTTCATTCATGAAATTTAGATAGACAAAAAAAAAAAAAAAAAAAAAAAATTAGTTGACTTTCAACTTAGCATTTTTGCATATGGTATATATATATTACCAATATAAATAAAATAAAAAATAACACACACATATATTTTGTGCAAAAAACTTTAACGTATCTCCTAATTTATATCAGTTCAAACCTGCAAATGTCAATTTAGAAATATACAAATAATTTAGTAGAAATTCAATATATATAAGAAAATGATAGGGTCACCGAATGATTTATCCGAATAAGTCTAGAATCTAAACGTCCGAATAAGTCTAGAATCTAAACGTGATAAATATAGTCAATCACATTAAATTCGGTGTTAATTCGGTGATTCCTTTTCAGTTCCCCTATATAATTTTAGAGTAATAATAGCCAACGTGAAAAAGAAAATGCGAAAACTCTCCGAATTTGATTTGGCTAAGCTGTGTCAGAGTTAAAAGTTAAAAAAATAAAGAGTTTTACATGGTATAACTGAAAGAGAAAAAAAAGGAAAGAAGAGAAAAAAAGAAAATAATCACAAACAAGAAACTAAAAACCTTATTCCAGTGTTCCATAAATATAAATAAAAATTAAAGAAAATATCTTGTTTTCCTAAATTTTTTAAGTAAATAAATTATTTTTAAAAAGTATTTGATTTAAGAGAATAATTTTTAGTATTTTAAAATAAGTGTTCGGGAGGCATTTTGAATTTAAATAATAGTTATTGATGCACATATAATTATTTTACTTAATTTAAAAAATAAACTTTTAAAATAGATCATTTTGTTATTTAAGGTTCCTAATTTCATATAAGTCTCATAATTTTACACATTAATGAACTAACAATGTATCTTTATATAAAAAAAATTATATTTTTCGACATCCGTTACACAAAAGGATCACTGGAGATGCTCTTATTAATTTCGAATCATGAAGCACCCCACTGATCATGGTAAGTATTAAAGTTCATTTTAAAAAATAATTATCCCAAAAATAGTGGGTTTTGTTTGTAAGATAGGTGAGTGACCGGACAACAACCAAAACATTTGAACTTACGCTTATTGAATGAGAATTTTTTTATTTACTCTAGCCATAGGCCAGCCAAACGACATTTACACAACAAACACTATATGCGCGCGTGCACACACACGAGGAACCACAAAAACTAACAAAATAACAAATTTTAGACAAATTCAACACTAAACTACGTCACGACAATAGCCATGATAACAACCTATTGAATGACAAATCAATAGACAAATTTATTTGTTTAATCGTGTTTTTTGATAGACAAAGTTTATCTTTTTTAGACAAAACGACACTTTGAAATGTTATTGGGACTGCTATGGCGAAGACCAATAAACAGTGAAGACGCTGAAAATTTTATTGTGATCCTATTGGTCCGTAACACAATGGAATCACCACCATCACCCGATTGATTAACCACAGTAATACAATCGGCGCACATTAGTCATCGGTATGAAAATTTGTTAAATTCAATCTAATTTGACAATTTATAGTTTTAATTCCAGTCAATTTGGGTAGTCAAAGTCATCATTACACATTGGGACTTTTCAACAAAATAATATCATTAATATATATTGGAGAATTTATGATTTTCACATTAATGTATATTCTCCCAAGTTATAAGCCGTGGACAATTTCTATTTATTTAAAATATTTATTAAGGAGTGTTGCATATTTATTTATTTATATCAATTCATTTTTTATCTGGATTCAATGCGGGACAAACTCCCTCTTATAACATTTTACCCTACGTAGCACTCTCGTTGTAGCTCATGCCACCTTGCCTATCCTAGACAAAGATCCTGACATTCTCCAGACCTCACGCTTGGCGTGATACCGATTTAAGGATTCTGTCTGACTCTGATACCAACTATAACGAGTGGGTACAAATTTTTGAATAAATGTGCAAGCGTTCACTCATTACACAAATTTTCTTACAGAGTACAATTTTCCACCACTATATTAATTCCTTATTTCATAGTTTCAATATTTAATTATTGTTAATTCAATTGCATCCAAAGGAAAATAAAAATTGTAATGTGTTAAATGATTGGAATTGATTCAGGTTTTTCAATTATAAGGCATAAGGAGTTGATTCAGGTTTTTCGAGAACATTGTGAAAGCCATTTGACAATATAATAATAATAATAATTGTGTTTGTTAGGCTCGATTTATATGTCTAAATACTCGCAAGATTTATAAGAAAGTTGGAAAATTGAAGGTTTCTAAGTGCATGCATTACTGTGAATGCCTTCGGAGTCCACATGATAGGTTACTTCATGTTATTTTTAGGAGCCCGTTTGGGAGCCTTTACACTTCCCTCCCTACTAATTATTAACCTTCTTACCATTAAAAAAAATGCATGTATTATTATTATTACTTAAAAAAAAAAAAAATCTATAAATGGCTTTCATATGAATATCATATTCCCCCAAAACAATATTTCGTTTTCATTTGTACTTCATAAGTTAAATTTTATTTAGAACAAATAAAAAATCATTAATACTTTGTTCTGAACTAAATACTTTGGGAATTAGGATTTTGGGAAAAAAAATTAGATTGAATTTGAAATGATTTTTTTCTTCTTCTTTGTGTATGGAATAATTTAGAATTTAATCATAAAAGAATTATTTCTCTTATTATTTTATTTTTTGCAGTGAATTGTTAAATATACTCTTTTAATTCGTTAATTATATAACAACAAATAAAAAAATATAATCGTCTATTTAGTTATATTTAGTATAAATAATTAATTAAAAATTATTTAATTACACAATTCACTATAAGTGTTTAATATGAAATTACTACTCTACCTTTATTGATAGAAATTGTAATCTTATATTTGATGTAAAACAAAGACAAATTGGGTAAGTCAAACTTGTTAGTGAACATATAAATCACATCTGATTCTTCCAATTGAAATCTTGTGTAGCTAAGAGTTCACTGGTCTTAATTTTTCTTTTTCTTTTTCTTTTTTAAATAAAGAAAATAGCATAGACGCAAAGTACAAACGACCAAAGTACAAGCGTCCAAAGCAAGATTTCCCAGATTCTCCTGTACTCGACTGCACAGGATATAATCCAAATATGTATTATTTATTTTTCTAAATATGTTCCGGAAGGTCGCGACCGGTGTTAACGTGCGCACATGGGTTCCAGATTACTGGATAATCCGTTATCATCACTCTTAACACTATTCCGTACACTCTTTCTCTCTCTAGAGTTTTCCATATACTGACTGACTCAGTTTTCTCTCTTTGTTGTTGTGAATTTTCCTCTGTCTCTATCTCTATCTCTATCTCTATCTCTTTCTCTCTCTAAAAGTCTTCCGTACTCCCTTATTAATTTCTTCTTGATCTTTGCTTTGTCTACACTTCTCTCTCTCTATACATTGTCCCTCTCTCCCCCCCTCTCTCTAACTTTGCCTTTCCTCTGATCCGGATAGATGGATAGCCCACATCAAAAGAAGACTAGCCCATCAGGTACTTGATAGGGTTTTGATCTCCCCTTTCTTTAATTTCTGGCACATTCGCTGAAATTTTAGTATTATTATTTCTGTTTATGTTTTGTCTTCCGATTATGGAAGATTGTTAATGGCGTTTTGGATTTTAGTCTGTTCTGTTTCTCCCTACCACACAGAACTGCGTGTGTGTGTGCATATATACATATTCTTGATATATATATTTTTGATAGATATGTAGATATGTTTATGCATTTATGTCTGATTGGTCTACTTTTACTTTCTATAAATTCACTCTCTCTCTATCATTGCTTCTTTCAGAATCTTGATTTGTTTTTTTCTGGGTTTTTCAATTAGTCACTGCTTTGAATATGGAAACGTATTAATGTTTTCTTTTTTTGTATCTTAGGCCCCGAGAATCATGGGGTTTATCTATGTCACAGATGTGGGTGGCCTTTTCCCAACCCACATCCTAGTGCCAGACACAGGCGAGCCCACAAGAGGATCTGTGGAACTGTTGAAGGCTATAAGCTGACTGACTCGGAAGGACATGCACATTTGGCTGTTTCTGATGATGAACACTCCGATGAAGACAGGCATAACTCAGGTGATAATTGTTGTTTTAGGAATTTCCTTTCTTTGTTTGATTATTTCTTGAATTAACATGTGTTTATTGTTTGATGATTGGTTGTAAAGGTCCAAACATGGAGAAGAGTAGTAGTGGTAAACAGTTCACTAGTGGTGGAGTTGGTGAAAGATCAAACAGATCAGAAGATGATTTTTTCTCGGATGCTGTTGCTGATTTTTCAGATAGTGGGTCTAATTCAGGATTTGAAGGGCATTTGGAGGGTGTTAGAGAATTGGATAAGAATGTGGAAAAGATTGTGGATGGTGATCTCGACAGCAGCCAATCTCCAAAGGTCAATGCAAATGCTGGTAAGCATTTAATGAGATTAGATAATTCCTTTAAGAATGATGCTAACTACTTGTGTAATGTAATTATGGCCTATTGACGATTACTTAAAAGATATTACTTAAGTATTACCGGGGAATGTACTAGAGAAACAAAATGAAATAGAATTACCATTAGATAAATGAATTGATGGTATAAAAAGGGGGTTTAACAAAACTTCTCTAATCTGATTTATTTCCTTTAGATATTCTCTTCACTTGAGTTGTTATGAGAACTTCAACTACCAAAGCATCTCACTTGGTAATTTGAGCATGTAATTGTGGCGATCAATTTTGACTTAGTGTATGCTAATTTTTATATATTTTTTTATAAGTGACTAAGAGTTTGATATCAAATCAACAGGGAAATAGTGCAATGGTGACAATTAAATAAACTATGAGCCTATCACACAAAAATGCATTCATGGATGAGAAATTCCAATTTGGTGATTTTTGTAAGTGAATCTTTCCAAATAGGATTTACAAAGTAAATTTGATTGATGGAACAGAAGTTTGGGAATCAGTTAAGTGTGTTTGTTTGAATTTGAGTGTGGACGCAGAGTTTGATGAGCTGAAAGACGGATAGACAGATTGGAAGGAACATGCGTCAGGATACCTAAACACGGACCTTGTAAGTAGCAAAGTAAGGGTAAGGTTTACATGGTTAGGCTAATTGAAAAAATCCTTTCGATAGCGTCTACAAGGACTAGTTATTTTAGACAGGTACACTTTTCTTGAAGGTGAAGGGAAAAGACAAAAGGGGCATGAAAGATTTTTATGTATAAGATCTGAAGTTGCTTAGATAGATGGAAGATGTAGCTCTAGAAAGAGTAAAAGGAGCCAGTCCATTGCACGAGGCTCCTGCCATCGTGGGGTCTAGGGAGGGTCAAATGTATGCTAAAAACAAATTTGATGAGACTCGGAAGATTATAAAATAAGTTATCAGATTACAATTTGGTGGATATTTTTCTAAAAACACTTCTAAAAGCCTTGTATTTTGGTTACTTGTCTGAGACAACAACTATTTGAAGGTTTCAGTAGATGTGATCAGATGAATATGACATGGCTTGAAGGACAATTAATATGGTCAAATCTTCTCCTATTTATCCTATAATCAGTCCCCCCCTCCTCTTTTTCTGTGTCATCATTAGATTATAGCTTTTCACTGTATTGAGTCTGATACATTTACTTAACCACACAGAACCTGATGTGTTCAAACTAAGTTTTAATTATCATCAAAATCTTGTCAGCTGAGTAGGTGGAGTATATTGACATTAGCATTATGAAATGAACTAGTCTTCGAAAACTACCTCAAAGAGATTGAAGGGCCTCCTTTAAGCAGCTTTCTCCTTTAACCAATCTCTATCTTGGACTCCTCCTCATGGATGAACTATATTCACTTTTGATGGTTCTAGTTTTTAGAAACTCTAGTTCTAATGGTGTAGGTGTTATTTTCAGAAGATTCGATGGTAATGTGATCTATACTTTCTCCATGCTATATAATTGTTTAGATCAGCATGCTTTTGGTGAGTTTTAGATTGCTAACAGTCAAAGTTTTAAGGATATTCTTATTTCAGAATTCTCATCCATTGTTATATTCTGGTTGGTAAAGATTTAGCATCTGTTCTTGGACTCACCGTGTCAATGCTGGCTATTAGCCAAAGAGGAACTCAGGCTATGGGGCTTGTTTGTCTCTTAGAGTTGCTAAGAGCTCTTTTTCTCCATTTATTTGAAGCAACATATTGCATTAAATCATTCACTAAGTTACATGGATATGGACAAGGAGGCGAGGGACCTGAAAAAGAAGCAAAAAATTAAGAGAGAAGAGCCAAACAATAGCAATGATGGAAAAAAATGAAACAGAAGAAACTCCCAACCCCTACAGGACATTACAAAACCAACCCTAGGCACCCACTAGGTGGGTAGAACAGTAGAACCACTCACAGGGGCTCTTGTTTTCTTGATGTTAGTTTCTTCCATCTATTTACTGTTGAACTGCTTTTCTCTACTTTGTGTGCTTTTCCCTTTTCCTCTTTGCTAATAGTATTACCATTTTTCATTATAAAGGGGAAAAAAAAAAACTATGAGGTAGTTATTTGGCAAGTTATGTTGTATGATACCCGTATCTGGGCAGTGAAGATCCACTTTTAAGATAATAGTGCTCGTGAGAAGTTATAATTCCAATTAAGGAAACGAGGAGGAAAAATCATGTGCAATGCTTTGAACGTGTGGATAGAGGAGAGCTTAAAGGAATACAGGTTGAGGTAGTAAGGATGTGTTAGTTATGAGTTAACCGTGGATATGGCCTTTCATGTAGTAAATGGTTGATGAAAAGGATGTGTAGCCAACCCCAAGTATTTGGGATTTCAGGCTTTATTGATTTAAATTGAGTATTATTGATATTATACAAATGATTTTGGAATCTTGTGTCTTTTGTGGATAGCTTGAGGCTATAGTTTTTGGTTTGTCCAGTTGTTCCGGGCCGTGCTACCCTTTTGGGCGATTTTCAATGAAATTTTACTTATTAAAAAAAAAAAAAATTCAGAATCCTGTCAGGAAAAATGAATGCAAGAAAATTCTGCAATTCGTTTGTGGTGCTCAATTTAAATGCAGAAACCATTTTGAAAGAATTCGTGGAAATAACAGTAAGAAATTTATGAAACTGAATTGTTCAAGTTCAGCATTTGATTTGAACGGTGTTTCATTCATAAGATTCTTCTTTTGACCTCAATACATTGAAACTTATGATGAGGAGGGATTACCATCTGCTCGCCATTCAAACTTCTATATCTAGGAACTACCTGTTGATAGTTCTCTAAATTTTATTTCATTTTATTTATTTATTTGCTTGCTACCTCAGTTACCGAGAAATGTTCCACTGCAATCATTCTGTATAGCAAGGTTTATTACCAATAATATATATATGTGTGTGTGTGTGTGTGTGTGTGTGTGTGTATTTTTTGCAACAATTGGTACTTCACTTCACAGGATTTATACTTTCAGGCACACTCTGATATGTTTCATATTCCACATATTATCTTGAGTGATTTAAAATTAATGTTTTAGGATTCAAACTTCAAGATTTAATAAGATATAACCTATTCCTTGCTTCAATTTAGCTTCTTATTATTGACTAGTGTAATGTTTTTTGTTCAAATAGTTAAGAAATGCAAGTTTACAACTTGTGCATAACTTGCAAAGTCCATTGGTTAAAATGTTTCATTTATGGGGATGTAGGGGATAATTTGATGCCTTAGAGTTACTTATTTCAGTAGAGTACTATAGTTGCACTGTTATTTAATTTTAAGAAGTGGTACCTCACTCAGCAATATCTGCACTGTTATTTAATTTGATGCGCGTGAGAAAGCCAAAGAATGGTTCAAGAAATTGATCCACGCAAATCCATTTCCATACCAGGAAAATGAACTCCAACACCTCCTTCTCCTCGATTCATGGTGGGATAGTTCTTGTATAAGCAAAACTAGTAGGAATTCTGGTTTCTGTCTAATTTAACAGACTGCATGAATAGTGGGATTATGCAGTGATATCTGGCTCTTGTTGTCTGCTTTTGATATACTTGGAAAAATTTACTCAACTTTTCTTTTCATTAGGGATAACATAAATCGGTTTATATGTATATTTACTTTTAAATAAAAGAGAATATACTTGTATATTTAATTAGAATATTTACTTTAAAAAAAGTATATACATGTATATTTAATTAGCATATTCTGTTGACGTTTGTGGATATTGTTAATAATCTCAAACCACTTGTCCCTTTGTAGCTTTTGATTATTTTTACAATGCATGTTTCTTTTTTACTAGATGCAGATACTGCACATCCACCTAACAGTCCTACAGACACCTGCCAAGTGAAAAAAAATCCTGAGGTTCTTGAAGGAGCAACCAACCAGTTGGGGGATACCACAACAGTCCAACAAGCTGTATCAAGCTGCAGTGATTCAATGGTAAGTTCCATATTAGATACCAGAACTGATGAATTTGTTGGACTCAGTAATATAAATGGGCCTGCATGTGACATATCCTGTGTCAACTCTAAAAATAAAGAAACTAAATGATAAATACATAATCACTGGTTGGTGCTCCAAAAAAGTATATAAATGCAATAATTGGTGACAAAATGAAATACAATACTCAATGACATGTCTTGGGCAGGAGAATGATGTAAAAGGAAATGAAGAAAGTGATGTTGATAAGATCTTCTTGGATGATGTCGCCTTCTCTTCCATTAACGCTGCAAGCAAAGCATCTGAAGCGGATTCTAAGTTACTAGTGATGGTTGAAAAAACTTCAGATCCTGTAATAGCGGATGGAATCGTACAACCAAAGAAAGATCAAAGTGACGGGTTGGAACCTAAGATATCCAAAGATGATTCTGGTGAAGCTGAATCTGTTGAACACACGGAAGCTTTTGGTAATACTGTTCAATTTGAAGAAGTTTCTAGGCAGGACAGAGATTTTGGTATGCATGGTCATTTGGTTGAGGTTTGCAACACAAAAGAAGAACGAAATGAAGATATGCATGTGCTTTTGGTGGCCAATGATTTAGCTTTAGTTGATAACCCCGAGATCATGATTGAAGATTTTAAAGACCATAATGGAGTGAAACCGAATATTCCTCTAACCCTAGGCTCTGGTGAAGTAACTAAATCTCTCGAGGATGGTAATAAAGATACTGTTTGTGAGAGTGATTCCAGTTCTTATTCAAGTAAGCCGGGTGAAAGATCTAACATCTCTTCTGCAGATATGAATGGTTTGGAAGAGAACCCTAAACAGGAAGATGGAGGCAACCATCATACAATTGAAGTGCCTGGTGAAGGTAAAGCAGATATTTTGAAAGTCGAGGTCATGAGCAGTGACGACGTTGGATCCAGCGGTGTAGAAGATCCTCTAGGTACAATCAGGACCGAAGCAGATAAAATTCAAACAAATCACTGCCTTGAAGGACTGCACCCTCAATATTCTTACTGTGATTCATCAAGGAATATTCCTTTAGAATCCAACAAAACAGATCTCTCTGATACGATTGATACGGTAGCTCCCGTGGATGGAACCAACTTAAGTGTGAAGAAACCTCCTGAATTTCTGGACAATATATCGACATCAGAAGATCAAGTATTCAACTCACTTGGGCAAGATGACAGTGGCAGTCGTGAAATGACTGGAAATGAATTTTTTGATATATCCGGGAGTGGAAGCAGAGAGGCAATGGCAGAGAAAAAATGTGCAATGAATTTAAAAACGTGCCTTGAATCTGAAAGTCAGTTCTCTGAATCCCAAGATGTTACAGATGATGGAGTGGCTAAATTTGCGAGGAACTTTCAAGAAGCTGAATCTAATTATTTTGATAGAGTTTCGGATTCAAGTAAAGATGGTATTGGTACAACTGACTTGGGAAATGATGAAGATTGTAAAGCCATAAAGAAACTCGAAAGTAATGACAGTGAAGTGCCAGTGGAAAGTGTTGGTGCAGTTAATACAGCTGATGAATTAAACTGTGCTGGTGATGTTGAAGTACTACACAGAAATTCAGGGGACTTCAATTTGAAAGAACCAGAAGCTTTGCCTGTAGATTCTGAATTCATTACTAAAAGTTTTGACAATGTTGAAGATAACCAGGGCAGGAACGCTGATGGGGCTGATTCTGGTGTTAGCTCTGATATTTTGGGAGATGGTGACAACAACCTCCCCAAGCAACATGTTGGTGTTTCTGCAGTTGATATCTTAGTTGCTTCAAGTTGTCAAGCTGATAACAATGTTGAAGATAATCAGGGCAGGAACACTGGTGGGGGTGATTCTGGTGTTAGCTCTGATATTTTGGGAGATGGTGACAACAACCTCACCAAGCAACATGGTGGTGTTTCTGCAGTTGATATCTCAGTTGATTCAAGGAGTCAAACTGATAGGTTGGAAGCCATAAAGAAACTCGAAAATAATGATGACAGTGAAGTACCAGTGGAATGTGTTGGTGCAGTTAGTACAGCTGCTGAATTAAATCGTGCTGGTGATATTGAAGTACTACACAGAAATTCAGGGGACTTCAATTTGAAAGAACCAGAAGCTTTGCCTGTAGATTCTGAATTCATTACTAAAAGTTTTGACAATGTTGAAGATAACCAGGGCAGGAACGCTGGTGGGGGTGATTCTGGTGTTAGCTCTGATATTTTGGGAGATGGTGACAACAACCTCCCCAAGCAACATGTCGGTGTTTCTGCAGTTGATATCTCAGTTGCTTCAAGTAGTCAAGCTGATAACAATGTCGAAGATAATCAGGGCAGGAACACTGGTGGGGGTGATTCTGGTGTTAGCTCTGATATTTTGGGAGATGGTGACAACAACCTCTCCAAGCAACATGGTGGTGTTTCTGCAGTTGATATCTCAGTTGATTCAAGGAGTCAAACTGATAGTTTGGAAGCCATAAAGAAACTCGAAAATAATGATGACAGTGAAGTACCAGTGGAATGTGTCGGTGCAGTTAGTACAGCTGCTGAATTAAATCGTGCTGGTGATATTGAAGTACTACACAGAAATTCACGGGACTTCAATTTAAAAGAACGAGAACCTTTGCCTGTAGATTCTGAATTCATTACTAAAAGTTCTGACAATGTTGAAGATAATCAGGGCAGGAACGCCAGTGGGGGTGCTTCTGGTGTTAGTTCTGATCTTCTGGGAGAAGGTGACGACAACCTCACCAAGCAACATGTTGGTGTTTCTGCACTTGATATCTCAGTTGATTCAAGTAGTCAAACTGATAGTTTGGAAGGTAACTGGGGTTCTGTTTCAGGTACAACCAAATGCTTCCCTACACAAGAGAATGACTATGTTTACTTTTTAACAAAACCTTTTTCTTATATGTATGCTACAGGAGAGACGTTTGAATATTTGTTTACTTTTTGTGTATGCTGTTCACAAAGGAGATAACGAGCCTCATTTACTTGTGATCCACATTTACTTGCAAAATATCATGACAATCACATTACAATAAACATGCACGCATACACGTGCACATCAACAATACAATTTAAATGGTCTAAATTCATTTGAGTCTTTAGCTTAGTATTATTTTTATAGCACTGGCAATCTCTCAAGTGCAGCTGTGGATTCTGCTCCACTAAACACACATGCACAGGTCCCATAATTGTTTTATTGAGGACAACCAAACCCCCAAACCCACCCGCCACCTACCCACACACACACACAAAAAGAAATTATTTTTCATCGTTCTTCTTGTCCGTTTTGCATAACTACTTTAATTTGATAATTAAAATACATTAATTAGCTTCTTATTTATTTATTTATTTATATGGAACAGTGCTTTCAATTCAGTCAGATGCACCGGCTGCTGTTGACGCTGAAGCTTTACGATCAGAAAAAGGCAACCTGGAAAAGCCAAAACCTGCATCCAAGGGACACCATTCTGAAAATTCAGATGCTTTTGAGGCTCCATCATTTATGACATTGGTTGAATCTGGAAGTGAGATTGACCAGAAGGTTGCTTCATCCGAAATCCACTTACAGGACGCTCAACGGTCGAGATCTGAAGCTTTACAAGCTGGGTGGTTTCCATCTCTCACTAATGTCGTGAACGACTCACAAGGGAGAAAGAAAAATGAAGAGATCATCGCTAAGGTAACAAACTGGAGCACAGGGAAACAGCACATTCCTCTGAAAAACCTACTGGGTGAAGCTAACCATGAAACGAAACCAAAGTCACCAAACACGAGACCAAGTCCCACTGTGATTCAGAATGATGAAACTGCAGCAAGGAATAACGGAGTCTCAGCCCCAAAGCCCACAACAGTGCACACAATCCTGCGTCCTGAAGCGTCAACTGATCGGGCTGCAGGGAAGGCATGGAACTCTCCAGCGAGGTATCCAACTGACAATAAGAAAGAGAAGAGGAAAATAAAGGGAAAACCATACTGGGTTCCATTTGTATGCTGTTCTTCAGTTAATTAGCGGGAATGTAACACCTTGGTTACTTTTGTAGAGATATTGATATTGATAGTTGTGCAATCTTAGTAGACTATTATCAGTGAAGATTGCACAGGTGTGCTGTGGTGATTGTGGATCCAAATATAAAATAGTTGTGTAATATTAGTGTCAAGTGCTAGAGTTTAGAGTTTAGTTACATTAATTCGTTAATAAATTAGTATTTAGTTCAAGTCACTGGATGGATGAGATAAACAATCGTACTACAGTACCGTTATTGAATATTGTGCAGGTGATCTTTGGCTGATGTTGATTGAGCTTCCTTCGTACATTTGAAAAAAGAAAAAAGAAAATGGTTAGGTAAATGATCGAGCTTTTTCCGTAAATTTGATTTTGATTTTTCCGGTTAGGTAAATGCTCTTACACACTCACGAATTGCTCCTCGAATCCCTCACCTCCTTAAGAACCTCCCTTCTTAAGAAGGAGAGGGCTATATTTGAGTTGTCAATCAGTCAGTTGTTTGAATAAGTTTTAGTATTTGTACATGTTGTTTGAATATGTTTTAGTATTTGTACATAGAGTTCAGCATACCAAACTGGGAAATATATATATATATATATATATATATATATATATATTAGAAAAAAGGGACTGATAGAATGCATTTAGATGTCAATGCCAGCGATTTTGTGGGTTGGAAGAAGCTCCTTGTTCAACTGAATGTACACACATACCAGCAAAGCCATTTCAATTGAATGTACGCACACATGCAAGTACATATATAATTTCAATTCTTGTATTCAACTTCTTTGATATGCTCAATCTTTTATACACTTGCATGTATGTATTTATGTAACTTTATGCGTGTGTTTCTCGATCTCCTCTCGAATGTACATTTTTAGAAAGGACCTTGCTCACCGTAGCAAATTCCTTATGAGGATTCTAGTGCAACATTTGAGGAAGTCGATTATTAAAGAGATCTCCTTAGCCATCATCCTCTTCCATTAGACTTCTGGAGAACACTTCTATTTCTTCTAACAATCTCTTATTCCTAATTTTGGATCCCTTAGAATCCATAACCAGAGACGATTGGGATAACACGAGGCCAATGAGAAGCTCACAGACATTTCCTAAATTATCTGGGATGGCAATCACCTTCTCAGTATTCTCCTTTTTGGTGGCATTTTGAGTATCATCCATGTATATACGTTTCCTGCATGCCTGCAAGAACGAAAGAAAATATAAATTTTAAATTTCATTTATACTTGTTTAAAAAATATTCCTGTAGTGTATCTGCTTTTGGATCCTCAGAAATCAAAAGAGAACATTAGAGTCTTAACAACATAATTATGGATGGAAAAAAACAACAGGAGAGATTTGCAAGATTGAAACCAGGTGAACAAGGATATATTGCACAATATACATCAATCTAAAAAAGTTAAAGAAATTCGGAGATTCAGTTTCCATTTTTTTTTTTTAGTCACCCCTGAAACCTGGTGACATTCTGTTGGGTACGTGTGTCAGGTGCGGGTATGTATTCACAGGTCGGACGTGTCAAATCCTCACACTTGACTTCCTACGTGCCAAATCCTCACACTTTACTATTTATGAACACTGCTTAAATACTCCCTCCGTTCCAAAATACTTGTCCATCTTTCTATTTTGGGATGTCCCAAAAAACATATCTCATTCCAAAATTGGATATACTAATTTTTATAACATTCCCAAACTATTCTTTTAATTAATTAAGTGCACTAATTACGGAGCACCATTTTGTTTTTTAACAAGGACATATTTGAAACTTCACTCTTATCAACACAATAAAAAACTATTAAAACTCCACTACCATAAAAAGTTGGATTCCCAAAGCAGGACATGTATTTTGAGACAGGAGTATTTATATTTGATTTCTAGAGTGAAATAAAGTCTTTAGATAACATTTTGAAGCAACAATATAACAAAATTGAAAGTTTGGATATGTTTTTTTAGGTGTACGTCCAATCAAAAGTGTCGGACATATATTTCATACCCATGTTCAAGTATTGTGTGTCCAACACACGTACTTCACGAATCTTTGAAGAGTTCATGTAACAAAAGTGACAACCTAGAGAAAAGCAAGGCAACAGAAGAAATTAAAATGGATTCAGAGTGTCTTACCTGGAAAATGTGATTCAAACTAGCAATTTGCTGAGACTTCAAGTATCCAGAGTTCAGTAGTTCCCGGAATAAAATCACAATATCAGCATTGACATTACTAACTGAAAGGTTTTCAATTATTCCTGATATGCAAGAATCGTCGAACACAGAACTCATCCATGCAGGAACCTTTTGCAGTTTTAGCAATGCTACAGCCACAGAAACTGCGGGGCTGTGATGAATCATAAATGATTTTGATCCCAAACATGGAGCTGCCAAAGACATTGCCAGCTCTTCAACTATCAGCCTGAACCAATTGTTTCTTTTGACAACTTGTGCTTCAGTGTCAAGCTTTTCCCACCCGAGAATCTTTGATAAACAGAAGCCACAGCTCAGAGCCAATTTAATATCACTGCAAAAGAGTTGGCCTTCTAGTACAGCCATTACGGACAATAGGTTTCCTGTGGTGGATTTTGACATAACTGGTATTCTATTCTTCTGGTCTGATATTCTGGTAAACAGCTCCAACAGGCAACACGAAGCAACCAGCTTCACCACCGGAGACCCAAAATGCACGAGTCTGCACAAGTCATGGTAATGAATGCTTATGAAGGATAGTGGCTGCTTTCCATTGGCTTGATCAAAATAATTTTGCCAGTCCAGACTCCCTGGTAGAATAGCGTGCACACTGCAACAGGGATGTTAGCCTTCTGAATTACTAAAAATTAGGCAAGTATAGTAATTCGGAAGGGCTGACCTTCTCAATGAGAAGAAGTGTAGTAAAAGCACAAATATCAGAGTTTCTCCGGTTTTCGTTTCCTCATCATGATCAACTAAAGCAGGTCCCTTTGAACAGGCTACATGGATTGCGTTGTTAACTGCAGAGATTAAGGGACTACTAAGGAGTATAGTTTTTGAAGCTTCTACTAGTGCTTGATTGGTGGAATGGTACAAAATCAAGGAAAGAATGCCAACGACTACAAGAGCTTCTTCAGTCCATGTGTCTGCAGCAACTGTGGGACTCAGGTAGTCCATCAACTACAAAAGAAGGTTCATGATCCAATTAATTTCATAAAATTAAGAGCAAGCGTTCAACATATTTAAATTATTCACCTTCATTGTAACCACAAGCCAAGCTTCATCATCACAAAGTGATTCAGAGCGCACTGAATGTATAATCCTAAAAATTAGTTGTGAGATGACCATGAATCTCTGTGGGGAAGAATAATGTCGTGAATGATGATAAAGATTCTGGAATGCACTGCCTATACCATGTAAGCATAATTGATCTGAAGCAGCTGGGAGGATGTCAATGATTGCTGACAAGGTATTTACTACTGAAATGATGTCATGCTCTTGGCCTTCTTCTATGAGTTCTTTTAATAGACATACCAGAAGTGTTGCTGCAAAGTTATCTCCTGATGCTACCAGCTGTGCAATCGCACGTACATCTATGTTTTGGCTATTACTTCCATGGATGACAATGTGGTATCCATCCGAGCAATTGCATCTGCACAACTTTAGGATCTGGTTAGACAATGGCTTGCAAATTTTCTCTTGTTGAAACAACCATTTTAGCGATGTCCAGTGAATTCTTGTAGAAAGCAAATCACACTCTTTTTCAGTGACTAGGTGAAACAAGATCCTTTCAGCCTCCAGACTGTAGGGCATTTGGTAGCTCATCTTGGCAAGACCCCTAGACAGGCTATAAAGATTTACCAGTAGCTCAATTTTCACAGTGTCCGCAGCCCCATAAAGGAATTCACCGTTGTTGATTAGAATGTATTGCTCCAGAGAAGCCAACATCAGCTTCTCATCTGCAAGTCTGGGGAAGACGAAATCAAGGAATTAAAGGTGGGTGATAGAAGTAAATTTTGATGGAGCAGTAGGAGCAAGGAGAATAATTAGTAGCTCTGTTACCTATCATCATACAGAGAGCTGCTATATAGTATCAGCAGAATTGCAGATTGACAAGAAAACAATTCTAAATTGTGTGAGCTCTTCTGCCCTAGTAGAAACATCATATCTATAGGATCAGACGGCATATGTGAAGCTGCATCTCTAATGGGTTGTCCAGAACAGTTTCCCAGAAGCAAGTCGACAATTGAACTGAACATCAGATAAACTCTCCACTTCATCTTTTCTGTAGGAAATAAGCCTAAACATCCAAATGAAAAGCTGAACCAAGAGGATGAGACCAGAATCCTTGCAAATTCCGTTGCTTGGTTATCTGAATCCTGAAGCAGTATTGAATGAAAAGTTTCAAGTACTCCCAGCACAATGTCTTCCTCTTCCATTTCACTGATGGCTGTTTTAAACCAAGGCAATAAATGTGTTTTACATACATCTAAAATACAATTCTTAAGTTCCACATCACAGGAGTTGCTGAAGTTTCCTTCATGACTGTATGCATATGCTTCCTTCAGTAGGTAGAGGGAGTGCAAAAGTTGGCTGGGATGTTTTCTATAGAGGCTCAAACAGGTCAAAACAGCATTTGTCGTTGCATCACGAACTGCTGTCAAGAAATTTGAAGACCCATGAGAAGATGGAGATTTCATAAGAGCTACAAGGATTGAGCAGGCTGTAGTGAATGTATCTGGATGCATGCCTATCTCCCCATCAATATGTTTTTTAAGCATCCCAGTCAAGATAAGGCTGAGTTCTTCAATATGAGAAGTGGATACTATTCCAGGGCAATTTGAAACACAGCTCCATATGAGCTTCAGTGCCTGAGTTTGAGCGGGATGAAAAGGAACTTCAGCTACATAACGCAGGACAGGAACCAGAGTTGTGAACCCAATAGCAAGCCTATGCCTGAAGGCTTGCTCGGATGTTGATAAAAGATCAAGAACTTGAAGGCAAGAGTTGACAACTGGATCTTTGCACCCTGTAAATTTAGTGTTGAAGTTGATTAGAGGGATAACTAGACCTTGCAGCATTCAAATTTAAAATTATGTTTTTGACGATATATAAATAAAGAGATCTGACTTCTGAGGTAAATTTTGGCACAATTGACATGCACGCATGAACTTATTAAATCATGATAGAGTTTAACAAGTACTTTGATCACAACAATATAGCGTCATCATTTTCTTGGATAATGGAAAAAAAAACAGAAGGGAGAAGTTCAAGAAAAAGTCCTTCAAAGAAAAAAAGTTCAAGAAAACTGGTGTAGGTTGAATGATGTGATGATTGAAAAAGGTTGTTTGCCATCAAATTATGTCATTTTTCATGGTAGACAACAAGAAATATTCTGCTATGGTGTCTCTTATGTCTTGATTTATAGCATAAAGGTAACTTCTACCTGAATAGTCTAGTAGTCTACTAATGTTTTTTGCAGATGATTCTTACCTGACAATCTTAGTATTTCAAATACATAATCTGCAATGTTTTCTTCCACCATCACTTGAATTTCTTTTTCTGAACCACCTTCCCATGACAGATACAGAAAGATTAAATCCAATGTTCCGAGTTGTACTTGGCTGTCTGAAGAAAGCAGTGGCGCCTTGATGGCTTCAGCAAACAAGATATTCAGAGGAGACCCATCTATGACATGCTCTGTTGTCTGCATGAAGTTGTCAGCTTCACAGGAATTCTTGCTGCTCATGTCATTTGCACGTGCATTCTCAAAAAACCCTCTCTGAGCCAACACCGTCAAAAGCGCTATGGGTGAAAATGGAAAAAAGTTACTTGGTATAAGATGATGAGAAAGATGAAATACATTGCAATTGCAGATGAAATGCATCTAGATGTAAGTGCATGCTGTGACAGGAGCACTATATATGGTATACACAATCCAAATGGTCTCATTTTGTAATTCAAACCTGAAAACAGGCTGCGAAATCATAAAATCTGCATAGTTTTTGAAAGCCAAAACTTTTCTAAGACTCACAAGTCTAACAAGAGACCAATTGATGGTCATACAATCATAATGTAATTTTAGTTTTGATACATTTGAGATTTTGAGGTGCAACATGTGAAGTAGTTGTCCTAGATGACTTGGTTAGGGACATACTTATTGCAACAATGAGCAAAATCACCTTGCCAAATAATGTTATCAGCAGTCACTAGGACCTTTAGCACCTGGAAGATACCATCGGATGCATGTTACTGAAATGTTGTAATATGATAAATTTGTTGCCTGCAGTTGCTGCGATTTGGATGTTGTCAACTCGTAACCCGAGTCAAAAAGATGAGCAAGTTTTTAATAACCGTTGGATTGTGTGTACTAACTATCAAGTTTAATTTGCTAACATCTAGCTGCATATCCAAGTAGGCTTATTGGTGAAAGGAACACTCAGACAGTGGGAATGTAATTGCTAAAAATGAAGTGAAAGAGAAGTTTGAGAGTAGTTCACAGACCTATACTGTTCAAGCGAACATCATCACTTTGAGTCTTTGTGAGGACTTCCAACGACAAGCGCAAGAGCTTAGGACAGGAGGCAAATAGAACATCAGTCACATCATCGTCCATGTTTGCATGCTGGAGGATGGATATTTTGTACAGAAGAAACAGGATCTCCCCTTGGATCTCTTCGCTGTGTCAACACAGAAGTAAATAATTAAGGACATGGGATGTGTGGTAAAATGAGAAATCTAATATGATTTTGTTTCAGTTGTTACCTAGGCAATTGAAGACCTGTAACAAGGTTGAAAATAAGGGCATCTTTGTATTTGATGTGGGCAAAGGGATTATTCTTCTGAAAATCCAACAGAATGCCTAAGCAATGAAGCTGCAATTGGACGAAAAATAGAAATACAGGTTATTGAGAGGACTTGACAATTTTTTAATTTTTATTTTTTTCTCAAAGAAAACTTTGTGTTACAAGAAACAGAAAACATTCAATGAGTTGAGATATCTGAAGCCAGTCCTCTATAACTATATATTCTAGAATATTTTTAATGCTTAGGACAGATGTGAACACACCTGGTTATTTGACTGCAAACAGCTAATGAATCAATGGTAAAGAAAAAATTATTTTTTGGGTTTGTTCTATGATACTTAAGGGACTGATTTCTTTTCTTCCCTTTTTTTCCCCCTAAGAGATTTTCTTAGTAAAATATTTTATATCAATATGAATATCACCGAAATCATACAAAGTGCACCTATATATACTCAAGTGTAGCTGATATGCAAGGCTAAGAGAATAGCTGAATCCTGACCTTAAATGTAAAATTCAAGGGATCCCTACCATGTACAGGTCTCAGGAATAAAGTTAATATGTTATCATGCACAGACACATCATACAATTTGGCAGAACAAACTAATTCACACGCATTTAATGGTTACTAGCTTAGCCTCATAGTTTGACTTACACAGCCAAGACACCAATACTCAACGGTCTTGGGGACCATTTTTACCCTACAGTGGGCAAATGTTGCTTTCAAATTCATTTTTAGCAAAGAATATATAGATTCACCTTATCTCCTCATTGATTCAATACTTTCACAAAAGAATCTAGCTCTAAATAACTTCAACAAAAAATTAGAAATTACTGCAGTTATTTGGAGCTAGTTTTATTAGATGAATACCTTGACTCCTAATATCATTCAATAATTTCACAAAACTATTCCAAATCCAGATAAACCTTAATAGAATTTTTTTAACCACAACCAAAATACCTTCAGAGAAATGCAGCATCACTAAGAAGAAAAAGAAAGAACTTAAAAAAAAATTGTCAGCATTGTCCAACACATTAATCTATCATGCCGTATCTGATTTCTCATAAAAATAAATAAACTAGAGAGAGAGAGAGAGAGAGTTCAAACGAGCTTATCACCATTCACCCCTGTTAGACCAACAAAATTGAATTTCTCATTTTCAGGAAAACATTTCGAAGCAACATAATTAACAAAGTTTAAAAGTTCTCTCGCTTCTCTATCCTATGTTTTCTTATCGACCAAACAGAATTAAGAAAGAAAGAACAATCTGAAGTGCCCTCGCAAAAATCGTTTCAATAATATTCAAATTGAAACAAGCAAAATAAACCAAACGAAAAACTGATGACATTACCGTGTAGACTTGGCGGCGACTCCACGCCAATGCACCCGAGGAGAGTCGATCAGCAATCCGAGATACAAAATCACCACACACCGAAGAATCACAGGAATTAGAGAGCTCGGAGATGAGATCGGTGGCTTGGCGAGCGATCGGTTCATCGTCAAACTCAGAGAGGACATTGACGAGAGGAGAGACAAGGAAGTGAGCGTGAAAGGTGAGGAGACTCTGAAGGAATGGTGGTTGAGAAATGGCCTGAGAGAGCTGAGAGAGAGCGTACGATACGTGAATTGTGGGAGAGCTAGGGTTTGAGATGAGATTGCTGAAGCAGACTAAGCAGATTGAACCGCCTTCTAGGGTTTGGAGCATGAGAGACGAACGATGACCTTGTGCGCATTTTGGAGATGATGATTGATGTGGAGTGTACGAGTAACGTTCAGATTCGAACTCTTGTCGACGATCTGATTCGTTGAAATACATCATCTTCGATGCTTTTATGAACTATTGTGACTTGTGCGGAAGAACAGATCGAGAATTTGTGTGTGTTTGTGTGAGTGAGTGAGAGAGAGAGAGATTGCTGAGTTCAAATATTTGGCGCGGCGCGAGACCGTGAGAAGATTAGGTGATTACAGGAAGTTTCAATTCCGTAATTAAAGTAAACTTGGAGGTTATTTTTTCAGCTAACAAATGATCTTTAAAGTCACAAGAAGGGTAGAAGACCTTCTGGATACCATGTGTGGACCTGTTCGGGTCCTACTCATCAAATATAGTTGAAATGACTTAAAGACACTTAGTTTGGTCATTCATTCGTTTGGTCGGTCTTAAAGTGCTTATTCAAATGACTTTTTAGTTGGTCTTAAATAGTAAAGGCCTTTTTCAAATGACTTTTTAATGCAATTTTTTTTTTCTATGCCATTTAATACACCATCTTGCTAATGTAAATTTGTTAAATTTGACCCAGAAGTGGTTCAATATTTGATGAAAAGCCACTGTAATGAATCAATGATCATACCCACAAACATTATTTTCATAAAAACTCTCAAAATTATAATATTATCCTCAAAGAATTACAAAAGACAGCCAAAAAAAATTTAAAGTTTCGTTCTCTGAAAAATTTAACCAAATATGGTAATTTAATTTTTTTTTTTTTTTTTTTTTTAAGTGTTGGCAACTTTAGAATTGTCGTGGACTCGTGGGTGCAGGCAGGGTATACTATCAATTCCATTGCTTTTCATTTTTTTTTATACCTCGGGGAACAAAAATCTCTATTACTGCAAAAAAATGTTTCATCATCATCAACAAAAAAAAAAATCAAAATACATACCAATTATCAACTCAATCTCTTTTCATTTTTTATTCGATAACAATGATCCAGTGCATAAGGTGAGTTCTGCTGGATATCTTTTATGATGAGCTTGCCATACCATTATGCTAAGCATATTCAGCTCATATCATCCGTTTTCGACAAGCAAATCAATAAAATATAAGCCTCATCAACAACGTTGTTAAACACAACTCCTCTGGGTCTTATTCATATTCTTTTATAAACAACTATATATATATATATATATATAAGATATTTTACGGGAAAAGGCAAATAGAAAACAAGCAGAATTTTCTTGACTTTTTCAACCTCGAAACCTAGGCTTCATGAAGTGTATGACTTTAAATTCAGGTACACAGGAAACAAGCATCTGATCTATGTAACGTACATGAAGAAAATTGAGAAAACAAAACTGACAAAATATATTCCTGGCCCCGCTGCTGGCACAGTTACGCCTCTTATAACTTAAGGTTATCATCCTCTCTTCTCATATAACTTGTTTCAACTGATCTTGAGTTCCTTATTCTTCTGAAAAGGAAGCAAACAATCCAACAACCCGAAATAATGACGAGCTTTTATTGTTCAAACAATGCCGGGTCTGGCCTCTCTCATCTTGCCAATGATGCAAAAAGAAAGCTATGGATCTGAATTGAATAAGAGGACACCAGAGAGGGGATAGAGAACCCATAGTAAATTTCACAAAACCATCTCATATATTAACAGTCTAAAGTACCCCTCGTTTTGGGGTCTCAAGAAGATTGCACGGCCAGCCTCTGAAGATGCTCGAAGAACACCTGAAGACTCACATCGTCTGTGAAGATCATCTCCGTCCCAGCAGCCATCTCATGAGCATTACTATATGTAGCTGACGGGTTCAACTTTGCTAATAGGAATCTTGCCTGCAATGACATGAGATAAAAATCAAGTTCCACAAGATGAATGAAGTGCTAAGAACTGATTTTAAAAAAAATTAAATCTAGCAGGAGCTATGACTTATAGGAAAGGGTGGAAAAATAGAATCCATGTGGTCGACCCCGTTTGTACGGGATCAAGGCAAGGATGATAATGATGAAATCGTGCATTGAGTTTTGCTAACTTAATCCACTCATAAATCATGCATTGAGCTTCGCTTTTGATGTTTGCCTGGTTCGTGATCAGTAAAATACCTAGCCTAATGCTGTTGCCTTCAAAAACTATGAGCCAACCTAGCTTCAAAAGTTATTCAAGTTCAACTAGCCAGCGATACTTTTTATCACCATACCATCTATTCAAGGTAAGTATTTCAAGACAAAGGCGACTGATACATTTTCACCAAGACTTGCATGCAACATGCACCCATATGTAAAAGATATAACACGGTGGGTTTTATCTTGATAAAAACAAGAGGTTAAGATAAGAAGTATGACCTGGGATCCATGCTGATCACATACCACCAATCTCGGAACAGGAAATCGATCCCGAATGATCACTAGGGCATCATCATGAGGAGCTTGTAATAACTGTGCAAATGCCTAAAGAGGGGGAAAAAGGTAATTCATTACTTAAAAATCCTTGATGCAGATACAGCGATATAAAACATTCAATTAAAGCTCAAATTGCAATAACACCATCAAGGAAAATCATAATACACAGGAAAATAGTTTTTTTGGCAACAATTATCTCTATACATTACATGTATCATCTACATGCGATAAAGTTGACTAAGTAATCCACTATAAAAGCAATATATAGCACCTATTCCCAAAGATTCCCTGGATTATTATAGTTTCCCAAACCAGATGTTCTTGGTCAAATCATCAACTCGTATCATGATTTTCTATAGCTGAATCTAGAGGCCAACTCAAGAATGAAGCTGAATTGGGACCTAATTCCACATAAGAGTTGAACCAATCACTTGACTCACTTGATTGATGATTAAAGATGTAACTACCAGGAAAATAAATATGCCAAAATGATGAATGAGTTAAAGAAAAAAAGGATGCCATGTTTATCAAATCATCATTTCTGAGCTGCTTACACAGACTAGTAAATCAATTCCTATATGGCAAGAATGGGTATCTGAAAGAGATCAATTTGGTGGGTGTCTATAGGAGATCAACTGTTTCTCTATTCAAGGCTTATAGGCCATTTTTGGGGATAAAGGATCCAACGTTTCATCGCCAAAAATCATACAAGCAATGTGAAAATTATGAGCACATACCTGGTGTTCTGGCTCATTTTGGTAACCCATGTTCCGCCACTGAGCTATTGTCATTCCATGGAAAATGACTACACTAAAGTAGGAATCCAACAAGAGGATACGATCAGCTGCTATGGAAGAAACATCAAGCAATGCTGGTGAAGGGAGCGAGTTGAATGAATATGATATCAGTGATGGTTGAATCATGACTGCGGAGTTGGTTATATTCTCCCGGTTTAACAACATGCGAAAATAGGCTGTCTCATCTGGACTATTGTTAAATACCTGAAAAGAAAAAGGAAGATAAGGAAACAAAAATAATAATAACAACAATAATAACAAATATTACACGCATAATATATATGCTACAATAGTTCTAAGCAGTAGAAGAGATCAGAAGGCACAAGTCATAATTACCTGCACAAATTGTGACCGCCGAAGATTAAACATAAACTGAGGAAACAACGAAAAACAGGGATTCAATGTAAAAGACGATGGATCATCTTTCCGGTAGTCACCAAATTTGGAACAGAGACGAATAAGATTCCGATCCAACCACCGTGTTGGATCGAACCCTTCCTGAAAATACAAATGCATCAACAGGGGGAAACATAATTTTACAATCAAAATGTCAGATGAGAAGCAAGAAAGAATATAAATATAGAGATCACATAGAAGATAATCAAAAGGCTGCAATTTGCCTCAGATAAGAAGGGAAAGATAAACATCTTGGTCTGATACACCAATACAGGATTACATTGGAATATTTGAATTAAAAAGAATTGATTCTCCAGCATAGTTCCCTGATTATTTGAAAATAGAGTTGAGATTTTATCGGTGGAGCAATTGAGAAAAAATGTGAATCCACAAAAAAATAATGCAGCAAGAGCTGAACCAAATGTATTGCATGTGTGCACATCTGTGTGTCTCTCTAACATATCAAAGACAATTCCCAAATTAAAAAAATACCTCCATCTCCATTTTATAAGAAGTTAATCTTGCCATCACTACAGCAGCAGTTTCCTGATCAAATCCTTGCACTAATTCCTACAAAAGCAATATTCTTCCACATCAACGACCCACAAAAGTTTACCAAAAAAAAATATATAAAAAAAAAAAAATGCACCATTGAAGTTAGTGTAGCATGCAAAGTGCTAGAGAGGAAAACAGGAGCTAATGTATAATTTGCATGAAAATAAATATAACCAGAGGATAGTAGAATATGTATTGGAAATTCAGATTCCTAAATATCTACTTAGTTCAAGAGAACCAAATAAACAAAACTTCAATACAGAGTCATCTCAGAACTGAGTTACTAATTAAAGACCTTAGGCACTTGAACCTATATACGTTTAAAATAAAACAAAGGATAGCACAAAACACGAAGGCAAACATAACTCAAGGATGAGCCTTTATTGGTGAAGTTGAACCTTTTCTAGGAGGTTATGAATCCCCACCATAGACTCAAGTCTGTGAGATCATTTAATCCATGCTTTAAGATCCTAAAATAGCCCATGAATGCCTTATGGTCAAATCTAATATCAGTTCAAGTGATTATCATTTTTCAATAACAAAAGAATTATTGTTCAAACAAAACAAGCCCTAAACAGATATTATATGCTATAATGCTTCATTAAGCATGCATAATCTAACATGATAAGCAATAAGCACCATCACAAAACTAGAAAAACATGCATCCCAAGGATCTGGGCTTCACAGATTCAGGATATACAAAGATGATAGGACTTTTCTAACAAATGTTTCTGTGGACTTATAATTAATAACTCACTATAAACAATAAGACAATGGTTGTTTTTTTTCCCATCATACCTCCGAACCAACAGCACTATCTATCCATCTTCTAGTAATAGTTGTAACTCGCAGCCAGGTTTGACCTTCATGACTCTGGTATCTGCATTTGAATGTATAACCAACAAAATTCAAATACATAATAAACAATTTTTTATAGTTAATTTTTGCCTAGGAAAGGTAAAGCAAGTCAATGTGTTCATATACAAGATATAAATATTCAGTAACAGGAGATTTAAAGGGTGACATGACAAAAAGAAACCCACAGCAAGTAATAACGAGTAAAGAAACTGATAGGATATATTCAATAGATGGGTTGGTGGGGGAGTATTTATAAGATTCTCCAGCATACCTGGCAAGAATCTGTATGTACAATTGCGGATTTAAATTTCCTGAAGTGTCTGATTTTTCACTAGATGAAATATCAAAGAAAACAGTCAAGCAAGTAGTTTTGTCAAGGCCACACATCTTCCAAGCTGTAGTATTCCCCTGCCCAATGACTGTATTGGCAACACCAGGTCCTTTCTGCAAAGCTTGCACTTATCAGTATTGACCCTTAACAAAGACTTTAATTCAGATTCCATTAGACATTCCAAGCAGAGAACAGTGGTCTGATTCTGGATACAACACCATCATGCTAAACAAAATCAAAATTGCTATGCATTAAATGAGCCAACCTTCTCCAAAGACGTGCAAGGTCCAATGATCCCTTGAATTTTGATATCCTTTGAACAGTTGATCTCAAGTGTGCCACTGAAAAAAAAAAATTATCAGTTTGAATTTGGACAAAACATTTTAAAGATTAAATATACTCCATCATTGGATGAATGGAAGATTGGCATATTCAAGGCCAAGAGTAACAAAGGATGAAATAAGTATTCATCTTATGCATGCATGCACAAGCTAGAACTGAACCCATCCCCAAAAAAAACCCACAGATAAATATATATTTACATGAAAAGGAAAGGAAAAGGCTTAAATTTCAACTCGAAAGTGAAATTCTGTTATTTCATATATAAAATATAAATTCAAAAGTGCATGTATAACAACCTTGGGACACACTTCAAAAACAATGGCATCTTGACATAATAATATAACATTAAGACATTCAGGAAACTTAAAAGAGAAATTCCTACATAATTTTCAAGTGAAACAGACAGAAATCACTAAGATGAGGATGCGTTAAATTGAGACAATTAATAATATGATGTATACACCTACAGAATTATTATGTTCTACCGGATTTCGTCACTTACAATGCATGGATTAACAGGACAGTCATTTTTGTGTTTGTATTTGATGAAGTATGTCAATAAATTTAAAACGACTGTGATCAAGTAATGAAATGCTAAAGAAACAAGTTCACTAGAATCATGACAATACAAGGACAAATGGAAATAAACAGGAGATGAAGAAACAGTAAAAAGTAAATTATTACAAGTAGTTTCGAATGTTACGTAATAAGGAACGCACTTAAAGGAGAGGCCAAGGGACTGATCTCCGTCTTCAAAAATACGCTTGAAAGAGTCTTTAAAAACAGAATGTCCAAAACTTTCAGCTTGAACAACGAGGCCACCAGTTTTTTCAATTGCAACCTTCATCTCTGCAACCCCAACCTAAAATGTTTAAAATATTAGAGACAAAGCATGGTAATGCACCATCTACAGTGAGATAAAGGGAAGCATAGATCATTATCATAATGTCTCAACATTACTTGACAACATTTCTCCAATCTTATATCACCCACACAAGGTACCAACAGATGAACCACAAACAATATGAACCCTTTAATCAGATATTGAGCATTTTGTGTTTTGTTCTTCGTAGAGTTATATTCCTCTGTGGCCCAGCAAGAAGCCTACAGAAGATGCATAACATGGAGCAAAATCATTTGGATATCAACTAAATCCTTGTAAAGTTATAGTGTAAGCTCGTAGCTGGATTAGTCCTCTGACATAGCCTTTTAAATCAGAATATTGCAACACTAACATCACGCTTGTGCCAAACCATCAAGTCTATCATGACCAAGCTTCAAACTTCAAACTTCTTTAAGACAAACAAGACGCGTCCAAAGACAAAACAGTTTCATTTATGGAACGGATGCTCTAAGAGATTCTTTAAAGTTGAGTTGTTAATATAATGTTACCACAAAACTTTAATACCCTAGCAATCTGCAATCTAGATAATACAACCAAAACAAAATAAACTTGTGTTTCAAACTTCCACCGACTAAATTTGGCCATAGAAGGATTTTTTACTTCTCAATTTAAACTACTTTGCCATAAACCCTGCGAATTGATTAATTTACAGATGCTATATAAGCCTATTTCCTTCATACTACTCTCGGTTCTCAATCCCAAAATCCTGTTCACCATATGTGATAGTCCTGGTTCTCATTCCTTATCAAGAAAAGTTGATGGAGTATTATCAGACTGCAAACGTTCAACACCCGGAGATGGGATGATGAAAGAGGAAAACATTATACAGAACAAAATTAATTTTTTTGCTCAAGACACCTATATGGCCATGCTTAATGCCGCTAAATAAGTAAGCACAAATTACTTCAAGGTAGAATTGTCAAGCATAAACACGATCATCCATAAGTGCAGACCAAACAAGGATAAGAATAGAAATGGCCGACATCACCACTCTACTAGTTCAAAGTTATCTCATATTCTGTAATCTCAATAGAAGTTAAACTTGATTCATCCTAACAAAGATAAATATAAGATGCAAACAATGAATAACAGAAAAAAGATTACAATAACACATGGAATATATTTGAAGTTAGGTTGTCATCATAAAGAGAATTGTGCGACCTGCAGTAAAACTAAAATAATATAAAAGCACCAATAGTGATATATGAATAAATGTACAGAGTATCAAATTCATGGCAGTCCATTCTTATTTATTTTATTTGTTTTTTCTGTTGAACAAAATAAAAGATTTCGGTGTCTTAAACAAATAGATGCATTTTAATCTATGCCATATTCATGTATATAATAATTCCATATATTTCAGAAGCCCGAAGGCATAACCAAGTTTGATGGCTTATTGATACAAACCTGATCAAGCGCAGAAGCAAAAAGGTCTAAGACGTGACCCTGGCTGACCAACTGTTTTGAAAGATCCTCATAAAATTGAACTGCTTTTTTGAAATATGATGCAGCATCCTTATCAAGATCTTTATGGGAACGAACTGGATCAGACAAATCCGTTGACACGATCTGCAAATTAGAAAAAATAAATAAAATTTTTATAACCAACAGAAATTAAAATAGAACTCATCAGAGGAACAAAACTAAACTGAGAAACAAAAAAGCACTATATATCTCACGTCTTTCTAGACTAAGAAATTGATCGGCATTTCCCTGGTCAGCTCGTCAATAATCCTTCAAGGACATATGTTTCACAACTGACAAGCGAGCACCTCCCCTCCCCGCACCTCCCCACCCGCAACAAATAAATAAATAAAAATGTTGAAAAATAGGGAATTGTAATTCCTTGTTCAACAAGGACTTGTTGAATCTCGTCAAGGCTTATGAGAGAGACTGGTATACGTGACTACAAGGGTATACAGGGCTTGTAAAGATGAAAGGAGAGGGGAATAACTTGTAATGGATGTTATTTCACCCATCAAGTCACTATAATATCAAATTTACACGTTTGTAAGCAATGCATTTAGTGAAATAACATAATTATGACGCTCACACTTTCAATACACTGTTCAAATAATTAACATGGTTTATGGTTGTTATGTCAAAGTCAATGCAGTCATCTGATCAACCATAATATAACCCATGATCCACCAAAAGTTCAGACTTCAGAAACTATCACTGAAGTTCAAGCCAATGGCAAATCCTAGAACAAAATAAAGGATATACAACAGAAGAATAAAATGTGTTACCGTGCCGGGCCCTTCTGTGCATGGACCGCCCACCAATGCTATAATCCGAGCACCAGTGCCAGGCTGACAAGCTCCAAGTAATCCTGCCGCAATGCTCAATGCGACTCCGGTGCACCGTAATGGCCTGCTGCCGGGTGGAACAGGCCACTCATCAGAGACCAACTCATCCAACATCTGAAATTCATCCAAATCCAAACGAATTTTAGGCAATTAAATCACTAAATAAAATTCCAAAGCTGAATTAAATCAAATGATCGTGTCATAGGAGCTGACCGAATCGAGTGTGTATTCACATTCCGAAGCCGGCAACAAAAACCTACTAATCCCCGAATCTATAATCCCACTCTGTCCCCCCTTAGGTAATCCCGGCCCGGTCCTCCGCCTCGCAACGCCGAGACCCAACTGCTCCAAAACCTGATCTTTGGGGAGCTCCTTGGAACCCCGAAAGACGTAAACCTTAGACATCTCCGAAAACCCCAATTCGTGAACCTGAACCTGGGTCCCGAACGATACGAACCCGACCATCGCATTCTCGGGCAGCAACCCAATTGCCCGCTTCATCGCCGATTTGGCAAACCCCAATTCCTCCTCGATCATGCACGTATCGAGCACGAAAAGGTACACATGCGGCTGCGGCGAGGCCTCGGGATTGCTAGGGTTAGCGAGGGAGTACTGGATGGTGGTGTATTGGGGGTAGAGTTCGGCGGGGACGTTGGTCTCGGAGACGGCGGAGTAATGGCGGGGGAAGTTGTTGCGCTGGAAGCAGAAGGGGCAGATCCAGATTAGGGCGGTGAAGTCGACCCGGCAGAAGGGGTTGAGCACGGCGGAGCAGGTCTTACACTGCAGCGGCGCGTAGGGGAGCGTGGGAATGTCCGGGTGGGACCGAATCGGAGAGATTGAGGCGGCGATTGGAACCACGCACTTGCTCGCCTCCACCTTGGTCCGCGGCCAGACGTTCCACGTCATGCGAACTCCGTCGATCCCCTCCGGATCTGGCGACGCCATCTCCGACATGTCTGCTCCTGATTTTGGGTTTGATTGAATTGATTGATTCTATACAAATTCAATTTCGGTTTTTATTTTTGATTTTCTAGAGAGCGAGAGGGGGCGACCCCTTGAGGGAGGAGAGATGGGGCAGGGGTCACCGTGATGAAGAGAGAGAAAGGAGGATGGAAAGGGCAGGAATGGAGGAGGAAATATAGATGCAGATGTATGCATACGTATGTAAATGGTACTCTATACGGACTTGACCTAATTGACCCAATGTTTATTTTATTGTCATCAATTCATGAACAGTTATACATGAGAGGTTTGTGTGTTGCTTTTTTTGTTTTAAGATCCCAATTCCAGTGTTAATTTTTGTGGATGTATATGTTTTTTATTTTTTTTTATTTTTTTTACTAATACCCTCTTGAGGGTTAAAAACATAAAATTGAAACCACCTTAAGAGATGGTGAACAATATGGCAGATAATGATTATTTATTTTAAGAAGGGACAAATATTTAATATAAATCTTTAAAAATATACTTATTAGATATGAGTTAGATTTATTTTTTCCTAATATATATTGGTAAATTGACTCAAATGTAAGAATTTCAAGTATCTAGATGGGAAAGAAATAGAAATTTTTCCAAACAAGTTGAGTTTGGATAAACCCTAAAAATAATTTTTAAAGGAAAAATAATTTTTCATAAACACATCTTTCCAGTACAAAATTCCTACAAATAGTATAAAAATTTTAAATAAAAAAAAAAACTATATATATATATACATATCTTCACCATTTTTCTTTCTATATAAGCTATTTCTCTGTACTCTTTTTTCTATAAAATACTTTTATTGAATAACTCTATTGCAGTGAAAGATTTATATATAAGTTTCATATATTTTAAATAAAATTGTAATTTTTATCAAATACTTTCATACTAATCAAATTCATGTCTATTTATTTTTTGTTCTTTCATTTATGTCTAATCAAATTTCTTTTTATTTTTTTATTTTTCATACTTTCTTTACTGTTATTGGCTTCCATCTAACTAAATAGGCTGTATCAAATGGACCAAACCTCGGAGATGCTTGTAACCTTGTATTTTAACATGAACAGATAAAAAATTTATTTTTTAGTATACTGATATTGTTATAAAGGTAAAGGAGCTGTGAAGTACGGACACTCCTCCCAGTAATTTCGTATCAGTGTCAGACACTTTTGGACACAGACACGAGTGTCCAAGGCTCGGACACGTGTCCGACACTTCTATGAAGTGTCCAGAAATTATTTTTTATTGGACATGGTTCGGACACGCGGAGGACACGGGGTGGACACGGCTCGGACACGTGGGGGATACGGCGGGGTATATTTTGTAATTTTTTTAAAGATAGGACACGGCGGGGGACACGGCAGGGTATATTTTGTAATTTTTTTTTTAGATAAATGGGGTATCTAATGCAATTTACTAATTTTAAAAGTTTAAAAGTAAAATTTTGAAAAAAAAAAAAAAAAAAAAAAAAAACTACTACAAACAACAGAGTATTAGACAGAAAATTTATTTTCTCTCACTTCCTCTCTCAGTCTCTCATCTTCTCCAATTATTTCTCTACATGAACAAGATATTTTTATTTTATTTTTTTAAATTACATGAACAAGACTTTGTGAAAGACTGAAAGTATACATGTTTATTCATGTACATATCTAGCCCATTATAGATATGTCTCTTCTGCATTTGGAATTTGGTTCAACTTTATTTTACATTTATTTTCTGTTTTGTCTTGTCTATATTTTTCTTATAACAGAGATTAAATTATTGAAATTAGTCCTGTAATTTGTTGTTGTTTTATTTACAATTTTGTATTTATATATACCTATTTGTTATTAGGAAAATCAATATACAAGGTTCTAGTAATTATATTTGGGCAAACTACAATGACCTCTCTTGAGGTTTGGCTTAATTGCAAGTAAACCTGAGGTTTACCATTTTGTTGCAAACACTCCCTTATATTTGATTATCTTTTGCAAAGACCTCCCCTCTATACAAAAATTGGTACTTTTTGTCAAAAAAAATTTTTTGTTGAAGTGACCAAAACACCCTTTAACAAAGTGAAAAAGACACTATTACCCTTAATGTGTTATCAAATTACAAAAAATAAATAAATAAAATAAAATAAAATAAAATTTGTTGTAAGGTACAAAATTGCCCTTTTCTCTCTCCCTTCTTATTTTCTCTCTCCTCTCACCTATCTGAGAACTTCAATTATTAGTGTATACTTATATATATATATATATATATATATATATAAATTGCTGGGATATATACAGTTAGTCTTGAGCCTCAGTTTTGGAAGCGACAGACATCGAATTGAAGTAGGGTTTTCTAAGATGGCCGATAGGATGCCTGAAGTGCTCGGGTTGTTTGAACGAGAAGATTGGTTTTCAGATCTTTTTCTCTGAAAATTGTTTGTTGCATATATATATATATATATATATATATATATATATATATATGTATGTATGAAACTCATTGTAATAATTGTTGGATCTAGAGCACGTTGAATGGCGGTTAGATCGCTGCCAGATTCGACAGCGAGGTGAGTGCGCTCCATCACCGGTGCCAGCGGCCACCAAATTCAGCAATCCTACTTCTCCCTCCAACCCTCTCTCTCTATCCACCCAATTCGACAGTCGCCGGTGTGGCGGTGATAGGAACGGTGGTTGGTGAAGGTGGCGTAAGGAGATGGCGTGGGTCTGGGTTGGCGGAGAGAAGATGAGAAAAAAATAAGTCAGCCATGACCTTTGCCGCTTTGGGTTTGTGGACGTGGTTTAGGCATGTCATCAAGGGCCAAGTCAAACAGTCAACACTCTGACAAAGTCCACCTCAGCAAGGCATGTGATAGTTGATCATTGGGCCTCAATATTAGTCTATATTCGGCTGATGGGCTTTGAACCTGGATCACATCATAACCTCGATCTGAGTTATTGTCGATCGATGGGCCTTGGACCTCGATCTGACCTTTTGATAATCTGTCGGTCGATGGGCCTTGAACCTCGATCTGTTAATCACAAATCATTGATCAAGGGGCCTTGAACCTTGATCCGAGTCACAAATTGTCGATCGATGGACCTTGAACCTTGATCTGACCCTTGACAATCTATCGATCAACGGGCCTTGAACATCGATCGACTTTCACAATCTGTCGATCGACGGGCCTTGAACCTCGATCCGACCTTCATAAACTATCGATCGACGGGCCTTGAACCTCGATCCGACCTTCACGATCTGTCGATCGATGGGCGTTGAACCTCGATCTGACTTGCCGATCGACGGGCCTCCAACCTCGATTCGACCTTCACAATCTGTCGATCGACGGACCTCGACGGGTCTTGAACCTCGATCTGACACTACCATGATCGGTGGGCGCCGAACCTCAAGCCAAGCAACGAAGAGTTATGGTAGGGCTCTTCAGGTGACACTGGGATGCAGAAGGGATTTTGGAATGGAGGATGGAAAATTAGTAATGTCTTACCCACTAAGGCAAGACCCAGTCAAAAGATGAGAGCAAAAGATAGTTGGAATAGTATAAATGCCTTTACAGCCTGCTATTTTTTCGGATTATTCACCAGGAAAGGTACACTTGGCAGTGGATCCAAAAATGTAGGGATTAGGGCAACATGGCCCAAAAAGGGAATGACCTGGACCCATTCCCAAGACGGAGGCCCAACAGTGTCTCACCTGGATGACCTAAGGCTATAAAAAGAAGGTAATGACGAAAAAAGGAGGCAGGAATTGACGACAGCTTCTTCCCTACCATTGCTCCAATTCTCTAACTGGACTGGTTTTCTCTCCCTTCTTTCACCTTTCTACATTCCTCATATTGCTCAGTGATATATTCCCAGACCTCTTTTCTTTGACTATTCAACCGATGAAAACCAAGTATCTACAGGGTTATATACATGTATATGTATATATAAATATATATGTGCTTTTAGATATAGCTGTGATGGGGAATTTTGGCTGGTGATGGTGGGGGAGGAAGTGGGTATGGGTCTGGCATTAGGGTGGAGGAGAGGAAGAATAAAGACGGAGAGGAAAGAAAAAAAAATTAAAATTAAAGTGGGCAAACATGTAATTTAACGTAATTAGATATTTTAGGATTTTTTTAACAATATAATAATAAGGGTAGATAAGTAAATTCACATCAAAATCTAACTAAGGGGGTTCTTTGTAACAAAATGACAAATCTCAGGTTTACTTGCAATTATGCCAAACCTCAGGCGAGTTCATTGTAGTTTACCCATTATATTTTGAATATATAATTATATATATATATATATGTATGTATATTATTTTATTAGCATATCTCCGCCGTATTTATGTCTTATTTTTTTGAAATTTATCATATCCCCATATTCGTGTCGTACCTGTGTCCGTGCTTCATAGGAAAGGAGACTCCCTCCATCACGTGGAAAGAGCACGTGATAACAGGGATGGAAAGTCGGACCACTGGGAGTTGTACCACTTTTAAATTCTAAATAATTTTCATATATATATTGGAGGTAATATTCTTACACTACTTTTATTAAAATTGTACTTTACTTATTTTTTTATTAAAATGAAATAATAAAAAAATCTTTAAATTCATTAATACATCATTCGTTAATTTCTAATATCATAACTATTTTTTATATAACTTTAATTTTTTTTACCTTCTTTACTATTGTTTTTTCTTTCTTTTTATTTTTTTTGGGAGATCTCAAAAAAAATAATTTATTCCATACTAATAATTTTATTTTTGGCAAGAAACAATTTATTCCATAGTGACTTTATTTATTTATTTATTTTTTTTATACTATCGAAAGAAATATTTATTCAAAGTTAGCATTTTTTCAGTATTGTCAAAAGGGTAACTTTTTTTTTGTAATTTTTTATGGGTCTTGGCAAAAGAAATAATTTATTCCATAATAGTAACCTTAAAAGGGCAGTTGTGTCATTTAAAAAGTAATACTACAATTATTTATTTGTAAAATTAAGGTTAAAATTGACATTTCATTTAAAATTATAGTCCAAACATTAAAAAGTGAATTTTGTCTCCCTGTATATTACAGAGTATATTATAGGAAGAAAAAGGCTTGCTGTGATTTGCTTCAATTTTTACTTTGCACTGCACTTTTTTCGTTTAAGTGAATTACAAAAAAATCCCTACACTAATTAATGCATTTTATTATACTATAAGTCTATAACTACCATTTGGATTATAATTTTTATTTACTTTCTTGAAAAATGATAGTTTGACATGGCTATAAACCAATGGTTCTTCCGAATCTTACATGCATATTAAATATAATAACTAATTTTAAACAAAATTACTATTTCATCCTCATCTTCTTCGCCCCTTTTTCTTTCTTTATCAGTTATTTCTTGTATCTCTTTGTCAAAAAATTTTCCAATAAATTTTTTTTTTTAATAAAAACCCTGTTGTAGTGAATGAATTTTAATACTATATGTTGTTAATCTTTCAAATATATATTACACCCCAAGGAAATAAAAGAAAAGAAAATATTTGAAAGGTGAATTCTATGGCTTTAGGTTTTGACATAGTTAAATTTAGAATTACGTTTCAATTGAATTTAAGAAAAGTAGAGATAAGAATTAAGAATACAAAGACTTAAAGCTACAAAAGCTAACATCAAAATATGTCAAAAAGTAAATATAGTTTTATATATTACCTATCTTTCTTACTTTTTTTCTTTTCTTTTCCTTTTTTTTTTTCTCAAAATCCATGTTCTTGAAATTTTATTGTCAAAACAGTTAAACATTTTTCTTATCAACAATGAAAACTTCAAGATTTAAAGACATTTCAAATTATTTCTTAAAAGTCATGTAAAGAAAAAAAATCAAATTAAACTCAAAGCACACAATACCAAAAAAAAAATTTATTATCACCATTAGTATCAATAGAGTTGAATGACTTATGAAGTTTTGATAGTTCTTCCATGGTTCATGTGCTAACAAGATCAATTACTTTATCCAACTTCACTGTCTCTTCATATGTGAGATCCTCCATTATTATATACAAAGATCAATATTAAATCATAAAGGAAGAGAGAAAGAATTCAAGGAAGATATATTTTCATAGCTGAAAGGGTAATTATGGCATTTGAGATTAAATAATTATTTATTTATTAAATTAGGGATAGAAGTGTCATTTCATTTAAGAGTGTAATACAAATATACAAAATTAGAATGCAAATATCACCTCTCTAACTCAAATTCATGATGAAAACATGACATATGTATAACCAAAAGTGTCACAAAATATATATCCTCTCATTTGAAAGTGAAAAATAGGGAAATAGAGTTTTTAAAGGGTATTGTGATAGTTATTTGCCTTAAATATATATATATATTCAGCATTTTATTTTCTTTCTTTTTTTCCTTTTTTTTTTTTAAAAAGATGTTTAAGCTTTTCATGGTGAATGTATGACCACTCATTTACCCTTTTCTCATCCCCTAATCTCGTGGTCACACTTTTAATTAAATAATAATAAAAATAATATTTTTTAATACCATCAAACTACTTACAAATTCAATACAAGCCTTTTAATTTTATTTTTTTATTAGATTATTCTTTATAAGAAAATCTTATATATACAAAAATCACTAGTTGTGTGTTGATAAGTGTCCAAAAGTGTAAATCTTTGACATTGAGGGACTTATTGTAAATTATAGAGACGCATAGACATATCCTGGTACAACTCTTTAATGGATATTCATGATTGAAGCTTTAAAAAAAAAAAATTCTTCTAAATTTATGAAATTACAATAATATCCCCAAACTGACGTGCTACATTTCCCGGGTATCTAAATTATAATCGGTTGATTAGTTATATGACATATATATCGATATATACACACATATAGAAGTCTCTAGATTCTCCCAGACTCTCTCCTCATCAAGACTGCGTTATTCTGATAGAACTAGTTATATGACATATATATCGATACACATACAAATATATGTGTAGATGTGAAGTTGGAAGTCTCTAGATTCTCCCACCCCTCATCAAGACTCCGTTATTCTGATAGAACTCTCTCGACCTTCCTCTCTCTATAAATACCCTCCACCTCCAATTTTCCCCAATCATCAACATCTCCAAATTGCTATCTATCAACATTTTCCTCCTCTCCAAACACCTTCATTTCCAAATCTTCTGAGCTCTCACATTGTTATCACCATTTTCATTCAACTAAACACATATCCATTTGCTATCAGTCCATTCTAAGCGGCCATGGAAGACGATTTTGAGTTCCCAAGTGCAGGGCAAATGAACAAGAACGACGACTTCGACATGGACATGGACATGGACCTTCCTGAGGAAGACCCAGTTCTCAAGGATGGGGAAGAGAAGGAGATTGGAAAGAATGGGTTGAAGAAGAAGCTTGTCAAGGAAGGTGAAGGTTGGGAGACACCCAACAATGGCGATGAAGTTGAAGGTATATCCATTGATTTCGTTTATTTATTTATTTATTTCGATTCGATTGTTGTGATTAGATGATAGATGATGTTTGTGGCATTTGTGTTGATGGGTTGATGTTGAATTGCAGTTCATTATACTGGGACTTTGCTTGATGGTACTCAGTTCGATTCGAGCCGGGATAGGGGGACACCGTTCAAGTTCAAGCTCGGCCAAGGTACCGTTCTTGTGCATTAAGAATTGATCAATTCTTTTATTTTTTAATGTAAGATCCATATGATCTTATAGTTTGTTGTATAGTTTAACTACATATCATATGCTTAACAATTCATATATATATATATATATATATATATATATATATATATATTTTGAGTTACAGAGGAAGTGAAATTGAAGTTACATCATTGTTCTCTCAATCATAGGTTTTGAATTTTGATGATCTTGCAGAACATGCCAATAAGAAGCTAGGTTTCATGGGACCCCCTAAGAATTTGATATTTGATGATCTTGCTGTAATTTGATCCCTCACTCACATAAAATTAGGGCTACAAATGAATCGTGGAGTTCGGTCTCGTTCATTAAATAAATGAGTCGAGCTCGAACTCGATTTCTAAGCTCGTTTAGTAAACGAGCCAATCCCGAGTAATATTTGGCTCAGTTCGTGTAGGTTCGTGAATATGAGTTCGTGTAAGTTCGGTTATGTTCATGAGCATAAGTTCATGTAAGTTCGTTTATTTTTATGAATTGTAGACTCGTTATAGAATTTTTTTACATTTATTTTTATTTTTTAATAAAATTTTTTAATTTTTGAAAGTATAACATAAATATAAAAAAATTTCTAAGCAAGTTGGCGAGCTCGAAAACGAGCTTGAACAAATTTTGAAAATTTTGACTATATTTATTTTCTTAAATGAGCCAAGAGTGAGCTTTTTAACACCACGACGAGCCCGAGTTTGAGCTCAATTTTTTGAGCTCGTCACAAGTCTGAGCAACTTAAGGCTCGGCTCGGTTTGGTTCGGTTCATTTTCAGCTCTACATAAAATAATGGGATTAATCTGAGATAGCAATGGTATGAACAGCAAAAGATAAGACCAGAAGTATTATTTGTCTTTATTTTAGAAAAATTTAAACTTAGCTTGCCTTGAGAGAGTAGAGGAACATGTTATAATCGCGGTTATCTCAATTCTACTGCAGGACATGTGATCAAAGGATGGGATGAAGGTATTAAAACAATGAAGAAAGGTGAAAAAGCAATCTTCACCATACCCCCTGAGCTAGCATATGGCGAGTCCGGATCACCACCAACTATTCCGCCCAACGCAACCCTCCAGTTTGATGTTGAGTTGCTGTCTTGGTCTAGTGTCAAGGACATTTGCAAAGATGGAGGAATAATCAAGAAGATACTTACTGAAGGAGAGAATTGGCAGAATCCCAACGATCCTGATGAAGTATTTGGTACATATTTTATCACCTGTCTATATCAAATTATTAACTATTTAATTTGATGAATTTTTATTCGGCTCAGATGGTATTATAGTGTTCGAGCCCTATTAGGGGCAATATTGTGGGTGTGTGTTGTTTGAACTTTGGGGGAAAAATAATTACTTCTCGTTACCTTATGCTTCATCTTCTTCGTTGCAGTAAAGTATGAAGCCCGGCTTGAGGATGGATCAATGGTTTCAAAATCTGAAGGGGTAGAATTCACTGTCAGAGATGGTTGGTGTCATTGTAGCTGGTTTTTCCTTTTACCTTTCGTTTATGCTTGGAATTGGAATATGCTTGACATAGTGATCCTTGTGCAGGGTATTTCTGTCCTGCTTTGTCAAAAGCTGTGAAGACAATGAAGAAGGGAGAGAGGGCACTTTTGACAGTGAAACCTCAATGTAAGTTCCGCTTCTTGATAATACTTATTTGAAGTTCCGATTAGCTTTGTTTGTTTATTAATGGTCGAATTTTGACAGACGGCTTTGGAGAAAAGGGCAAGCCATCTATTGGTGATGAATGTGCTGTGCCACCAAATGCCACCATTCAAATAATTCTTGAATTGGTCTCGTGGAAAACTGTTTCAGAAATTACCAATGACAAGAAGGTTCTAAAGAAAATTCTCAAAGAGGGAGAGGGTTATGAGCGTCCGAATGATGGTGCAGTCGTCCAAGGTACGTTGTTTGAACAGGAGTGATGGTGTGATACAGATATTAGGTGATTGGCTACATATACAATATGTAACTGATCCTCTTCTTCTTTTATTCTTTTTTCTTCTTTTTTTTTTTTTGTCTCACAGTAAAATTAATTGGGAAGCTGCAAAATGGAACTATCTTTATGAAGAAGGGACATGATGACGAGGAGCCATTTGAGTTCAAGGTAGATGAAGGTATTGACCATTTCCCTCTTGGTTTGTATAATTTTTTTTTAGAGATTTGTCTTGCCTCTTCTGCTTTTGATCTATGTCTAATCTAATTGTGTATCGGGAGTCGGATTTTCAAACAGAACAAGTTATTGATGGACTTGATAGAGCTGTGAAAACAATGAAGAAGCAGGAGATTGCACTGGTAATGATCCAGCCAGAGTATGCCTTTGGTCCATCCGAAGCAGCTCAAGAATTGGCCGTTGTTCCTGCTAATTCAACTATATATTACGAGGTGGAGCTGGTCTCCTTTGTGAAGGTCAGTAAAATACATGTGATGTGATGTGGATTATGCTTCTCCAAAGACGGTCATGATAAATGCTGAAATGATTTTTGCATCTAACGTCCGAATTTAGGAAAAAGAATCTTGGGACATGAATACTCAAGAAAAGATCGAGGCTGCAGGAAAGAAAAAGGAAGAAGGTAATGCCTTGTTCAAGAGCGGCAAGTATGAGAGAGCCTCAAAGAGATATGAAAAGGTATATTGGTGATTGATGAATTCAATATGATTGTTTATGCCACGATGGAACTTCATATAGTCCCTAGTTGTGATTCACCTGAAATAAATTTTCATTTGGTGCAGGCTGTGAATTTCATCGAGTATGATTCATCTTTCAGTGAAGAGGAGAAGCAACAGGCCAAGGTGCTGAAAGTCACTTGCAATTTGAACACTGCAGCATGCAAACTGAAACTAAAGGATTACAAGCAGGCGGAAAAACTCTGCACAAAGGTCTTAGAAATTGACAGTAGAAATGTGAAGGCACTCTACAGAAGGGCACAGGCATACATACAACTCGTTGATTTGGACTTGGCGGAACTAGATATCAAAAAAGCCTTGGAAATTGATCCAAATAACAAGTATGTTCTCTCCAAAATAGCTATCATCAATCCGACTCTAAATATATATTCCTACTCTCTCACACACATAGTTAATGAATGTAGTTTTCCGTCATTTTGATGAAAAACTCGTGCATTTATACAAATAAACTGCACGAGTGCACCGCATTTGAGCATGCATTACCACATTTGAACATGTTTTTTCCTAAAGGATAGGCGTAAGTATCGATCTTGCTACACAGATCTCTCAACGTGGATATTGAAATTTTTTTTGAATGGTGTTGATGTCAGAGATGTGAAGATCGAGTATAAAAATTTGAAGGAGAAAGTGAAGGAGTATAATAAAAAGGATGCACAGTTTTATGGTAACATGTTTGCAAAGATGAAGAGATTGGAGCAAATTAAATACTCTGCTGTAAGTAACAAGATTCTGAATTCTGAGTGTTTAGTTTCTGCTTTGGTCATTTGTTAGTTATTCAGTGCATGTTATCAAAATGCAGGGTGCAGCAGCAAAGAACCAGACGGTGCCAATGACTGTTGATAGCAAGGCATAATGTTGAAGTTCTCGAGGAAGTGGTATGTCTTATCCGTGTTTCATGTCATGTATGATGTGTTGTAAGCTGCTACGAAGTAGATTTGTGAATTTTCGAGTGTCAAAAGTAAATTCGATTATTGGATTGTACCTCTATAGCTCTTGAATAATAGATCGTTTAGCTGTTAATGTACAAAATATGTGAGCCTTACGGTGTGGATTTTTACTTGTGTGCTTAGAATTCTCTTCTTCTTCTTCAACCGGATATACATGTTAATGTGTTGTTGTAGTTTTATTCTCATGTAAGTAAATATGTCATTTTTATTTGTGTATGGAATTGTGATTGCGACGGCCAAATATATAGCAACATTCATTCTACAAATACTGCACTCATGTAACACATTTCTCCTAATGGTGTTGCATTGCTAGCGTCCAGCAACGGATCCAGCATGGGACCGGGGGCAGATGCTTGCCTGAATTTTTAATATTTTCATTTTATACTCTTAACTTTTTTAAAGTTTATGAAAATGCCCCCCCTACAAATATAATTCGCCTCCACTGGATTTTTTTTTTTTTTTAGCATTTTTAGATAATTTATGAAGATGCCCCTATTAGAATTATAATTTGCCTCACTGAATTTTTTTTTTTTTTTTTAAATTTATATTTAAAATTTATGAAAAAAATTCTATTAAAATTATAAAAATAAACCTATCATATAATTTTGTACCCACAAAATAAAAAAATCCCTTACAAAATTTTCTCGGTTCGTCGTGCTAGTGTCACATTTCTTAAAGGTCTTAGGTTTTGTGGTTGCATGGCATATGTGAATAGTTGTTTTAGAGTCTTCCGGAGAGCACCGAACATGACTCTACATGGCATACCTGAATAGGCTTTGGAGTCTTCCGGTATTGCAGACAGAATTTCAATAAAAATTGAGGCTTTGTTTAGTAAAGCATTGTATTTTTATTTTATACTTTCGAAGATTAAAGAATTTCAATAAAAACAAATATAAAGAAGACCTATAATAAGGTCACGGTTCACGAAACATATACGAGCCTATACTTACGGACATAAATGAACCTAAACGAGTTCATACTCATGAACCAAATTCACCACCCGGAATCGGCTCATTTATTAATCAAGCTTAGAAATCGAACTCGAGATGGACTCGTTTGCTTAAAAAACGATTCCAAATTGTTCATATCATTCATTTGCAACTCTAGATTGACTTTGGGTAGTAAATTTAGTGATCTTGGGCGGGATGGCGTGAATGGATTAGTCTCTTCATTTGTGAGGACGAAGTTGTTGCTCCTATGATTTAAAGGCTGGTATTAGAAATTTCCTTTCCAATAAGTACATTAATTAATAAAACATACTGTAACATGCAGGTTTCCTAGATTTCTAATGACGTCGATAAAATGCATATGAATATGAAATACATAATATATTTCAAGCAATTAATTATCAGAATTACATGAATGCATCATAATTATTGTCACAGGGGTGAATTCTGAACACGAATCTAGTGCCTTGTGATGGCACTAAGTCAGAAATATGAACAATTTTTCTTTGAATTTCTAACTTAGCTCAGCCAGCTCATACTTGCTGCCTAGAACACACAGTAAGTAAAGCACACTCACACACAAGTATAGTTGTAAGAATGTAAAGACAATAACACCCATGATTTTACAGAAACACAAGGCTTCCAACCTTTTACTATTATTCACAAAACAATACAAGGAAAGGCCTCAACCTGCAGAAGCATTCAAGAGTCTCTCACAACACAACTTTGTGTCTCACTTTCAATCTCTCTATACAGAACCCACATTAGCAATATATAGGCAAACTCTCAAAACCGCCCACAACTGCCCTCTAAAGTGGTGGATGACACTCCCAGACACCCACAACTACCCACTAAAGTGGTAGATGACACCCCCATCCACGTAGGGTCATATTGGCACCCACTAAGTGTGCTAACACTACATATGTAGTTGACAAGCCCAACTACTAGCTTGTTGGCATGCTCTGTTCATGCCACGTGTCCACAGGAAGTTGCACTCGGCATAGTGGAAGAAACCACCTCCAACTGCCTATGTGTTGTCCTCTCAAATCTGTGCCACATAGATGGGAAGTTATTCAGCACACCCTCACTCCCCACATGAGTAGGAAGTGCTAGTAACTTCCCTCAACCAACTGAGCCCACTTAGTGAGAAGTGTTAGTAACTTCCTCCAAACAACTGAGCCCACTTAGTGGAAAGTGTAATTTTCCCCAACCACCTGAGCCCACTTAGCCATTTTCTGTAACCATAAGTCATGTCTGAGTCTCCTGAGCCAACCTTGCACGCTGAGCCTTGCCTACGCCCACTGCCTTGTGCCCATATCCCTGACTTGACTATGCCACACGTCCATGACTTGTGTGGTCCATGCTTTAAGCAATATTTGAGCCAACCTTGTGAACTTAGCCCGTACCAAGCCCACTAATTTGCACCCACATTTAAATGTCTCAAAGTGCACGACATCCCAATCGAGTGCCGTCTGCGCCAACCATCTTTTATGACTCAAGGTACCTCCTATAAAAATCCCGAGCCAAAACTTCAAGCTTCACTTTTTCGCCATATTTACGAAAATGCCACTGGACACCCCCAGTGCACGCTGACAGCATCCCATGACTGTCAGGGGGCTTGTCAAGGTCCCAACCCCGTAACAATTACCGCGAATGGTATGCACATTTGATCAACATTTATTTTTTGGTTAGTAGCTTTCCATTTATGTAATGGTTAAAGGATGGGTTCCCGTACAACCCAACTAAAAGATGCTCTCTTTGGCACATATGATCCAATTCCAATTATATATATAAAGTATATCTATAGATATATAAGTATATAATAATTTTATTTATTTATTATTATTTTGGTTAGTTTTATGCATTAATGGTTAAACTTGATTAATTTTCAATCATGGCTTTAAACTCTGTCAAAATTTTGCATAATTTCAACAAAATCAATTTTGAAATGGACAAATATTCTCATTTAAGAATTATCTGTCAAAAATTTAATAATATTCAACCAAATTTAAGGTAGGGTACTCAATATTTTTATAGTCCAGTCATGATATAACTCTAGCTCAATCATATATAATCCCACTAAACTAAACAACCGAATTCTAACACGACCATTCCGATCTTAATTAGACGATAAATATGTGCTCGATATTTGTTATTAATAAAAATTCAAAAAATTATTAAATTGTTCTCAAGATCTATGGCAAACCTTAAAATATACTGGACATAAAAAACTTTTGTCTATCTCATCGTAATAGTATGCTAACATGTTTAAATATTTTGTTGGATGATACTAACATGTTTAAATATTTTTTTAGATGGTTTTACGAGAAAAATACCCACGAAAGAGAGAATTGAAGTGCCATGAGACCACTATGACAAAAATGCTAACAAGAACTATATATAACTGCTCTTTATATAACTTATTAAGGTACTTTTCTATTTTAAGATATTTTGTTTAATTAAAATGATTACATTTTTTTTAATCTTCCATCAAGTAAATAATGATAATTTGTTTGCCAAAATGGGATCAAGGAACTCAAATTGAACCAATTGTTGAAGAAAAATTAATTATTTAATAATATTTTTTCTTTACCCAAAATCCAATTGGACTAGTTTTGTCTTTAACTGGATTCCAAGTGAATTGAGTCCCAACGACTAAGCTACTAATACAGTTCAAATGGAAGGCTGCCAGGAGTAAAAATTTGTAGACAATTAAAAATAAATAAAATAATAATATTAATAATAATAATTGTACATAGATAGGGAAGGGGGCATTAATTACATCATCACTAGTGAGTTTCATTTATCAATTCAATTTCATCCATTGAATCTATTGCTGGACCTCTCCTATATTGGAGAGAATCCTTATCCCTAATTAGTGCATTTACCTAGAATTAATTATGATGTAGATTGTTATATTCAAAATCAATCAACCTTTGTAAATACACATAAATTGAATCCAAACAGTACTCTAATTGAACACTTCCAAATTTTCCATACGAGCCCAATCATGGCCAAGCCTTTTCTAATGGGATAGATGTACTGGAAAACATCACGTCTCGTGATAATGATGGATGGTAAGAATAACCATAAACGATATGATATGTCTATATTTAGATCAAAAGTGAATTATGCATGCCACAAAGGATGTCAGGGTTCGAGTTCTCTTTCAAGTCTCTAGTTTCGTCGATTTACTCAGTGTTGTAGTTGTGGGGCAGGCTGCCGTATCCCCAATTTAATACTTCAGGGTGGGATCCGTAAGGATTGTATCTTGGGGAGTTATGGATTATTAAAAAAAAAAAGTGAATTGTGCAAAATAGGCCAACCCATTTAATTAGTTTGGATAGGAAGAAATTTTACATGATAAAATTGCTCTTATAAATTTACTAGTAAGTAATATACATTAAGCAATATGTATATAAATTTAATAATAAGTAATATACATCAAGCAATATGTATATAAATTTAATAATAAGTAATATACATCACGCAATAAGTATAATAATAATAATAATAATAATAATAATAATGAAATAATTAGATTTATGAATAAATATATATATGTCATTGCATATATATGTCCACATGCGTATTTGGTATTTGTCTCCCTATAGTGTTTTTATTATTATTATTGTTGTTGTTGCTGCTTTGAGAGGTTTGCATTATATTTTAGGATTCTACTATTGAGTTAGTTAACTTTGTTTTGTAAGTGCAGCAAAGAGTTTTAATTTGAAGAGTAAGACACTTGTAACCAAATTAGGAACATTAATTTGTGTAAGAAAAGTCTCATTTTGTGTGTACGAATAAGAACAAAGATAAACAACTTACACTGGTTAAGAGAAAATTAACATATAACTTTTACACTAAATTAAAATTTTCTCATATTTTATGGATAAATATTTTGAGGAAAATCCAACAGTTGCGGGAATATTACTTTCTTCATAACTTTTCTTTTCACGCTAAGAACATCTCTAGCGGTATGTTAAAATACTCTTTTGTGATACATAATTTTTTTTGTATCTCCAGCAGTCTGTTAGAGCAACTCCAGCGGTCTATTAAAATAACATTTTGTGTAAAATATACAACTGCCACCTACGATGTATAAATTTTTTCCATCTCCTGCAATCTGTTAAGATACATTGCCACATCCAGTGGAGTAGCCACATGGGGACAAGTGGGGGCAGCTGCCCCCACTGAATTTTTAATTTTATATAGAAAGATTTTTATATTTGTATAATTATACATACTAAAAGTTGACATTACACACACACACATATATAACCAAATGACCATTCACGGTATTATTAAAAAAAAAAAAAAAAGGAATATAATCTTTCCAAAAGATATGATATTTTTTTCTACTTTCCCAAAATATTATATTCTTTCCCACTTTTCTCAAAATTACACAATATTCTTTCACACTTTTGACTTTACCACAAACAAATGCGTTGTTAATTTCTATCACATTTTCAATCTTCAACATTTTTCTTTTGGCGAGTCTTCAATATTTCAAAAATTCACAAAATCCAAACAGGAAAACAGATAATATGATATATATATTTTTATCATCTAAATTTACTATTATTATTCTATGATCATTTTGAAAACTCGTGCTTTCTGAATATGAAAAATATTCTGAAATATTTAGTACTGTTTAATTTTTACATATATTTAAAAATTGCCCCCACCGAAGGGAATTTCTGGCTACGCCGCTGGCCACATCACTAATGTGTAAAAAGGTTGTGTATTTTCTTTCTCATCCCTCTTTCTCGTTTCATTAAAGAATTAACCATAGATTAAATAGGTTTGTAAAAGTTATGTGGGGTCTTGGCATGGCACATGATTGATTATCATTAGGAGATATATTTTTACACAAAAGGTATAAAACAACCGTTGGAATGGTTGGAGATGTTATTAAGATACAATGTCAGGTCACTAATGTGTAAAATTATTATGTATTTTACGCCACCATTTTACAAAGCCACATCCGCATATTTCTTTTCTCCTCCCTTTCTCATTCCATTAACAAATCAACCCTATATTAAGTAAATTTGTAAAAATTATGTGGGGTCCAGACATGACAATAGTTGGTTGTTACTAGGGAATATATTTTTACACAAAAGGTATAAAACAATAGCTGGAGGTAAAAATAAATAATACAAAATTTTTGTGCAAATTTGACTCGTCACGATTGGGGATGCTCTAACCAAACTGCTGTTTCTTTTCCTTTCACGTTAGTTCACGCTAATCAAACTAACCCAAAATTTTTTTTTTTCATTCTAACTAAATTACAAAAAAATATTTTTAAATTTTTCTTTTCTTTTTATTTTCTGGCTAGTTGACGCTAACCAAACAAATCCTAAAGAAAAAACAAAAAAAAAAGAAAAAGAAAAAACAAAAAAGAAAAGAAGTAATAAAGAAAGACATCTTACTGGTTTTGGGGCTAATTTGGATATTTGGCGCGTGTTCAACAATATTCCTGGTCGTTAATGACAATTCAAAAAATGATTAAGTTGCCCTTTCATTAAAAAGATCATGTTAAAAGACCTCAATAATATTATATTTTAACATGAAATAACAAAAATATCATAAAATGTTACAGTATTGAAATGCAAAGTATAAAATTTCTAAAGTGTTTAGTAGTGATTTTAACTAATTAGTCTTTTGAAATTTATTGGTGGGTGGGTAAAACATTTTGCACCTATTGTTTTTATTGTAGATTTGACGAAACAACAGAAAAAACCAACTGAAATCTACAACAAAAACTTACAACGAAAAGTTTTTGTTGCACATTTCAGTTGGTTTTTTCGACTGTAGGTTTCCATGACGGTGGGTGTCTATGCTAACTTCTCATACTCTTGGTTTAACAAATTATATTCAAACCATATTTATAGGCATTCTTCTCCTTAGCGAAGAACTAGATGCTATTACATACTCTAAAATATTTTACACTACCTCCACTAGATACAACATTTTAGAATCTCTACCACACAATTCTCTGAAAGACTTTAAAGCCGTCCAACATTTCACACCATTCTGAAAGACTTTAAAGCCTGCCTAATCCTCTACACTCGCCAAGTAAAGACAGCCCTACAAAATTAGGAGTGGTAAAATTTGACATGACCTACCAACATGACTCGAACATGACACGATTTAAACGAGTTTGAATTAATTTTGATCATAAACGAGCCGACGTGATTAATTAGTTAATTTTTAAATTGAGGTGTTTCAACACGTATAATCTATTTATACCCGTTTAACTATACATGTCATAAACAAATTTATATTTAAGTTCCAAAACAATTATCTAAACTTGTGTCTTATAATTTACTCTTTTGTAGACTAGATACTATTTAGTAATTTGATTGGATTAAAACTTGTATTTTTTTTTTTTAATATTTATTATTTGACTGAGTATTATTAATAATTCAAACAATTTTTTTTTTTTGTTTTTTTAGTAAATAAATTACAAGTGTAATCCGGGTCCACGTGTAACCCAAGTCGGGTTAATGTTGAGAGTTTCTGACATGAATATTAAACGATTCCGTTCGAATTACACAAATTGTCACCCAACTTGTTTATGATCGGCTTAGTAGCATGTATAAAGTACTTCTCAAGATCTATGACAAACCTTAAAATATACTGGACCTAGAAAAATTTGTCTATCTCTTCGTTATGGGATCAAGGAATGTAGAATATACTGGACCTTGAAGTTATCAATGTACTTTACTATTTTTGTTTCTGAATAAATGTGCATTGCCAAAATTTACAATATTTTGTTAATTAAAATGATACATTTTTTTTTAATCTTCATGATAATTTTTTTTGCCAAAATGGGATCAAGGAACTCAAATTGAAGCAATTGTTGAAGAAAAATTAACTATTTAATAATATTTTTTCTTTACCACTTCAAGAGAAGTGGATAACAGCCAAAATCCAATTGGGCTAGTGTTCTCTTAACTGGATATTCCAACTGATTTGAGTCCAACGACTCCAAAAGCTAAAAATAAAAGATAATAATTGTTGACGGATAGGGAGGAAGGGGGCATCAATATATCCCTAATTAGTGCATTTACCTGGAAATAATTAGGATATAGATTGTTATATTCAAAATCAATCAACCTTTGTAAATACACATAAATTGAATCCAAACAGCACTCTAATTGAACACCTCCAAATTTTCCATACGAGGCCAATCATGGCCAAGCCTTTTCTAATGGGATGGATGTTCTGAAAAACATCACGTATCATTATAATGATGGATGGTGAGAATAACCACAAACGATATGATATGTTTATATTTAGATCAAAAGTGAATTGTGCAACACAGATAAGGCCAACCCATCTAATTTCTAGACACAAACACAAATCGAAAATTCTCGGAGTTCTAAATATAATTTATGACAAGCCACATTTGTCATAGACAGAAAGGAGTAGATTAACACAACATTAAAATAAGTTAACTCATGCATGAGCAAGGAAAGTGTCCACGTCAGATACTGGTTAAGCTGAGGCACTGGCACTTTTACCTTTCTTCCTTTGAAGCTTCTTCATATAGAATTCCAATTCCTTTCCTTCCAAGATATATCTGTTGCAGATGTTTAGTGAGAAAACAAAAGGGAATGGAGCAATAGAATCAATAAGTATGCAAAGTTAACCTCAATTACACTCACCCATCAGCTCTGCCACATTGACCAGGCCGAGAAGAAATGCAAGCCAACAGCCTACCAGAACCAAACTGCTCCTCGATGTGGGCGTCAAGCTTACGATCTTGCTGGCGCTTCTCAATCTTCCGCACTACATGGTTGCTCTTCTTTGCTTCCTCCGCAGTCCCTTCACCCTCCTGCTTTTGCATATGTTGAAGTCAATGAGAAAATAAGAATTAACTAATATAAAGCAGGCAGCACCGGGCAAGCTCTAGTACAAACCAATTGAGATTGGCCATGTAGTTGGTTACTACACACAAGTGATATAACAACGGTACGACATCATTATAGAAATTCACCCCTTCATGACAAATAAATAACTTCCAATTGGTATCATCAGAGTTGATCTATTGATTGACAGCCAGATCGTGGCAAAACCATAGCATCTAAAAAATTACCTAAATCACACCCAGTCACAACGAACTTTATACGCTCCAGACTGAAATCTGAGACTTCCTGTAAGAGCAGTTCCACTTTTATTTTTTCCAATTTTAAACACAACAATGGTATTTTTATTTTCACATAAAGCCTCCCTCAAAAAATGAATAAAAAGTAGTAACAAAGAAATTTTCAATTATGGAAAGGATAAAGGTTGATAATTACTCTCTCTATCCAAAAAAATGTCTCAAAATAAATGTCCACCTTTCCATTTTTGCCCATCCCAAAATAAATGTCTCATTTGAAAAGTGAAAGTATTTTTTGTAACATTACCAATTTATCCTTCTTGCATTGAACATATAAAAAGTAAACCTTTACATCCGTGTGGACACGCTATGGATATTTTAGTAATTCATTCATAACCAATACAATAAAAAAAATATTAAAACTTACCTTTTAAAAAGTTAGATTCCCGAAAAGGGACTTTTAGTTTGGGACGGAAAGAGTAGTATAAGAAGTTGAAACAACATATATTAGTTGTTTGACACATATATAGCCAGATACAAGAGTCATGAGCTCTCTCCATTTTTATCCACTAAATTGAGATGTAATAAACAATTCATTTGACTTTTCACAGATCCAAACAAACTGTCTCAATCCGGTGGTTAAATATGGAGAGCTCATGGCTCTTGTCATGAGGGAGCTCTCGTGATAGCATTACTCTTATCTTAATTTTAACAAGAATTGGACCACAAATTAGGGATTCAGAAACACTGGCTGGACAATTAAGAATGGGAAGATGATGATGAGGATGCCATGTGAAGCAGCAGTAGGAAAGATTGGAAATAAATTCAACACAATAACTAAATAGAAACAATTGAAGAAGTTCTGGAGATCGGGAAAAAAGAAATTTAACTCTGCAAGGCCATAAACTAGGACAAATCTCTTTTCTTCCTTTTATTTATTTTTTTTTAACAGACATGACGAAACTCTTTTATTTACAGAGTGTTTATTCACTTATATTATTTTATTTATTTATTTGGGTGGGGGTAATTTCCACAAACTTACTCATTAACATAATAATAATAAGATGACTGAAACACTTATAATACCTCAGGGCCTTCCTTCTTTGTAGCAGCAGCCTTCTTCTTCCTACCAATGTCAACCCCATAGTGCTGAAGGTACCATTGCTTAAATGGCGCAGCATCCACCTGAACAATTGCACTTTTCACTAGAGTTTGAGTTCTTACAAGCTCATTGTTTGAGGCATTGTAAACCACGTCAAGGATACGTGTTTTGCGGGTGACAGCTTCACTGCCCCAAGAGTAATTCCCAGTGTCCAATCGCAGGGCCCTCCACTTCACATTCCCTCCTCTTACACGAACTCTCCTCACTGTCTTGTTGCTTGAGATCTTGGTATTTGCAGGCTGACGGCCAAGTTCATACCTGTAGAAAAAGATGAAAATTAACAACCAAAAAGAAAAAATAATTGACGGGGAAATATGTTATCCATCATCTTGTATTAAAAAGATGTGAAATACTACATGCCCCCTATACAACAGTATAAACAATCAAATGTGTACAGCATGAAGACTAGCAAAATAACACTACAATTAAGGTAACACTCCACTTCTAGAAAGATAGAGATTCAAGTGAATTATGTCCATTGTTAACTAATGCCAACCATAACACCAACTATGCTAAACGGTGGCCGGTGGGCGGTAACTTAATAATACATGAAAAAAGGATCATTTCTTTCATAATAGTCCAGCAGGGAAAGACCACTTCTAATCAACAATATTGAGTTCTACGAAATACCATTCATCAGCAAACAATAGTTTTCCATGGTTAAGATCATCTTGTAACTACTTTTACCATGATCGGGTTCTAATCATTAACACAATCATTCGCATTATCATTTCTTTTAAGCAGTGAGTGTCCACTTCTTTTACTTAGCGACATGGCAAGCCTTTGTGGTCACTTTAATTCTGGAAATTCCTGATCAAGAGCAATTTAGTTTCATACCTTCACCAGATTCAATGTTTATGCAACATAATTACAATTTAGGTGGATTGTGATTGTATCATTCTGACGTTTCCTTACTCGCAGTCTATGAAATGACAAAGCAATATTAAAATGTTCTTTTAACAAGTTAAGCAGTTTTAGGAAATCAAAACCTAAAAATACAAAAGGCTATTGTTTTCAAATTTTGGCAGCACTCCAAGGGGAAGAAGAACACATGATTGTATACGCAACCTTTCTTAGAAATTTAATATTGAATCAAAAGAAACACAAATGACAACTAAATAATAAAGAACTTTTGAAATCTACACCCAATAAAAGGAAAATAGAAAGAAAAAAAAAAGAGAGAGAGAGATATTGGGGCCTTAAAATGTGTATAATAGGATGGAAACAGAACCGTATATAAGCCAAGTTTACACTCTCATACAGCTCAAAAGCTCTTGAATTTTAGTATACAAATATAATGCATATACATAGCTTGGAAAACAGTTCAGTAATTCAAAAGGCCAGGGAACTCCACATGTTATTCAACTCTCCAAATAGACACTTCAACCCCATGAAAGGATCACATGTTACTCTCCCACCAAATAGACCTGCCTTAGGACCAAAAAAGAGGATCTGCCCGGCGAACTGCCAAAACACCTTAGACTTCTGCCTCTGATTTAGTTCTTCCGTAAAAATAAAAAATAAAAATTAATCCTGGGTTTGCCTTCCTCTCTTCCCTTGTTTTCACTTGTCTAGTCAAAACATCCAAGCTTCTTTGCCATCCATTGATTTCATTCGACATGTTTGATTTTCTCCAAATTCCCACCAAGTTCCTTTTCAACCTTTTCAGGTTTCCTTTCAGTATCTTCAACTTTTGCACCAATGCAAACTGAGGCATGATCAAAACTTATACCTCTCCAACACTGCCTGACAATGTAGCTGGAACCCTCCTTTCACAACCACATTTTCTCTGACCTGAAAAAGCATTTCCTGCTCTAAATTCGGACACTACACAACGCAAAAGGAATCCGATTTAAAGATGATATAGGGAGAGCCAAATGAGACACACATCCAAGCACCATTCCTCCCAAATCTGAGACACCAAACACTACACAACGCAAAGGGAGTGATATAGGGAGAGCCAATTGAGACACATCCAAGCACCATTCCTCCCAAACCTGAAACACCACCTATCCAAAAGGGAAGAAGGAGATAATTTCTATATCCTGATTACGCAACTAAGTGACTGAGCACCGACAAGAGGATAATCAATAAGATGATCGAAGTTAACAAAATCTGCAGGCTATGGTCAATTCACGACCCACTGTTCTCTCACAAAGAAACCACCCCCTAGTATAAGAAGCCCCCATGCACCATTGAATGGTGCAACTCCCCCAAACCTCTGCCAGTCCATAACTCCTGAAAACACCAATTTTAGTCGTCCTCCAAAAAGAAAAGCAAGCATGAGACTCAATACCCCCAACACCAGTTCTACTTTTCCAACATCACCAAATCCCAACGCGCCTTTTCGTTAGTAAGAACAACTGCAGGACTCGATAGTATATAAAAGTCCGCTACCCAGAAACATATATATATAAAGATCAAACACACATTTGACAAAAAAATCCCAACATCAATGACTTCTAAACAGATCTATGACTCCATGGGATGTGTACAAAAACTGCAACAAAATCACATAGAAGATATACTTAACGCTTTCATAGATCAATTAGTTACCAGAATTTAAGTAAATGAGCTGTTAGATTGGTGGCACAATTTTAAGGCTAAAAAGTATGCTACACGGAGCTAAATTTATGCTGAAATAAGCTAGATAAAACAACTTATCTTGGCTAGAGTTGAGCTCATTAACAATTGACCATCAAAGCATAAAATTTACTATTTCAATTCCTAGGTTTTCCCAGAAACCAAACAGAACAAACGGAATATAAGAAAATAGATTATTTACTTTCTCTTCTTCCTCCATGCCTTCTTCTTCCCTCCAGTTGCACGCCTCTTGTGCATCGAGTCTCGTGAGATACCTAAAGCAAACAGAGGACACCATGAAAGTTAGAGAGAGAAAGTAGAGAGAGAAAGAAACGAAATTAAGTGATCGGAAGCTTACCCATGTTTGCGTTGCGGCGGAGAGACGATGGAACTCTTTCTTTAGCCGCCTACAGATGAAAGCCACTGGACTATTTTGAAGATGGGATGAGATAGTGAAACCCTAAGCCAGGGAATGAAATGGGTAGTTTAGTCATTTCATTTGGAACTTCACCAAACCATGCCCGACTTATTCACGGTTCAGTTTGACCGGTTCAGTTTCAAATCGGTTATAAGAGTTTTCGTAATTAAAATTAAACCATGATGGACCAGTTCGTTTCCACTGTTCTAATTTTTTTAATCATTTTGAATTTCTTATATAAATATATATAATTAATGGTTGGATTGGATTCGGTCCGGTGCTTTAGAACCCCAGATAATCGAAATTCTTTGTTTTAAAATCAAAATCAAATCAAACTATAAGAAAATGACACCAAATTGACCAGTCCAATTTAATTTACTGAATTTTTATGTACTCCTAACATGGACATAAGAAATTAAGGTCACAGTTAGAAAGCTTGCTCAGACTTAAAAAAAGTATTTTTGAAAAGTGCAATATATATATATATATATATATCATTATCATCTTTACCTTAACCCCAAGAAATCTAATATATATATTTTTAAGTAACTTTGGTATAAAATGAAATAATTTTTTCTGTACGTGGTTAAAGAAACCTTTGAAAATTAACTTTGTTTTCTTGCATTTAGACTCAAATAAATAATATTTGGACAAAGATTTTGGATTAAACTTCTGATTAGACATAGGTTTTTTGTCTAAGCAAAAATTTTGTTGAACATGGATCTGCAAAGCATAAAGGTTCAAATACTTCGATAATAAGTGCCAATTACAAATTGATTTTTTAATTATTTATTATTATTTTGAACAATGTTGTGAGTTTAGATTAGTGGGAACTTATATTCTTTCTTTTCATTTTTTTTCCTGTGTTACAATACTCTGGCTAGCATGACTTTGATGTGACACATTTCTTTACTTCAAGAATGCAACTACTAACACGTTACATAAAACTGCGACAATTTTACTTAAAAAATGCAACACCTTTATATTAAAGTTGCATTCTCAATGTCAATTATACACAACCCAAACCTATCAACACAATCATTATCATTTCAAATTGGAAGGAAGTTTGGTTAGTAGAACCCGTATCTCTCTGGTAACTTTACATCGTCCATGCAACAATTTACATCGTTTTTAAAATTGGAAAGAAGTTTGGCTAGTAGAACCCGCATTTTCATCGTTTATGTTACAACTTCATATCACTTATACAACAATTACATTACATCATTATTTCTTAGTGTTGATGTCCGCCATGAGACTGTTGCACTATGACATAATGCGTTGCACTAGCGATAACGAGGCACAGGATGCCCCTCCACTAGAGGGGAGCCGGATTCTGATTAGTGTAGTATAAAACCACTACAAAATTTTCTCAGAAACAGTTCAATGAAAATTGAGTTAAAACAGATTTTAATTCTATATAAAAACTATTTTCGGATAACTAAATCAAAAAGACGATAAATACTAGTAAAAATGGGGATTAGTATGATGAATACTAGTAATATTATAAAAAGACCAGCACAGAACCGCAGCTTCTAGTTTTACAAGTCATACATAATTTACCACCTATGCACGTCTCAGTTATTTTCGGAAGGTCCATACCCTAGAGTATCTGTAACAAGAGAATGTGAAAATTACTGAAGGAGGCGACGGGAAAACCTTTAAAGAAGATGATTCTAACAATTCTCCACTGGGGTGAAGAGAGGGCGTTCATCTTCAAGAGTTTGCATTCTATGTCGTCTCTCGTCTTCCTATTGGTTTACAACTCCTACTACCTTGATTTCAGCATAATATCCTTCTTCTTCTTCTTCTTTGACTTCTATTACTTCTCATGGTCTTCGTGGTAATAAGCATAACTACAAGTACATAGAAGCTTATCATTGAATATAAGGTCACTCTTATACTTCGTTGTGGTTAGTGAATTCACAACCAATAATTTTGGCACATCCGTTAAAGAATTTGCTCAGCAAGTCAGAAAAATCTTTTACAATCAAAGCAAACAAATTCAGACCAACCACATTTGTAATAAAGTTGTCACAAGTAAACAAATTCACTCAACACTACATAGAGGCTTCCAAGATGAGAACAGTAAACAAATAGCCTTCTATCACACAAGCCATCTCATAACATGATGTGAGCTCACCTTTGAGTAAACTAACAAGTCGGTTTCTCAGAAGAAGATTACTGACACACCCATTGTGAAGCATCCTACAGCCACCCAAGGGCTCAAACGCTCACCTGTTCGACCAAGCAGAGAGGCAAAGTCGGCTCGTTAACATATAATCCACTACAGCGTAGGCAATGGAACTCCATGGCATAAGTGAGTTAATATATGCTATATATGCAATCAGCAATAAGGCTGTAATTCAGAACACTCAAAAAACTGATATGTTGACTGAGGAAAAGCGTCAATCCAATATTGCTATATAACTAAACTATTGTCTTTTTTTTTGGGTTAAGTACTAAACTATTGTATGTTTCAGTGAACAAGTGTCTTACATTTTTTATAAGGCGAAGGACATCCTCGTATAAAAGAAAATCACACCGAGAAACAAATATCCTTCTAAAAGTGCGAGGCCACTATTAACACGACTATCATCAGAAATTAAGGGGATTTATTTATTAATTACTTTACTTATCAAAAAAATGAAAAGTTTAAGGGTATTAAATGAGTAGCCCCATGGACCTGGCATGCAATTGTATTAGAAACAGCTCAGAAATGCGCATCCTTATCAGAATTGCGACAACCTATGTGAACGGGTGTGATGTGGGCGGGTGTGAGACACTAGGCGAGCTACCACACTGACAGGCTACGGGTGTCACAATCCCACATCGCCTAGGGAAGGTAAAGGTGAAGTGTTATATGTTGGTTCAACACTCTTCTATGACACAACGCATTTTAAAACACATGCAACATGAATCAAAAACAACACCTGAACAATTTAAAAGATATAGCAGTTGTTGACTAGTCCAATAAGAACAGCATTATGTGTGTTGTGGTAAAGCAAAGCCGTACCTATTCTAGCCGCCTTCCAAAAGAAACCTCGAAACCTGCCAGATGCATGCCTCATCAGAATGCAAATTGACTCACAGACTACAAAAAATAAATTAAAAAAATAATAAACATATTAAATTATCCCCCATGTTTTAAAAGCAAGGGGGAAAAGTGGGAAAAAAATGGAATCAATAAGCATCCTATAGAGATGAGTCCCAACGGTCGGCACTTTCTACACATTTATTATACTCAACGGTTACCCACAAAATCAGGACCAACCTTCACAAGTCTACTTTTCACCCCCAAAAAAAAAAAAAAATTTATAGAAGGTTACAATTTTAAAACGTTAAACATATTATTAGGTGAAATGGCGACTAATTAATAAAGAGAATTCATGTGGCCGACCCCATTCATACAGGAATAAGGCAACGATGATGATATATATAGAAGGCTAGATAACAAAAATGGTAAGGAAACTTTTCATTTCATCTATATTTCATTATTTTACACAATTGAACAAAAATAAAACAAGTTGAAGCAGAACACGCGTGTCGACAAGATCACAAATTAAATCTTAGAATATGAAAATAACAACAAATATGAATTTACAATGAAATAAAATATAAAAATAAGATTAATAACATTTATAATTTTTTTTTTAAAAAGCATCAGGCATGTGAAATTGATCAAGGCACATAATAAGTCATAGAAGTTAAACAACAAAGAACAAATCAATAACAAACAACAAGAAAGAAAAACAACAATAATAAAATAAATGGATAGGACTAGCATGAATAAATGAGAGGCGTCTTAGGCACTCTCCAAAAGCTGTATGGCCTCCCTACATGCAGGTGTTAATGTTTCAGTACCGCTCTAAGATACAACCCATTTCCTCCAGTGGTCTTCCTCAGGCATGCCCATGGATATACGGGGTGTGCGAAGTATTGCGTCAGAGTTGCTCCAAATGGTATGTAAAGTAATGAAACATGCATGTATGTAATAGGAATAGAGTAAAAGTTGAGGAGAGATATACCACCAGGTCACATGCCTTGGAGGTTGGGAATCTCCTTGGGACAACCAAGGCATGTGGCCAGCGATATCTCTCGTCTCCTCTAGTTTTGCCCTAATCCTGTTACATACATGCATGTTTCACTACTTTACATATCATTTTGGAGCAACTTTGACATAATACTTGGCACACCCCATCTATCCTTGGACATGCCCAGAAGACCACTGGCGAATATGGGTACTAGATCGCTAATATCTGCATGTAGAGAGAGCGGACAACTTTAAGAGAGTGCTTAGCACCTGTGCTATTTAATAAAACCCTTTTAATTCATCAATTATTCAATAAATCATTTCATGATATAGAATGGAATGGTAAAAAGGGGATTTATATAAGCCAACTCCAAATAGTTGGGAAAAAACTTTGTTGAATTGAGTATTTTATGACAACAACATCTCTGGTATGCTCAACAAAGATGGGAAACTGAAATGTCGAAAATCAATTTGAATTAAATAGTTTTTTTCCCCAGTAAATGAGGCTATTTAGTTATTGAGGAGACTAATAGAAAGACAGAAGAAAAGAGATTCATAAGCCTTCTATTGATTTAAAGAGAACCTTGATATGGTACCTAGAGATCTAAATACGGATGGTTTTTAGGGAAAATATATTGACACGATAAAGGACACTTGTGATGAAAGTGTGATTATAATTAGAATGACTTTGGAGGAAACGAGCAAATTAATTTTCTGTTACTGCAGCCTCACATCAGCATGAGCATTAAGCCCATATCGTTTCGATGAAAGCTTTAGAGTTAAAAAGATTTAAGTAAACATGAACAAAATTGAACTATAAAAAAGCTACCCTAGTGCGCGAGCTCCCATCACTGTGGGGTCTTGGAAGGATCAAATTTACACAGCCTCGAAGCTACCCTAGTGCGCGAGCTCCCATCACTGTGGGGTCTTGGAAGGATCAAATTTACACAGCCTCGCTTCCATATGCCGGGAGACTGCTTCCCATATCAAACCCATGAATTCCAGGAACAACCTTACTGTTGTGCAAGGCCCGACCTCATAAAACTAAATTATATGTAGTGTAATTTTAGTAAATATAGGAAAACAAATAGGGATGTAGTGAAGATTGAAGATCAAGTTATACCAAAATTTTAACATTTTCACTATATAGGCTCCCAATTATTCACAGCGAAGAAAAAATTAGACTGATATTAATCAGAATGGGCCGTATCCCTCTAAGACTGAAACGGAAGTTCTAGAAAACAATTATTAGACCAGTTATTCTTTTTATGGGAAAATATTTAGGCAACTAAGAAACTACATGTGCACAAAATAAGCGTGGCAACATTGCCAGTTGAGATGGATGTGCATGTGCAACAAGAGAAAAAATAATAGAACTAGAAATTAACACATTCATGAGATAGTTGAAGTAGCATCCATTGGAGATGAAAGGAAATCAATTAAGGTAGTTATCGTAGTACAGACATGGGCAAAAAAGACCACAGCACCAGTAAGAAAGAGTGACAAGGTTCACATTGAGGGTAATCCTATAAAAAGGGAAGACCAAAACTAGCATGGGTATAGTTTGTAAGGAAAGATGTGATAACATGTAGCTTGATTGAGACTATGACCTTAGATAAAGCAGAATGGAAAAATAAGATTCATGTAACCAAATCAAAATAGTTAGGAAAAGACTTCGTCTGTTGTTATAATCTCTGGTGTGCTGAAATAATACAACATTTCATGCTAAAAATATGCAACCAAAGGGAGGAAAAACATGTGTAAAATCCAATATACTATTTATCAATAATCTGTGAGAATCAAACATCAAACATGAAACAAATTTATTTATCAAAGAGCGCATACCCAGTTTTCTCTTCAAGAAGTGCAGGAAATTGCATCTTCAAGTAAGTGCATGTACAAATCCCTAACAGCACTACAGTAAGAAACGAATTGAAGTTGAAGAGTGCCGACTGAAAATCCAACAATAATAATATTAAAAGTCGTTATATTAAATTAAATCAACAGCATTTCCATAAATTTAAAAACTGAAAATTTTTTTTTTTTTTTGTTTGATAAGTTAAAAACCGAAATTTTCTTTACCATTTTTTGGTTCTCCTTGTATTGACTGCTTTTCTATCCTTCTTCCTTCAAATCAACAAACACAGGAAATATCTATTAGCTTCCCATGAGCATACACACTTGATCTTACCAAGGTGCAATGAAAAGACATATGTGATGATTCTGTGCACCTGCTTAAATCATACAGAAAATTTTGAACTGGTTCCATAACTTTTTTGCTAAGTAAGATAAACTTATATGCTTAAAGGAATACATAAGATGGAGCCCAACAACATCCGAAACGGTCACCCAGGCGCATAGCCCTTATAGGTGAGGAAAAACTTTCCATTCCACATCTCACACAAAAAAACAAGCAACAGGCATGTCTACCACATTATCAAGAGCAGCAAGCCTACCATGACATCCCTAGCCACATCTTACAACCAACTACCCTTATCATGGAAATTGTTCTGAAATAATTCACTTAACACATCATTCAATTCCACATCTTTGAAGATGAGCTAATGAATGAAACTGAAAGAAGATAAAACAAGTACATAACCACAAAACTGCAAGTATTATACATAAACATCACAAAGTTGGCAACAAAATGAGAGTTAAGAAGCAATATCTATGCAGTATTTTCAAACAATTCAATAATTTCAAACCATGGATACTTATAAAATATAACACCTTGAAGACTTAAATAACATGTTATCGGGGCCAGACACGACTACCAAATTCCATTGAACAGGTAAGATATCACTGCATCGTATCACTCAACTACGACTATACAAAAAACGTGTGAGAGAAAAATGAGATTAAGTTAAAGAGAGAATTAGAAATAAGAAGAATCCTTCAATTGTTTAATATAAAAAAAATCCAAATAATACATGATCCAAATGTTAAAACGTAATTTCCAATTTATATTTTTGTAACTCTTAATAACTTATATATAATTACCAGGCTGCAATATAAACAAACTCCATCCACCATTTAAACATTGAACTACAAAAAATATATATAGAACATCATATCCTCAAAAAATATTGATGCAATTGATTCCTCTGTCATGTATTCCATATCTAAGCAATTTAAATTGAGTTCACGTGCACTAGTAAGAGAAGAAACTGAAAATCAAATAATAGAGATGATAAATTTGCACAACATCAAAAAAAAAAAAAAACTACTCAAACGTCTAAATCCTTTTCAGTACCACACAAAATCCTGTTTCTACCCCCCTTGACATTCTATTTCAATTCCTCTCTAAGACCCAAAAAAAATAGCTATATAACTGTAGGCTGAAAGCCTGAAAGGGGTCAGGTGTGTTTTTGCGTGTAACTTGCTCAAAGGTTGTCTCCAGCTTACCATGAAGAACTAAGATTTTTGCAATGTAAATAATTTAGACAATACAAATTGCTAGACAAAAAGTACTAAAATGCTTATTTGAAAGATGGTTACCATGCCTTTCCTATTACAGTTCAGGTGCATTCCATGCACCACGTCAATTACTCACTATAATATGAGAACGAGGTAACTCTGTCAAATCAAAGTTCAAAAGATAAATAAGGTATATATAAATCTGACTTACAGTCTGTTTTTTTAATAAAAATAATTTTATAAAAGCCACCATGTGAGAGATCTTTAAATCAATATATATGTGTGTGAATATTCTGTAAATTATGTACTCAAAATATCAACTCTAAAATTTGTATGTCATGCATGTAGATTGGAAGCTATGTTCTGATGGACAAAACACTCCCTAGGAAAGACTTTCTAATAAATAGTGGGGCAGTTGAACTTTTCACATAGCTATAGTGTAGGCATATCAATAGTGATACAGCAATTAGTCTGTGTAGTACTGTGGAGACGAATGTTTCAAGAAATTAAATAAGATATTATACTTACACATCACATAAAATACACTTCCTGCTATTCTTCAACTTGATATAGATGGTTCTAGGCTTAGTCACACTGCTCTGACACCAAGATAATTTTGTGTGTGTTTGTATGGTTTAAAGAAGATAATTAGAGGAGAAGAATAAGAGAAATCAAGGAATATAATTTGATGGTTGTAGGGTTTCTACACTACCCCTCCTATATGTGTGTGTGTGTGTATTGAGAAAAGAAAATTACAAAAATGCCCCAAACCCAACTTACTTTACTATAGATATAAATAAAAAATATTAAATAATATGAATATTTAGCAATGTCCAAAATATATCCCATCGGTAACAAACTATTAAATAATATGAATACTTGTCATCAAAAAACTAGTTAAACTATACCAAAAGTGTACCCCAAGTTCAAAATATATCCCATAGCCATACCAAATATATACCCCATCAGTATTCAAAAAAGTGTCGTATGAAAAACATATTCAACACATCTTCATCCACAGCCAATAAAACCTCTCAGTTGACCTAGGGATAGAATAACTAATGTTAAGTGAAACTAATCATGTGCTATGGAAGTTGGAGAGAGAAACTTCACAATATGAAGTTAACAGTTAAGTGTAGCTAAACCTGCCTGTGTCAACATTCTCTATCACATCTAATACTTTGCCACAAAAATTCACACACAGTTTATGTGTCTGTTAATTTGACATTTCGAAATGAAAATTATTTTAACTGAGATCAGTTCAAACACTGAGTAACAGTGAAATGTGCAGTTCATATAGTAATAACACTGAGCATGTCATACAACAATAACAGTTGCTTAACATAAGAACAATTCAAAGTACATTCAGTTAACACGATTCATTGATAAATTTTAAGTCAATTACAATAACAGTTCAGAAATTAGACGCACAGATTCAACCTTAAGTTTCAATTCAGAAATTGAGTTAACACGACTTAACATAAAAATACAATAACAGTTCAGAAATTGGAAGCACGGGTACATGAGAATACATAAGTAAGTTCATCTATAGCTCTGTTATGTCTCACGCATTTTGCAGTCACCAACTTTTAGGGACTTGACAAATCAGATCTCACCACAGTTATCCTGAATTCACTATAAACGATGCGGAGATGAAACCCAAACCATGAGAATTTTTAAAAATCACTGATCTATTTGTTTACTGATCAAAATTTTAAAATATAATACAGTGAACAAAATTAATCATATATATGAGTCACCATAATAATAAAGTTTATTCTTCATTATTTGTAGAGTGTTGCTTCAACACTAAAAGCAAAAATACCTGGCAGAGAGAATGACTACTCCAGAATTTACCTACTACCAGTCACATCACAGTAAACTTGTCTTGGTTTTATTTCTTTTGATATGGTTTTTGTTAAACAGTCTAATCAAAATATCCAATTAATTAGTAGGATGATCGATCATATATCATCATGAGTAAGAAAAAGTTGCGAATGACGTGGGGTTGATAATTTTCAAAACCCCCAATTCTAAACCCTAATTTCAAAACACCCCATTCAATTGCATGTTATGAACCCTAGTTTCAAAACTCCAAATCAGCTTCGAACTCTAACTAGCTAAGTCCCAATGTTGCTGGTTTCTAATCCAATTACCCAAATAAAATGCATGTACAAGGGATGAGATGTTTCAAACGGAGTGCATGAGAGTAAGGTTTCTCATATGATAGAGAACAATCTACTGAAACTTGATGAAAAGTACAAATTCATGCAGAAACGAGAGAGAACATGCAACTTACCTGATTAAACTTGTCTTTTCGCTCCTCTCTGCTTGAAACGATCGAAACCCGATATTCAAGATCTGGTTATGGCTGCTTTTCACTGGAGTCGATTTCTCCTACGACAACAAAGGTCCAACTCGACATATTATAAAAAACTCCACTCTCCAATTTCTAATCCTAATTATATAAACTGTTTTTACTTTTAAAAAAAAAAATAAACATTGCCTTTCCCTTCTTTTGTAAATGAGTTGCTCTAATAAAAAAATGGCATGTATTGTATTCAAACTTTTTAGTTTTTGGCGTTACTGTATTAGGGTTTCTAATACCCTTGTTAAAATTGGTCATCCACATTTATTTACTTTTATTTTTTAAAATATCTGTCAAAATATTTTCTTTATATATACGATCACAACTGAAACATAATACAACACTTAGTTCATTTAAAACAAAAATATAGATAAAGTGGTGGGACAACACTATAACAGTTTTCACAATATAAAATTTATTACAGTAATGATATATAATTTTATTTTACATATACTATTACAATTACTCAATAGAAATATATAAATAAATTTTCATATTTACAGTATACACACCGTTTTGGTGAGTAGTAACTGCTTTTTAGTCGTTAAAAAAAAAAAAAAAAAATACTTACTTTTTAGAATTTGATGGTCAGTGGAATTTAGAGTAATCCTTAGTTAGCTTCGTATTAGGGTTTGATTTTAATAAAGAAAAGGGTGATGATAATTTGAATATGATGTATAATGTATTTAAAATATAAATTATGTATCAAATTAATATTATAATTCGTGTTCGGGTTGGTCGGGTTGCTGACCTTAAATTCAAACCCAACTATGATTAATTTTTTTCAATTTTTCAATCTGAGTTCAACCTTAATTGTTAAAATAATTGTCCAAACACATGAAAAGTCGAGCTTGATTCAATTTAATTCGGATGAGCTCGCCTAAGTTGCACCCTTATTTATCACATGAAAAGTTTAAGACAAAGTGGGTATAGGAATGTATTTCTTACCTATGTAATATATAATGATAAATAAATGAATAAAAAAGATAAAATTGCAAGAATTTGAATCCTCCCCTTTTATTAGAGGTGGGCAAATAATCAACGAATTCGATCCGGTCCATGTAGATTGGATCGGATAGACCTACAAATGGGTGACAAATTAAAAAAAATTATATATGTAGCTCACGGATTTGGCTGTTAAAAATCCAATCCGATATGTTAGTCCGATCCAATCCGTTAAATTTATATATATTTTTTCAAAAAATATATTAATTAATTTAATTAGTTAATGATAATTTAATGTAGTCTAAATATGTATTAGTTAATAATTATTTAAATATATGAATTAATATTAATAAATTAAATTTTTATGTATTGGGTTAGGGTTAAAAGATAAATAAATAATAAATAATATTACTTATAAAAACAAAAATAATAATAATAATGAATAATTTAGATAAAATCCAATCCGCGGATCCAATCCGATTCGATCCGTTATCCTTTGGATCGGCAAATTGAATTTTTTATAATCGGTTAGGAGCGGATCGGATTATAATAGATGTCTAATCCGATCTGATCTGTGGCCAACCTTACATATTATAGAAGACGTTTGTGACAATTTCCCATCAACATTTCAACAGTTTCAATTTCAAAATATTTGTGCAATAATTTTAACTAGCGTTATGTAAATAATGTACTACCTAATGTGTTTCATCCCACGTTATTATGATAACATTCATGTTCCAGTATTTATAAATTTGTTGAATATTATCTTAACTTATTATATTCATGTTTGTACTACTCTATGAGTAAAAAACAAATATATATATATATATATATATATATATATATATATATATATATATAAAAATAACCGATAGGGAAAAATAAACCTGACATGTCTTGGCATAAATATAGAGGCAACTAAGTCTTGACCAAATGTCAAATCTCTTATATTTTCGAAATATAATATTTCATTATCAAGAATAACGATTTCTATTGGATAAATTCCATAGGATAATGACAAATCTTATCAAGGATAAGATTTTGATGGGATAAGTAACAATAGATAGGTATGACGAAGAGCTCTTGACAGGCACCATACTGGTGCTGTCAAGGTTCATCGATTTTTTTTTCTCTTCTTTGTAGGAAAACGGTGTCGTATCAGACCGCGTGAATTTTACTTTCAACAATAACTTTGTTGTTTAGGAATACACAAATAATCGGTAACCGTTAAGAATTGAATCGAAACTAAAATCGAAATCGTCGAATAATTATATATATTATATTTTTTATTTATATGATTATAATATATATGTCTATTGATGCCTATAAAGAGATATATAATAAATGTATGTTCTTATATACAATATTATATTTCAAAATGCATTAGAAATGGGTTTAGAGTCATTAAATTGTGTGTTTCTTTTTTTTTAAAAGGAACCCGAACCTATAATAATTATATATATTATGTTTTAAATTATATAATTATTAATATACGTGCCTATTGATGCCTATAAAGAGATATATAATAAACGTGTGCTTTAATGTAGAATATTATATATCGAGAATGCATTTCGAACAAGTTTAGAGTCATTAAATTGTTTTTATTTTTATTTTTTATACTTAAATCAGAACCCCAATCGTAGAATCGGTTAGAAACCGAAATTGTAGAATCGGTTATCCATAAACATATTAAATATTTAAATGTGGACGGGCAGTACGATAACATACTTACAATTAAAGTCAACAAATTATTGTCTTAACAAAAAGATTAAAGGAGGAATTACACTCAAGTAAAGTTAGAAATCCTAAATAACATAATGCTCTATTTTAAAAGTTGATTTTTTCAATTTGGTTGGATTAAACAAAATACTCCGTAATTACATATGCATTGAGAATAGTTATTCAGGTCCAAAATGCCTTATAAACTCTTATATCAAATTACAAAACCACCATTCGTAAATCAAATAATTTATACGCTAAAGAAATAAAAAAAAAAAACAAGATATTCCAATTGAATATAAAATTGGAGGGCATTTTGGACTCGAAAGCTGTATATATATTATGGAAAAAAAAAAAAGAAAAAGAACTTATATACGCGCACAAGGGATCAAGAAAAAACAATAAACTAATTGTCTCCGTGAATGGTACACAAGCAACCAAAATTTATTTTTTATTTTTTTAATTTATAAAAAATTATAATTAACTTTAACCAAATCGTGATCTCATCTTAAAAGAAGGTTTTATATATATGGATGTAGCAGGAAGTACAATTCCAATTCAACCGGAAGATATTGTTTTTCTAAATATTTTGAGAAAGGAATTATTTAATTTAAGAAGAAAAAGTTGGTATTTTTGGAATAAAAGATTAGAGGGCATTTTGGCTATAAATAATAATTCTCGATTTATATGTAATTATTTTGATTAATTCAACCAAATAAAAAAATAAAATTTTAAAATATACTGTTGTATTGTTATTTAGGATTCCTAACCCTACTTAACTATAGTTTTTATTAGATTAATTATAATGAATTCCTTTTAAATGATCCACTTTATTAAAAGTCAATTGTGTTTTTTTAAGGGCAACATTATATAAAAAGCCAACTTCAATTAAATCTAGCATATTTTTCAGAAGTAGTTAAACCAACACTTGAAAATTAACTTTGTAATTTTCTTGCATTTAGGCTTTGTTTGGATGTAAAATATATATAAAAAAGAATCTTTTATTTTCAAATATTTAATTGTCGTAAAATATTTACGAATAAAAAAAATATTACAATCTAACAAAATAACTTACTCATCAATTTTAGATAAGTTATTTTACACGTCCTGCCTCATGATTATTTATTTTTTTTATAAATAATTTGGACAAATATTTTGAATTAATCTTCTGATTTTACAGTAGTTTCTCATCAAGCAAAAACTTTGATCGAGCTACAGAAGCACAGTAGCACAAATACTTCGAACTAATATTAAGTGTCAATTTATTTATTTTATATATTTTTTTGTAACAATGTTGTGAGTTCCAGTGCGCTGTGATGAGTGGTAAATTTTTTTTTTTTACCAAGGCGAGTGGTAATATTTCTTCCCCTTCCAGATGAGTGGTAATTTGGAAGGGGAAGAAAGGGAGGAATAGTAATTTTATTTGATTTATTACTTTGTTATTGACGAGATAAAATAAATAATTTGGATAAATTTGGAGGATAACTATTTGACATATTTTCAAAAGAGAAACATTTGAAGATAAAAGATAGGGGCGACAGTTTTATATTGTACGGAGTAATCTAATACAGAAAATGACCTTTTAACATTTTTAGTAAAAAAATTTAAAAGATATTTGTCTCCCACCATTAATTAGATAGTTAACAAATCTCACCGTATTTTCAAAATAGAAAGATTGGAAGATAAAAGATAGGGCCCACAGTTTTATATTGTAATGTAATGCAGGAAATAACCTTTTAACATTTTTAGTAAATATAATTTAAAAGATATCTGGGTCCCACCTTTAATGTTAGAATATGATATTTAGTTAAATCCCGGTTCCAGAATAAATATACATTTTTATTTTTATTCTGTTCCAATTAAAAAGATATTTTTGCAACATTGCTAATTTAACTTTCTTCATTAGTCTCATTTCATTGAACTTATAAAAAGTAAATTATCTCATTTCGTGAATCCAGGATAGATTTGGTAATTTATTGACTACTAATACAATAAAAAAAATTTAAAATTTTAAAAATAGATATTTATTTTGTAATGAAGGAATACATATTATTGCTATAACTCTCAATTTTTTGATTTTATCCAACAAATACATTATCTATGTACTTTCATCATTAGTCTCCCTCCCGTCCGTCTCTCCAAGACCAAACTATTTTATAAACGATTGAATATAATTGTTGCACGGTGCAAAGGAGATAAGAAATTTTTTTTCATTAAATTGTGTAAAGAGCCATTGTAATTTTAGATTATTCACTGGAGCTAAATGTAATTTGCTCTCCAAGTCATTCTTACTATGTTAATTCAAGATGAGGAGGAAAATAGACTTTGGTTTCCAATAAAACTCTAAAATCACCGTAGCGTGCACGGACAAAACTCAACCTCCGCCAATTATCTCATCACCAAACCCACTAATTATTCAACACGTGTCGAATCACCACAAACGATTATTAACATTAAAACCTCCATCCACAGACAATCTTAAACAAGGCAACCACACGGAACACATAAAAGAAAGTCTACTGAATTTCTATTAAAATTTGCTTTTTTAATTGGTCACTTAATTGTATCTAATATAAATAATTAATTAAAAATTATTAAATTACACAATTCACTCGAATATTGGGTGTCAATTTTGTATGTAAGAAATTATTTGTGTACTCGTGTCATTAAATAGTCGCAATACTCTTTTCTCTAAATTATCTAAATTATGTCAAAATACTATTTTCTATTACTCTATATTTGTAATAAACATCTTCAGTTTATTTAAAGTTGTTAGGTCCTCCATTTAACAATTTGATATTAAAATTATAGCCGACAAAAATATATTGTAAATTATAAAATGATGTGTAAGAATATTTTTATCAAAATAATTCCCTCCTTTTATCACATCCAACACACTTGGACCATTTTTACACAAAATTTTAAAGTTTTTCTGTTAAAAAACAATTTAACAATTTGATATTAAAATTACGGCATAAAAGATGTAAAGGTAATACATTGTTTTGACAAAAATATATTGTAAAATCAATTATAATTATAAATTATAAAATAACGTGTAAGAATATTTTTATTAAAATAATTTGCTCCTTTTGTCACATCCAATACGCTTCCATTTTTACACAGACTTCAAAGTTTCACAGTTAAAAAGTAATTTTCAACTTTTAATAAATTAGGATATTTGTTATTAAAAAATAATAAAAGAAGTATTTTACAACTTTTTAGTAGGGATTTATTATGGGTAAAAAAAAAAAAGATTTATTGCAATTTGGTGTAAATATACCGTACTCCATATTTAAATTTAACAGGTACTACGTAAGAGTTAACCGTATTTACATATATTAAAGGGTATATGTTATTACTCCTATATATTATATTATATTATATTATTATTATATATATAAATGACGAAAAAAAAGGGATTCTTTGATTTGAAGTAGGAAGCGGCGAAGAAGGAAAGTGAGAGCCGATGAGAGAGAAAGAGGAGAGAGAGAGAGGAGTCTAGTCTGTCTGGTCTCTTCTGAATCAGCTTTTCGTGTATGTTTTTCTTTCCTTAGCGGGAATGTCTCCATCACATTCCCGGAAAGTGTACGAAAATCTCATCGCAATCTCTGGAAATATTTTGCCCTATTTTTTCGATTTCCCCTGATTCGCCACCACATTTCATGAAATCATTTTAAATTCCCTCTTGCTTTCTACAATCCCTCGTCAGATTCTCGATTGTTTCGCTGCAATCAATCATGCTCTCGCTACAGAGCGATTCCCGGCAACACCATTTGCAACAACAACCGCAGCAGCACAACCACCATCAGCAGCAGTTGCAGGTTACTAGGGTTTTGTACAATGGCGATCAGCTTGACGATCCGTATAATCTGCAGTCGGAGTCCTCCCTGCCTTCGTCGAATCTCAAACTCTCGCAGGCGTTGGAGCCCCATGAAGGTTAAAATTTTCATCCTTTTTTTTATTTATTTATTTTTATGTTTGATGATGCAACAGTTTTAGGGTATTTGAGTTTGCCTTCGAAGTTTGATTTATCAGTTTTAGGATTTCGCGGATGTAGATGTATTCATAATTTAAGATTTCATGCTTTGTTGGTTGTAATTTTCATTTGTTTCTGTAGTTTGGTAATTTTGGGCTTGGTTAACTGATTTTGATTACTTACTTGAATAAAAGCGTAATTGATTAAAATTGATTAATTGAATAGAAGTGTTTGTACTTGTATCGCTGATCACCCTACCTGTTTTTGGCAGTTTTTATGTGCTGGGCAGGTAATGGGTTCTTCTAACGAGAAGATGGGCATGAATTAGAGAGAGAAATATGCTAATTTAATTTACTCTTTATTTTGAGGCTTCTGTTCTGATGACGGTCTTTGTACTTGATCTTAATTTCTGATAGCACTTGTACTGTTTATTATTATTTTTGCTATCATTTCTATTTTTTATTTTTACGGCAATGATGGAACACATTAACTCTGAATTTTCATTATTCTATTTGATTTGGAACTCTCCATTTTTCAATGCAATGGTTAGTGGTTTAATCTGGTAGTTTGAAAACTTTAGTTCACAATGGCCTTGTGTGTTTTGCTGTAAGATCTCAAATAAAGGTCTAGTTTTTGGTCATTTTGGAAACTGATTTGAGATTGCAGAATTAGGAGCTTCCTCTCAATTTTAAAATTTTATGTTGGAGAAAGTGCTATTTTATTGAAATATTAATATGGCTCAAATTATGTATAAAATTTAAAATTTAAAATAATCATTCTGTCAGAGAGACTTCAAAGAATGCTTATGTAGTGGCTTAGTGGAACAAATGAAGGCTGCTTAGCTTGGTATAAGATCAGAGATATATACTTTCTGTTCTTTTGAGCATTTTGAAATTTTGTATGTTTGTTTTTTTTTCTTTACCCTGATAGTTTCCTAAAGGATTTGGCGTAAAAAGGTCTAACATGGTTCATTGCTGAGGGTTTCTTTTTTCGCATGCAGCAGTTGATGATGACACACTATTGAACCTTGCTCATCAAAACTACAAAGCTGGGAGCTATAAGGAGGCTTTAGAACATAGCAATGCTGTTTATGAGAGAAACCCCCAGCGTACTGATAATCTTCTTCTCTTGGGTGCAATTTATTATCAGGTTATGACCTTTTTTTTTTAAACCCCCTTTTATTATGTAATGTTCTTGGTGACAGTTAGATCAATGTTATAATACATCTGACTTCTTATTTCATGCTATTATTTGGCTTCAGTTGCATGACTTTGATATGTGCATTTCAAAGAATGAAGAAGCTCTTCGAATTGACCGAAATTTTGCTGAGTGTTATGGGAACATGGCAAATGCTTGGAAGGTATTACAAGTATCTTTGATTATTTTGTTCAGTTAACAGGCTTATCTGGATTTAATATATATAGGATGTCATTTTGTTGTATGCAGGAAAAAGGAAATATTGATTTGGCGATTCGCTACTATTTATATGCCATTGAGGTTTGTAGGCAGCATTTGTAAACCTGGTTGTCCGAATATTTTCTTTGCAAGTGTGCATGGCAGATTTTTATGCATGTTGATCGCTCTCTTATTTGTTACATTTTAAAGTACAGTTTTACTTGGGTAGACTGGGTATATGTGGTGGCTTGCTAGATTTATTTAATTGTATGGGTAGTTGGGGTGAAAAAGTGCAGTGCTAATCCGAACATTGTCAAACCAATAATTTCATCACTGCTTTCCTATTTGTTCTTGGATTGTATTTTTTTGTGTTGTTAAGGTAATTATGTTGTTTTTTAGTTATACAAAATTTTTATTGGTGTACGTTACAATGGTGTGTATTGAATCCCCTCTGTTGTCCTGTTTGCAAATTTGTGTTCAACTGTTTGCTGCATGCGGTAAATTGGGAATCATACTTTTACATTATTTGGCGGTTCATCTTACTATGGACTGGCATTTAGTGCATAACTAATACGGTTCTCAACTAGTGATTAACGTTTTGGCAATGAAACAGTATGGCAAACACATTAGTTGTCGGAGGTAATCAATAAAAACTCCTCCATGTCCATTTTTGCACTTTGCACTTACATTTTTTATATTTTGTCATTCCATAGATTTTCAAAATATTATAAGCACTAGGGCTGCAAATGAGCCGAGCCGAGCCCGAGCTGTTCATTTGCATCCCTAATGAGGCTAATGAGCACCATCTTTGTAAGAGTTCTTTTCATTTTTAAATGAGAATTCAGATTTATCAGAAGCAAAATAAAATTTTAAAATGATTGTTCAAAATTCGTTTTACTTAAGATTTAGGCATTGCTACAAGGATGGGTTACCTTCTAGGAGGAGGAAGCTTTAGTATTTGTTTGCTAAAATATTGGATTTTGGCCCGTGGTTTGTAGTTTTTAGGCCCACTTTTTCCTGTAGGGTTGTTGGCTTACAAATTTTGAGCCACCATTAGGATATAGTTATTAAAATAGAGTGTATAGATTATGTGTTTTATGCATTTGGATAACTATACTCGTCTATAACTTTAACTACTAATGTATCAAACAAGGTGGACTTTTGAGTCGTTGAAAATATATTCTTCTTGCTTTTTCATTTTCTTGTTTATGTTTATTTATCTATTTTTTCCTATTTTATTTCCCTGGCAAGAAGCTCACTCCCATTTGCTCCTATGGGGACTTGAGCCGTCACCTTTCATTTGAGGAGGTTGACGAGATTCCGCTTGGCTATAGCCTTGCTGGTTGATTATGTTTCTCTTCAAACTGTGGAAAATGCATTTGTAAAATTTTTATTGTTGAGATATCCATTGGATTCCCTTTTCAATTCTTTGATGTTTCAAAGTTTCTAGGGCTTTCATTGCTCCTTGTCCAAGTTGACATTCTTGTTATCGATTTAAAATTGGCATAATACATTACCTAAGTGGAGCTGACACATGGTAGTGTTTAAAGACGACACAAGTTTCCTCTTTGGATGTCTTTGGTTTTGGCAATAGCTTGCACAGATGACTCTAGGAATTGGATGCTTGTGGGTGTTCGACCTCACCTTGCCATGTGTCTTTGAGATTACAGCCTGTGTACCACACTTTAGTATGCCATATGTCTATGACATCTAACGTCAATCATGTCTCCATTTTGACCGGCAATATGATATGCTCATCTTCGTCATATATTTGCTATGTATAATATGTTTTGCCATTTGTTGGCTAACATTGTGGACATCTCCGAGTAACACATCTCATCACAGATTCCATCTCAGATAACTTATGTTGTTGGTTGAGGACCTTAGGCTTTGACATGTGTCAGAGTAGCCCTCTTTAGTTTTCAGGCTGTTGGTTGAGGACCTTAGGCTTTGACATGTGGCAAAATAGGAATCTTCATTTTTCAAGCTTGCGATTGGCTAAAATATCTCTCAAACTGTGAAATTTTCAATCATGCAATTGATTTGGCCTTTTGAGTTGGTGTTTACTATCTTGCTTTGTATTATCATCCTGCGTCAAAGTGCCTATCTGATGTTGTTGTATCTGGTTTACTTGATGTTATTTTTTTGTACATTTATGAGTTTTGCTTTGAATCTCATCTTCCATAAATCTTCTTTTTGCATCTGTTATCTATCTTGAGATAATGTATTGGTAAGTTTTCTAGATATTTGACTTTTGGTTAAAAAATGTTTCTTGTTTCAGCTTCGACCCAATTTTGCTGATGCATGGTCAAACTTAGCTAGTGCATACATGCGGAAAGGAAGGCTTAATGAGGTGGCACAGTGTTGTCGCCAGGCTCTTCAATTAAATCCTCGTCTAGTAGGTCCCTATCTAAGTTTCATTATTTAGTACCATTTTCTTTGTGTGTGAGATCACTATTTGATTCTGTCTGTTGTAGGTTGATGCTCACAGTAACCTTGGTAATCTGATGAAAGCTCAAGGTTTAGTGCAAGAGGTAAGACAACTTTGGAGCTTGTGTTTATCTTTGTACTTCATAATTCCTTGGTTAGTTTTAGGTCTGGTGTTAATGGGTGTGTTCTATGAGTCTGAACTTGTAGATTACTGTGCATTATTTTCTGTGATATCTTATGGAGCTTGTAGAGTTATCCGACATTGTGGTCAGTGTGTTATAATGATCATGAACATTGGTTTTTATTTCTGAAATTGACAATTGATGTTCATTATTGCGGTCTGAAAGTTATATTTATTGTGATATGTTACTTGGAGATGCACAAGCTGAACTTGCATGTAATTGATCTGCGTCTGTACTATCTCTGATGGGAAGTCCAAGGGAAGAGGGAGTCTGGCAGGAAGTCCTTCAGAATCTTTTCTTGGCTTAGGATATATATATATATATATATATATATATATATATATATATATTTCCCCCTGCTGTCATTGACGTTGTTGCTTGGGAGTGATGGGCATTTCAAATCGCCTTTGAATTTGCATTTATTGTTTTTGCCTGAGCGTTTTGTCCTCATATATTTTATATTATTTACACTTTTCGTTAGCTTTTGTGTTCAAATGTTTTTGAGTATCATGCTTTTTCTAGGCATACAATTGCTACATTGAGGCTCTCCGCATACAACCAACTTTTGCTATTGCATGGTCCAATCTTGCTGGCCTTTTCATGGAGGCGGGTGATCTCAACAGGGCTCTTCAATATTACAAGGTAATAATTATTGGATTCTTTTGGTGAGTTGTTCTTATTTCACTGGGATTTAGTTGTTAAAATTCATATACACATAGGATTAAGGTTCAATTGTATATTGCATTGTTGGTTTGTTCCTCATTTTTAATGGAAGTGCATATATTTCCAGGAAGCAGTTAAGCACAAACCAACATTTTCGGACGCCTTCTTGAACATGGGAAATGTGTACAAGGTAAGCTTTCGTGTATATTGTGCTAATAAGATCGGGTAGCTGCACATGCCAGGACAGCAATCTGGAGAAAAAAAAAACGAGATCTTTCTTTTGCATTTTCCAGGCTTTGGGAATGCCACAAGAGGCTATTGTGTGTTATCAGCGGGCTATTCAAGCGCGGCCAGACTATGCTATGGCTTTTGGTGAGTATATTTACTTTATATTTGTTTGTTCTCAAGTATGAATTTTTCTGGTGAAGGTAAAATTAGATTTATCCATATGCCTGATTAGTTTTGGTCTATCTGAACTTAAGGTCTAATTGTAAACCTGTAGTGCTTTTTAAGGATTCATATTTATCCTTGCTGAGAGCTGTTTAAGCTGGTTGATCTTGGGCAAAGTAGCTTCAGCGGAGTTGTGCTTGCATTTTAAGTTCCCAGCAGGACTTATATGACAGTTCCAAAAATGGTGACTGTTAGTAGTTCTGGTGTAACTGGTGCTAATTGCTCTCTCGATTCCCTTGGAATCGTATTTGGATGGTGTCTGTGAATAGAACACATAATCTAGTTAGATGCTTTGTGAAATTAAAAGGAACAATTTTGGTTTATTTTAAAATGTTCTGTGGCTTGGTGATTTTTTTTTTTTTTCTTTTCCCGATTATGATACATTGCAATGAGACAATTGTGCAGGCAATTTGGCTAGCATATACTACGAGCAAGGGAAACTGGATATGGCAATTCTCCATTATAGGCGAGCCATTGCTTGTGATGCTGGATTCTTGGAGGCATATAATAATTTGGTTGGCTTTCTATCTTTTTCTCCCCAACTGACGGAATATTTTTGCTCAGTGTTCATTTTGCACTTCCATATTTTCCACCTGATGATGTTTCGTGTTATTTTATTTATTTATTTTTCAAGGGTAATGCGCTGAAAGATTCTGGCAGAGTTGAGGAAGCAATTCACTGCTACCGTGTAAGTACTGTTATATTGTTGCTCCATTTGTTAGTTTGTTTTCTCTGTCTTCTTCTTCTTTTTTATTTACCTGCTTATTTATGTTCTGATCATAATTTGTTTGTTCCGTATAGCAATGCCTGTCCCTACAGCCTAGCCATCCACAAGCACTTACTAACCTTGGAAATATATATATGGAGTGGTATGTAACCCACTAGATATACTGACGTCTCTATTAAATGTTTGACAATTTGAAGTGTTGGCAAGTTTCTCGTGCAATAGATGCATATAAGTGGTTTTTAAGGAAGACTTCTGTTTTGCAGGAACATGATGAGTGCTGCTGCACAATGTTACAAGGCAACATTGACTGTAACAACAGGGCTTTCTGCTCCTTTCAACAATTTGGCAATAATATACAAACAGCAGGTAGCGGCATCTCTCCTCTCCCCGCTCTCTCTCTCACACACACACATGCGCAGTTGCGCACACCTTCTCCCAACAAAAAGAAAAAATGAAAAGAAATGGGAAGAGAAAAAAGAACAACAATACAAAGATGTTCTGTTTTCAGTCAATGTGTGCGCAATTGGGGCATTGAATTAGTATTCATACAAAAAGTGAAGTAAGAGAAATAGGGTTATTTCTTTTCTAAGAAAATTACGATATTCTGTTTCATTCATTGTTTTTAATACCGATTGTTTTCCTTTTGATCTTATTACAGGGTAATTTTGCTGACACTATATCTTGCTACAATGAAATTCTCCGCATTGATCCTCTGGCAGCTGATGGGCTTGTTAATCGAGGAAACACTTATAAGGAGATTGGAAGGGTTAATGAAGCAATTCAAGACTATTTACGAGCTATTGCCATCCGGCCAGCCATGGCTGAGGCTCATGCAAATTTGGCCTCAGCTTACAAGGACAGGTATTTTACACAATTTATTTTGAGAGTTGTGGACCTACTTAGGTTGGAACACTCTATATGTTTTTTTTTTGAATAAAACTATCTTAAATGATATCAATTCTTGCATTTGGACCAGCGGACATGTGGAAGCAGCTATAAAAAGTTACAAGCAAGCATTGGTTATACGCGCTGATTTTCCTGAAGCAACTTGTAATCTACTACACACATTACAGGTATTTCAAGGAATAATATGTATGTTACAATGTGATTATTGTTGGTGTTTATAGTTATCTAGTAGTAACTCCATGGAATTGTTCAGCTAAAATGATAGTTAAACATGGAAATTGAATGCATTGTAGATGCAGCAAGTCCATCGGATAAAAGGCTTTTTCAATTTTTAAACTTGAATTTTTCTTTTTTTGATAAGTAGTATTTAAACTTGAATTTCCAGATGCAGATACACAAACAGTATGACATAGGCTGCGATTGTTATTAATTTTTGAATCGTAAATAAAATCTGACACCTTTGTCAAGCTTGATATTTAATTTTATTATTTTATTGGAATCTAAAAATTTTGGAAAATTCTGGAGGGCCGTGCACTTTTTTATTGATGAGTCTGGATGGCAATCTATGCATACTTGCTGGTGGAATTAAGCTGTTTCTGATTCATTCACTCTGTTGACATATATATTTTTACACCCTAGATTGATTGATAAAAATGATAATTTTGCAAGATTTTTGTTAAAGATTGGTCCCTTTAGGGGGCACATGGAAGCCCCCTAACACCCCCCCCCTTCTTTTTTCTTTCTAAATATTAAGGTTTATTTATTATTTATTTATTTTTTGACATTTTAATGGGATTATTTGGTTTTTTTATTTTTATTTTTAACTGTTTCTTTATAAAACTTTATCATGTCAAAAGTGTTAATGTGCATGCACACTCGGGCTATCAATATGATACCAGTATGAAAATAAGTTTTTGACCAAGGACCATAGCTATACTTGTTATTTCATTGCTGTACTCTGTTATTTATTTGTCATGCCACATGAAGACATCTATTTATCTTCTTAAATTGACAAGATCTGAAAATAAAAAGTTAGCTTCCCGTACTTGGAAATAAGCTAATTAATTGTAACATGAGAGAGAGAGATTGTTGTTTGTGGATCGTAAGATGATCAACAATGAAGATGGAGACCATGGATTCCTACAAAAAGTGTGGGAGATACGAGACTCTTGTAACATATCAATATTGGTGTGGATCAACCCATCTAATAATACTATTGTATAATATGCCTATCCTATTGAGTGGGAATGAATTGCATGTGGTCAGGCTGATGCCCATTGTTACAATCCGGTTAAAAACAGTAAAGAACATCGGTCGATGATGGTGGTGTCGGGCCTATTAGAGCACCCCCATAATCCACTACCGAGCACATGCAGTCCCCCCGCCCACATGCACCGGGCAATTACCGGGAAAATTCCTTGGGGGTGCCGTCACAGCTTGTCCCGACTCCCCGCACCGTTAGATACCCTCTCTTGGGAGTTGGGACCCAACAACCTCACTGGCCTAACCTGCATGGGCTTGTGCACGCTCCCCCATTCCGGTTGGGGATCAGCTCTGATACCATTTGTTACGATCCATCTCGCACCCTGCAGATATTGTCCGCTTTGCACACTCCTCTCGGTGTTCATGTTTTTGCTCAAAACATATCTACAGGGTTAAGGGGGGTAAAGGTAATGTGTTAGCTGAACCTATTTTAATAATTAAAGGCCTTATAAGATGCTGTCACGAAACATAATTAATGTGCATAAAATGTCTTTTTGATTTAAAAGGACTTCTAAAACATGTCATCTCCTAACATTCTTTTCTTTTGAATTCCTTTTAATGAAGTTCTTCCTCGAAATGCCTTCCTAGTGGAAGACTTTTTGGCAAGCTCCCCCAACTGCTATTGAGACATCTCAAAATGTTTATACACAACTGCTGACAAAGGAATTATGATAATAGAAGCATCTTGTTTAATTTATGGCATATCTGAACTATGAGTTCATATACGTTTAAGATTCTCAATTTGATTCATATGGCCTTGTGTTTCACACAATACTACGCGCTTTCATCCATGTGCCTCTTAGATCTATAAGGGAAAATTAGGTTTATTAAGTTATGGATTGAATAATATTTGATGAGCCAGTCGAGGTTATCTTGTTGAATTTATTTGATTGTTTTTATTTTTTTACAGTGTGTCTGCGATTGGGATGATCGAGATAAGATGTTTATTGAAGTTGAAGGGATACTTCGGAGGCAGATTAAGGTTCTATCTGATGTTCTTGGATTTTTTTCTCCTTATATATTGTGTGGAACCATATTTTGTGATTCTGGTTGATCTCTACAGCCAAAATTTAATGACTGACAGCAGTTATGTTTTCCAGATGTCGGTTATTCCAAGCGTGCAACCTTTCCATGCAATAGCTTATCCTCTTGATCCGCTGCTTGCACTGGATATCAGGTTTGATGTCTAACTTTTGTGTATGTGACTTTAAAACTGACTTTCTGTATTACATACTAACTGATCTCCTTGCTATTGTAGTCGCAAATATGCTGCACACTGTTCTGTGGTTGCAATGCGTTATTCGCTTCCTACTTTCAACCATCCTTCACCCTTACCCATAAAGGGTGGGGGTAGGAATGGCCGATTAAGGGTTGGGTAGGTTTTCTAGTGCAGATATTCTTTTCTTCTCTTTTTTTTTTGCCTAGGAGAAATTAAAAAATGAAAATCTTTTGCCTAATTGAACATTGCTCCTGGTTTCAGATATGTGAGCAGTGATTTTGGTAACCATCCCTTGTCACATCTTATGGGCTCAGTATTTGGCATGCATGATAGGGAAAATGTTGAGGTTTGGTCAATTTATTATAATTATTAATTTATTTATAAATAAAAAAAATTCCAATCCTTTACACATCTTTTTTTCACTCAAAAATTTATAATATGTGTATTAGGTGTTTTGTTATGCTTTAAGTCCAAATGATGGGACTGAATGGAGGCTGCGGATCCAGTCGGAAGCGGAGCACTTTATAGATGTGTCTTCCATGTCGTCTGATATGATTGCAAGGTTGATTAATGAGAATCAGATACAAATCCTTGTAAACCTTAATGGTTATACCAAGGTACTTTATTATGGTCTAATGTTCAATTGTGTTATCCTGAATCTTCTAAAAGTTATTCAAGTGGGTTGTCTGTTATTATAAGTTCTTCTCATTACAGATTCTGCATTATCTGAGGTTTCTGTTCTGCCTCTTTTTTTTGGCAGTTTTGTTTAATTTGATGATTTATATTTCTGCCATTTAAACTTTTGGAACTGTTTCGCTTATTGTGCAGGGGGCCAGAAACGAAATATTTGCCATGCAGCCTGCTCCCATCCAGGTTTCATACATGGGCTTTCCTGGAACCACTGGGGCAACTTACATTAATTATTTGGTCACTGATGAGGTTTGACATCAAAGTTTGTAATCTTCTAATCCTGGTTGTATATATTATATTTGTCTTAATTACTAATTTATTATTTATTTGGTGGCAGTTTGTCTCACCTAAGTTGTTCTCTCACATTTATTCCGAGAAGCTTGTACATCTTCCCCATTGTTACTTTGTAAATGATTACAAGCAGGTTAATATCTAGGTGCTCAAATTTGAGTAATGTTGCTTCTAATACTATTCTATCATATTTCAAATTAATTGTCTTCCCATACAACCATTGTTATTAGAAAAACCGGGATGTGTTGGATTCAAACTTCCAACCCAAGCGTTCAGATTACGGATTGCCAGAGGACAAATTTATATTTGCTTGTTTCAATCAGCTGTACAAGATGGACCCTGAAATTTTTATAACTTGGTAATGTCTGTGTGGTTTCTGATATTTTGTGGTTTCTAAAATGTTTCATTTATACTAAATAGTGCTGTACTTGGTTCCAGGTGTAACATACTCAAGCAGGTCCCTAATAGTGCACTTTGGCTTCTTAGATTTCCAGTTGCAGGCGAGATGAGACTACGGGCATGTACGTAATATGTTCTAGTAATATTTCTTAGAATTATCAGAAAACAACAATTTCTTTTGCGTTGCTAATTATGAAGCATGCTTATGATGCTCTATCAGTTATATATATATATATATATATATATACATATATATATATGTATGTATGAATGTGTGTAAGAACTTATTTATAAAATTGATTTTTAAAATTTTTTTTTTCCCATCCAGATGCCGCTGCACAGGGTGTGCAACCGGACCAAATTATCTTCACTGATGTTGCCATGAAAAATGAACATATCAGACGCAGTTCTCTTGCAGATCTATTCCTCGACACGTATATATACACAAAATTTTATTTCTTATTTCGTATATTATTTAACATGCAGTTTATTTGCTTCTATAATGTGCAATTATATCCATCATTACAAGCTTAGTAAAGTTTGGTATTTGTCTGAGTAGGCCGTTATGCAATGCCCATACAACGGGAACTGATATCCTTTGGGCTGGTCTGCCGATGGTGACACTTCCCCTAGAGAAAATGGCGACTAGGGTTGCCGGTTCACTTTGTCTAGCCACTGGAATTGGGGAGGAGATGATTGTCAGCAGGTAGGTATTTTGGTGCTATATCTATGAAAATGCTTTGTTAAATTTGCCAATTTACTTTTTACTGGCAACCGAAAGAAAAAAAATCCTTTTACTGATAATAATTGAGTGGCGGTTCAAAACATTAAAATGTTCTATCATATTGCATGCTTTTTTGGGGGAGTCTGGTGTTCATCTTATTACTTTTATATAGAAAGTTAAAAGACCCAATTAAGTGACTGCCATTTGACATGGTCAAAAGGTTGGACCAATGTTACTTATCACAGATAAATAAATAAGTAAAAGTTGGAGATTGTTTATAGTTGGGAGAGTATGCGGATGAGGGCACTGAAAGATGAGGCTTTGTCCAACTGACCTGCCATGTGGGGTTCTTTATCAGTTATGGTTTGGATTGGTAGCGCACTCCCTCATCATTGCATTGCAGCAAGGAAAACTGTCCTCTGCACCGAACACTGTTCCACTCCCATCTTTATGCAATCACAATAACAAGTCTATGTGTGCACATGTGCTAGTGCATGGTGTAGAAACTATTCTTTAAGGGCCTGTTTGTTAGCCGTTTCCATTTTGGGTTTCTGTTTTCATCCAAAATAGAAACGTCGTTTTTTTCGATAGTGTTCAATAATGATTGGAAGCATGTTTGATAACGTAAAATTTGTTGCAAGATTTTTGGAAACAAAAACTTGTAAACGGTAAAAATTGAAAAAAGTAAAAAAAAAATAAATAAATAAAAGGCCACCTAGAAGGTTTTTTCCTTTTTTTTTTTTTTTTTTCTTTTCTTTTCTTTTTTTCTCCTTTCCTTTTTTTGGATACTGTTCATCGCTACAGTGCAAACAATAAGGGAACACCAATTTGGTGCTCCAATTTGTCTCTTTTTGGCAACAAACGCGGTATTATTCAACTCTCAACAAGAGTTGCCAAATGCATTTCGATGTTTTACTTTAGCACACCACCCACAACACAAAATATGAAACAAAAATGGTTGGCAAACAGGCCCTAGGAGTAAAATTGCCTTTGGATATTTTTGCATACTCAGCTTAGAAACATGAGTATTTTAGCTCTGCTTTGGTGTTGATAATTGCTAACTTGATTTATCTGGCACTGTGAAGCATGAAAGAGTATGAAGACAAAGCAGTGACATTGGCACTGAATCGACCGAAGCTCCATGATCTTTCCGAAAGACTCAAGGCTGCTCGCATGACTTGCCCTCTATTCGATACAGCTCGATGGGTGAGTTAATTGAGTTTTTAAAATTAATTTTGTGATTTTGTTTGTTTTTTCTTCTCTCTTCCGGTTTTTTTTTTTTTTTTTTTTTTTAACACCACTTCCTTTCTTATATGGATGTGGTCTCTTTATGTTTGGAGGGATCAGAATTGACATCTCCTAATGGAGACTTACTTCAGTCTACTGACTTTGATATCTCCTGGCCACATGTATTCAGGTGAGGAATCTCGAGCGAGCGTATTTCAAGATGTGGAACCTGTACTGCTCTGGCCAAAACCCTCAGCATTTCAAAGTGAAGGAGAATGATTCCGAATTTCCATATGATCGATAGAGCTGAGTGAGGGGATGGATAGATGGGATTGTAGGTAAAGCAAAGAGAAAATATAAAGCTAATATTTTTGAAGTGCAGCTTTTGTTGGTCGCTGCTGAATGATGGATCAAAGGTGTTTGTATACCTAAATGTCAGTCTGGGGAGTATCAAAAACATTTATTTACATGTGGTGTTCGGCGTTTAATCTATTTAACTTTGAAGTAATAGAGAATGTAGTTTGTGATGATTCTTCTGTCAACTTGTTGAATTTTCCTTTTTATATGCTAGTAGGTGGCCTGTTCCACTGCGATTGAAGCATGAACATGCCGGGTGACTAGGTTGTTGATCTGCCCCATTGCAACTGCCGTATAAAAGCTTTTTACATTCTCTTCATGTGTGTGCGTATTTTTGAACAAATTGAAAATCTCCAATTTTTCGTTAATAGTTGAAACTAATTTGGGGTTATTTGTCAAGAACGCCTCTAAATGTCTTACTTTAATCATTATTATTATTTTTAGTATCCCTCCCTTGATGGTTAAAAAAGCCGCCACCTTTTTTTTTTTTTTTTTTCCCATTTAATAGTTAAAGTACGTTTACAAGTGTTGAGTACTTCTACAAAAACATATCCTTTAAAACCTGTCGTTATGCCTAAGTCACAAACTGAATACACAAAGAACCAGAAAAAAAAAAAAAAAAAAAAAAAAAAAAAAAAGAATTGATTGAATTTTTTTTTTTCTATTATAAAAGAAGCAGTGTCTATAAATTGAAGAATTTCTCTGTGGGATGATATATAACCAACCTAGGACACGCATGATCCAAGTCCAAACAATGAAAGTGGCCGAAATTTTTGAACAAACCACCTCGAATTTCTTTGGCCATAAAATACCATTTCATTCTATTGTTTGGTTGTAAATATAATATGAAATATGTTGGAATGAACTAATGTAAAATTTAGAAAATAATGAATTTCAAATTAAATTATTCAAAATATATCTATAAGTGATGGCGTTGGTTGATGGTGGTGGAGGTGGAGGTTGAAAGCTAGCAGGGTGTTGGTTGAAGGCAGTGGTGGTAGTGACGAAGGCGTTGGTGGTAATAGTGAAAGACGATTGTGGTATAGGTGATGATGGTGGAAGACCGTGGCGGTGACAGTGGTGTAGTGGTCGTGGAAGACGACAGTGGTGTTGAAGTATTCTAATTAGTTGATAATATTAGTATTTGTTAACAATTTTGTGAAAAATTCCAGTGAAGAGTTTCATTAAATGTCAAGTAGATCTTATTGTTGTGAGAATTCTTAATTCATAAGTTGTAGGGAGGGATTTATGTCACAACAAATAGAGACTAAAGCAAGTGTTGGATAACTCCTCAACTTGGAGTTCCACTTGAAGAAGTAGTGTAGACACCCCATTTTGCCCCTACCCATTTGTAGGGGTATTACGGTAAAACTAGTATGGCCAAGTTAGGAAAATCAGAAAATTCCACCACCAGATCATAAAATAGATGCCACCATTGGATCCGGAACGTCCCAAAACCTTAAGGTACACTAGTCAAGTTCGTAATGCGACTCATAACACTCAATCAAGGAAGGGGTAAAAGCGTAATTTTGCACCCCTTAACCCGTTCAAGTTTAATTAAAAGTTGAAAGTGGTCCAATTTAATCTCTAAATAAAAAATGGACCCTGTCATTGTGTCCAAAATGCGTCAAAATCTTAGTGTTGAAAAATCGTTAATAAATATTAAATGAAGAAAATAATAATAAAATAATAAATAACATAAAAATTAAAACTAAGTAAATAAATAAATATTAACTTTTGTTAATTGAAAGCAACAGATCGTGATTGATCATCATGGCAACGAACAAAAGCTATAAATGTATATATATTTATATGACAGTAATAAAAAGATAAAGAAAAATATAATAAAAAAATAATATTGCATTGTTTGCCCTGGACAATCTTTTGGCAAGCATGTAATGGTTATGGTCCGGCCAAACATGGCTTACGACCCCACCTTTTATATATTATACTTATATAATATACTAAATAAAGAAACAAATAAAAGTAAAAGATATGAGAATATATATATATATATATATCTATATATATATATATTTATTTATTTATTTATTGATCCATTCATTCCATTAAGGCATGACCCATATGTAATAAAATAAAAATAAATAAATAAAATAATAAAATAAAAACAAATAAAAAGAAAAAGAGGAAAATACATGTAATAAATATTCTACAATATAGATCAACCCCGGACCGCATATAATAAGGAAAATAAAAGAATAATAAAACATTATATAATAATAATAATTAAATTGCATCTAGCATCATGAATCAATTAATTAGTTACAGGTGGTTTGTTGCATCAGACCACCAACCTAACAAAAGATTAAAAAGAAAAAAAGACGGATAAAGATAATAGCAAATAATATATATATACCATATCACAATGTCAATTACACTTATAGTAAATAATTATATATGTCAACCAAGTAATCAATTCACCACTACTGATTACAAGGTTTCCTGGTATAACCTATCATTACATGGTTACCTCATACCGAGTTACTAGTAAAGCAAATATAAAATCAATATTAATAAAATGAAAAAAGAAAGACGAAAGGAAATAAATTGCTAGTTGTATCGGAGGTTTGGCTTGGAGGCTCCATTATTTCTTCCTTTTTTTAATTATATCCAAGATTCGTGACAATATTCAATATCATTATAATAAATCACCTTCCAAGTGGTATCCAAGATTTGCGATCATATTCAACATTATCAAAAATAATTGCTTGTTGGCCAAGCACAATAGTCATATAAATACTCCCTCTATACCAATGAAAATGGGGGAAGAAAGAGCACACCAAGATCCACCCATTTATCAGAGAGACATTAATCTACCCATCCACTAATACACGAAAAAAAATCCTAGCAACTACAAAAAGCCATACCTCCTTTTCTACACTAGTAATCCTCCAACAACCACAAACACATAAGACACCAATGATCTACTACACTCCAATTATCAGTACCCACAAATCCTATCTCATAGTTGGATACAATATAGGAGCTAGGAATCTATATCAATTATCCAACATTCAGAGAGGAGTCGAAGCTCTACCCAACAATTTCATTCAAATAAAAGAAGTACAAAAGGTATATTTCGGGATTCATTTATTTGTAGTTCTTGAATCTTAAGGGTTATCAAATAAATGCTATTCAAAAGTTATAGTTCATGTCAAATTATGCCTCAAGGATCCTTTTCTTAATTAAAAGATCCTTTTTTTAATTCGAAAAATCTATTTTTTTACTCACTGTAGTTTTCTTAAAAACTACCTCTATGAAATACAATCTGTTTTCACTCATTTCTTGTTTCCCTAAAAACTACCTCTATGATATAAAATATGTTTTCTATAATTTGGTTTTCTTGAAAACCATCTTTTATGAAATAAAATCTGTTTTCGTAAATGCTGCCTCAATGAAATAAAACATGTTTTTGTTTATATGGGTTTTCTTAAAAACCATCTATATAAAATAAAAATCAGTTTTTACTCACTTTATTATTATTTCTATTACTAATAATATTACTTTTGCACCATTTTAGTTTTATATTATTATTTTCTTGAAAGTGTAAAACCATGATCACACTAAAAATTATAGTTTGTGTTATACACATGTGGCTTTCTTGGAAATCATGTCACTTTATTCCAGGCTTTTCTCTTATATTAATTAAGCCAAAGGTTGGATTTTTTTTTTGAAAGTTCCAAAGGTTGGATTTTCCATAGCTATCTATGTTATTTTAGTTCCATGAATCTTCTAGGAACACCTTTTCAGATAAAGATCGACTCTCTTGCAAGAATAAAACTAGCATCTTTTGAAATAATATTATTAAAATCATGTTTTTATTTAGCAATCATATATATTTGTAAAAAATATAATTTTTAAAATAAAAGTTTACTAAAATTATATATTTTTCAAAATAGTAATATTTTCTAACAGACTAATTCTTAGAAGATAGTTTTCCTAAAAATTATTCTCTTAAAATTAAGCTTTCCTAAAAGCTCGTAAAGCTTTCTCTTAGAAGCAATTTTAATACACTAATTCTCTTGGAAATATATATATATACTTTCTTAAATTGCAAATAGCAATAGCCACTCCGTCGCATTAAACCCATTTTCTGACCCATAAGTGTTTAGTATATCCCTTAGGGAAAATCCGGGAGCGACAAGCAGGGGTCGCAGTAGCTGCGGAATAGTGGTTGAAGGTCAGCACGAACACGTCTAAGTCTGGAACTGTCGTGTACCTAAAAAAATAGAAGTGGGTCAGGCCCACGCGCAAGTTCTATACCACTACAATCGCCCGATACGCATGTACATCCTAACCAATTCAACAATACCTAAATAGTTCGTAGATATATATATATATATATATATATATATATATATATATATTCACATTATATGACTCTCACTGGATTACAGGCCCGTCTCAACCTGACTAGTAGGCACCATGTAAAACGCACCAGGGGTGGGTATGACTACATAGACCTAACAGGGTACACATCCAACCATCATAGCCAGCTATGCATCCCAATGCATATATGCTCCTTAACCAATGACTCCAAAGTGTCACTCATCTATTTAGTGATCTGACACAAAGTACAGGTAGGACTTAACCTTTGTAGTTAATCCATTCCTTAATCCAGAGTAGGTAGGACTTAGCGTTTTTGACATAATCCCCCTAGTATGTCACCGTCCCATACCGGTGCATACAATCCATCCACCCAGTGTTGATAATATAAATGACAGTAAACATTTCAATATCAACATATCCAATATAAGCATAACAAGAATATATGAATAGCATGCTTGTTCTATACTACTAGTATGTGATTCTCTACAATTTAAGACGCAGAGAAAATAAATAACAGAATTAATATGCTTACTTGTAACCACTTCAAAACATCCCATAAGTTAATACAAACAATTCTTTGTGAACATCAACTAGTTTCTTATTAAGTATTAACTGAATTCATGTTAGTTGATATGCTTAATCTCCTATCACTGTTACATGATTTAAATATCAAACCCCTAATTCAATTGCTAATTTAAAATTAAACAACTTGAATCATCCACAACAAAGTTAAACTTGAAAACTTCTCTAAGGGTTAGACTGTGACCCTATTTTAGCTTCCTATGGTATCTTATGAATTACCATGCCTTCTGCTCATTTAACAAGGGTTTATACCTTACTGAATAACTCTAGAATAACTCTTGAATCAGCCTGGGACCTTAAAAATTCAACCACGGTAGCCCAGGTTCACAGAAAAGTCGAAAAAACTGGAAACCGTTGAAGGAGCCGGCTCCACATATGGTGGAGACGCCTCCAATTGTGGTGGAGCCGCCTCCACTAATCCTAGAGCCGGTTCCACTCATGGTGGAGTCGCCTCCACTCTTGGTTGAGCTTGCTCTTCTCAAACTAGAGTAGGCTCCACCCCTGTTGCGTGATTTTCTCCAACTCCAGCGATGTCCGGCAACTTTGTTCCTCCAAGCCAAGTTTATGACTGATTAAAACTAAGTCTTAGGGTGTTCCAGAGTTAATTAAGTTCATTACTTATTAATCAAATTCAATCGGAATAAGAATCAAGCAAAACAGTTTAATAACAAACAGATTACACATACAGTTTTAAAACCAATTCACGTGGAAACTAAGTTAAACCAAATTAATTTAAGTTTAGTTCATCCTGGGATTGAATTAGAGATGTAAAGAACACAAGCCAAAGAGATAGAGTTAGATATAAAACTTGTCTTACACTGAAGTCGTTCTAAAATTCTCCGGTGAACTATGTGTTTTCTCCTCCAGTTTCTCTCTGCCTCCACAACCGTAAACAAGGTTCTAAAACCTTAGACAGCATAACATTAGTATATTTATAGGCCACCCTAATCCTAGGCTCTCTCTTAAACCCTAGTTTGATTTACTCAGCCCATAGAGAAATCTAGGTTATTATCGATGTCGGTTATATACTGTGTAACCTATATATTCAACCAATCCTACAGTTACATTAAAACTAATTCAATTTAATTAAATAAATTCAGACCATCAAGCAATAATTAAAAAAAAAATTAAAACAAAACAATTAAATAACAATTAAACAATTAAATAAATTAACTACAACTAAATAAATTAAATAAACACATATATACACTTAAACAATTAAAATTGAAATTTAAACAATAAAGAAAATATCATGACTATCCTTTGTAAAATTAGGGGTATTACAGTGGAAATGGCGGTGGTGGTATGGTGGTGGTGGAAGGTAGTGGAGGCAACGACGATGTGATGGTGTGGAAGGCAACTACAATGGTGGTGGTTGCTGTGATGGTGAAGGTGGCTGTGGCGGCGGCAATGACAGTGGTTGAGGGTGGTAGTAACGGAAGGCAGTGGCATTGGTGGAAGTCGGTGGTGGCGGTGGCCATGATGGATGTAAAGGTGGCGGTGGCTAAAGGCAGCGGAGGTGGCGGTGGTGTGGTGGTTAAAGGTGGCAATAATGGTAGCGGTGGCAGTGGCAGTGACAGTGGTGGAAGGTAATAGAGGTGGTGTGATGGTGAAAGTCGGCAGTGATTGTGGTGGAAATCCGTAGTTTTTGGACTTTAAAAATATTATTTGTTGGGAATGGAATAGACATCCTATTAATGGTTGGGAATGGAATAAACATTCTATTGGTTTAGTTGTGGTGGTTGGGAATGAAATAGACATTTTATTGGTTTAGTGGTGGAATGATTTTTTATTTTTAAGATTTTTACTGGAATAATTATTACCACTTTAAATTTAGTATACTAAATAATGGAATGAAATGGATTTTGTCATATTCTGTTTCATTTCCATTCTGTTTCATTTCCATTTATTTATATAAAATATATATGGCATCTACTAAGTTTTAAGAAGTTACGCAGAAGAAAGAACTTTATAACTTGGTTCGAAAATGAACTCACACATCCTTATATATAGACACAATAAATGACTACACAATATCCTTATATAAATGACTGTACAATTGTTTATAGAATAAAGTTTTAGAATCCTCAAAAAACCTCAAAAAAAAAAAAAAAAAAAAAAAAAAAAATTCTATACAAGGCTAAATAATCTACACTAGCTTATACATGTACAGAGGACTCTATACAAGCCTAGAAATTTAGAAGTGTTTTGCAATTGTGTATAGAAATCTAGAATTTCTTATCCATGCAAGCTGCCTATATGTGGGGGCTGACACTTAAATTTTGAACAGTGCCTCTGTTTTACTACACAATTGCCCTTTGAACTATAATTGGTTTGACATGTTAAAGTAACGCAACGAAATGAAAATAAATTGCAACAACGAAATGAAAATAAATTGCAACTATTTGAAAAGATATTAATATCTGAACTAATATACATTTTTTTAAAATGGGTTTTATGGTCTTAAGAAATTGCCACTCAAATTAAGGACTAACTTTTTACTTTTGTTAAGGTAATTCAGGTTATACAAATAAAGACATAATAATTAAAAGGATAGAAAACCCATCTCAAATGACAATTTTGAGAGAAGGGCAAGGAGATCATGGGGAAGATGGGGAAGAAGGGTGTGATGCAGGCATTATTAAACTTTATCATCTTCACTTTCACAGTTAGGATTTGCCTACTACTAGCATGGACCCATAATAGGACCAGAGGGAGGATGCCACCATTGTATTTTTTATTTTTGAATTTTATATTTTAAATGTTTAAAAATTTATGAATATGCTCCCACTAGAATTTTTTTTTTTTTTTGCAATTTATACTTAATTTTTTAAAATGAACTCACTATTTAAATTTACCCCCACAAATTAAAAGTCCGTTCCCCTCACAAAATTTCTGTCATTGCCTACTATTAGTCAATCTATATTGACTAACAGGTTTATTTTTGACTTCTAATTGTTGAATTGAGATTTTTCACATTTAAAAAAAAAACTGTCAGTGAGATAACTTTCTTGATAACATATATATATATATATATATATATATATATATATATATATATTTGAATTCTCACATATGCTTAGATACTTACTTTGTTTATATGAAAACTTAAATCCTATTATTGAATTAACAATCTAATCCAAGTGACCTTGTCGATTGTGGCTTGATTAGGTTGTGACTTTTCTTTGGTATAAAATAAAGATAAATAAATAAACAACCTAACAGGGTAGGACAAGTTCAAATTGTGTGAGTTGTGTTAGAAAAAGAGAGAATTTAACAAAATAACAATGAGATAAAAACAGTAGTTAACTAAATTTTGGTTAAATTTAAATCAAATAATTGAATAATTAATAAAAGATAATGAATATGTACATTATGAAAAGTTGGAATGGGATCACACGCGTGCCAAAAGAGCATCTTTTGGTTGGGTTGGAGTTTCGGCTGTAATGGTGGGAAGTATTTAAAACATCTCGGAACCACAACAAGTACATTACATTACATAATTTTCCGCAAAATAAATTGTAATTTAGTCGGTAATTACGATAAATTCATATAATATTTCTTTATTTAAAAAAAAAAAAAAATCTAATACTAATCTTTAAATCAAAGGAAAATTTTAAGCCGATTTTAACTTCGAAGGTCCAAGTTGAAATCGGCTTGAAAGCAAGACTCTGTGAAAAAAGAAGTATTTAAATAATTGATAATGGACGTACGATTGGGAGAGAGTGGAGATATGGATTCCGTAGGAATTGAAAAAAATTTCTTTATGACTCTTCTTTTTAACTAATAAATTTAAATTTTTTTTTAAATTTTTACAAATTAAAAAAAAAAAAAAAAACTGATTTTCTGATACTAGCTCTATTAAAAATATTACTTTATTATTATTATTATTATTTTGTTTTTGTTTCTTTCCTCGTATCAAGCCAAGCATATTTTTTTTTTCTTTCTTTTACTTGAATTTATTCAAAATTTATTTTATTTTATTTTTTAAAAAACAACATATTACATGCCTGCCCGCATAAACGTGGTTACAAACTCTCAAAAACAGAAAATAAAAGTGAAAATAAATCAACTGCCAAAATTGTTATCGCCAGACTTATCCTACTTAGTTGCTACTTGCCGTTGAAGGAGCGAAGTCGATCAACTTCTTGGATTGGACCCAAGGTTTCACCACCACCACTGCGTCAAACGTCCTCGGAGCACCACCGCTCTGCCTGGCGTCCGCAGCCGCCGCCACCTTCAGATAGTATTTGATCCCCGAAACCACCTGTCTCTCGGCCTCCACCACCTCCATGAACCTCAGATCTTCGCCGCCGCCGTTGCTCCGCCTCCGGCTTCGGTTGTACTCCTTCACCGAGTACCTCCCCAGCTCCTGTACCTCTCGGTTCCCCTTCACGTCCTCGATCTTCGTCCTCACCCCCACCAATCCTCTCAGACCTCTCACCGGCGTCGAACAATACGCCAAGACCAAGAGGATTGCGAGAAAGGTGATTGTGGCCTTCGTTAGCTTCGCCGACGGTGAGTGTTTCGCCATTTCTGATTGATAATTATCTAATTCTGTGTGTGTGGGATAGTGCGTAGATATGTATATATAGATATATATGTATGTATGTATAGATGTAGAGATATAGATTTTGTTATATTTGTTGGTGGAAGGGATGAGAATGGGGAAGGGATATAAATAGGGGAGAGGAGAGAGAAAGGCTGGTGTTTGGACACGTGAATTGGGAGAGCTGGCATCGCGAACGGTGTGCCGCGTCTTTCAATTACGGAGGAAAACGACGACGAAGTTAGAGAGAGAAAGAGTGCGCGGTCCATTCTCCTTTTGCAGAAATCTGATCGCTGCTGTTTCTTTTCTTTTACGTTTTTACCCCTTTAAGCTTGATTTATTACGCCTTTAGTGGCCTTCATGACCTTATCAATACTTGTCTCATGCGAGTAAAATGTGGCAGTATTTTGTCGTTTCTGAATAATTGTATCCGGGACTCAGAGAGACCCGGTTTTCCTTCTGTTGGATTTTGCCAACTCTTTGACCCGATTTATATGGTCCGTTAATTAACATTAGGAATGGAGTCAAATTTATTGCTGATTTAGTCAATCTCAACTCTAATCTGAAATTCATTCTTGAGTTTAAGGTGGAGCTTGAGATTAAGATTATTAAAAATATAAAATAACTATATATTCAAACACTCTTTAAAAAAAAAAAAAAAGTCACCAACTTTTTGATTTTGATCAAAATTTACAAATGGTTTTTCATGAATATGCTCACAAGTTTAATAAACTAAATTATAAATTGTTCGAGTTCGACTTGTTTGTTTAATGAAATTAAACAAATTGATAAATTATTTATTAACATGTTCACAAGTCTAATTAATCTAATTATAAATTATTCAAGTTTGGCTTAGTTGTCGAACTAACTTAAAAAGAAAATTCAAGTTCAATTTATTTGTAAATGATTCAATTCAGTTGCAATCTTAAAAAAATATTGTGTTGAAGAAAAATGAGTAAAAAATAAACTCAGTCATTGAGCTCCTAAATAAGAAACATAGATTATAAGAAAAATTAGACAATTATATATTTCTTTTTCACAAAATAAACAATTATATATTTCTTTTTCACAAAATAAACAATTATATAAGAATCAAATAAGAGAGACAAAAAATAATAATAAACTTTATTTTTCACTTGAAACAATTATATATTTAATTTACCTTTACCTTTCAAAAAAAAAAAAAATAATAATAATAATAATAAAAACAAAATCAAGCTTACAAATGAGGTAATACAGTTGTATATTCAAGTACTCTCCAACCTTCTAGGGTAAACCCGAGTCACCCGACCAATGAAAAACATTTGGATATATCATCATAAAATCCTAGCATAAAAATGGGCTGTGGATGTAAAAACCACCATTTTCTGTGATGAGGCTATATATATATATATATATATATATTTCCTCCTGTAAAGTTGATGAGGCCACATTGGTCATAACAATATCAAGAATTATTGTCTCAATGCATGACAGTGCTGATATATATACATAAACAAAGTGTCACACATAAGAGATTGGGCCAAAACAGATATGGGTTCACTGTCCCTGAATCAGCGGGTCACAGCTCGCAGGTCCCCGGTATCCGTGACACATAAGACTAACACACGTCCTTGTCATCTCTCCATCCTTTTCCTATCATCAACAAATGTTATGCAGACAGGATAAGGTAAATTGTTGTTATTGAAAGTTGAAACTTTGAATGTATTGATGGTATATACAGTGGCATGTTGATATTGAAGTTATAAAAATTATGGTTAATTTTACTCACCTCTACGTAGATTTAGCTAAATATCAGTTTCAGCTTTTCTGTCACTGTCCCAGTTAAAAATATGAGAAAAGATAATTTTATTCTTAATTTTTTAATGACATTTATATCAAAATATCATATAACCTAAATGACTATTATACCCATACTATTTCTCTCTCCTCTATCTCTATCTTCTCTTTCCTCTATCTCCATCTGAAGGGGACGGTTCTGTTTTGAACATGTTTATATTGGCGGTGCAAACTTGTGGAGAGTATGAGTCAATTCAGACGGTGAGCTCTAACAGACCAAACCGGCGAGCTTCATTCCAATCATTGTATCACGTGAAATAAAAACCCCACTCCGGCGAGCTTCGGTCCATTCCGATGAGCATTATAGGTGGCCAAAATAGCTACATTCAGATGATCCGTCGAATGGGCCTAGGGTTGGTGTGGTTGTGTATCGTTTTGCGAGGAAGAAGGGGAAGAGTTTGAATGGTGTGGTCAGATAACAGTGACTGTGACTGAGGATGGTGATATGTGTTTGAATGGTGTTTGTATTCCACGAAAATTTTGTTTTCCCAAATTAAAGGCGCAATCCACAGTTTTTCAATGATTCAGACATTCTCTTAGATTTTATTTTTTCTGTTCTTTTCTTTAAACTCTCAACCAAGGTTATTTTATTAAAAAATTATTTTCATCATTTTAGGTTATTAAATTGGCTAAGTGTGAAAGGAAAAATCTCCCTCCAATTAGAACTGTACACGTCATTTTAATATAAATACCCATCACAAATGTCAAAGGCCCATCTTGCTCAAAACCCAATCCAAGCTCATTGACAGCCCAAAATCATAAGACACTAGCCCAAGGTCACAACCAATTGATCTCTGTAACATTGCTCAAGCCCGAAATAAGAGATCCAGCCCGTTAGTAATGTCACATGGATCGGGTTACTATGGCCCAAATCTATTGAAAGGAAATTAGTCATATTAGAAGAAGGATACAACAAAAAAAGAAACTACTACACAAGGAAAATTATACAAAGGAATGAGCTCTATTTGTAAAGAATTTCTGTAGGGAAAAAATTGGAGGATAAGCAATGCGAGTCCTACCATAATTCAACCAATCTTTTGTGTATAAATAGAGGCCAGACCTCCAATAAAAAGATCAAGCAATTCTATGCTTCTCTATATACCGTTCTTGTCTATTTTTATTGCTTTTTGAGTGAATTGTTTTATTTTTCTCAATTATTATTGGTTGGGCGAAATTTTGCACCTAAATTTTGGCGCCGTCTGTGGGAATCGTATAGAAATATATCCCTACCAGAGTTACACACTTCAAATTAAAATCTCCAAGTCCAGCAACGTGACTTGAAAAAAAAAATCTTCAAGTCCAGGATTTGAACCCAAGTCCTTTCCAACCAGACTTTTACGGCCGAACAAGACTTTTACGGCCGAAGGTCTCCATGTAACAACATCCCTTAATACGCTTTCAGACAATATTGCGTAGCAAGACTGATGAATGGAAAACTCACTTTAGTGAAGAAGATTAATGTCATTCATCACATTATCTCTCTCTGGTAAATATTGGCCAGACCACAATCAAATCACACAAAAAATATGGACCCAGAGTTTGCCTGAAAGCCCGTCACTGCCCCCTCATCATTAAATCAACGATGTTGTCGCTCGAACCAGAGATGTTTTCCGAATCGTTGTCTTCTCTGGAAGAGGCCATCAGAGCGCGATACCCACACCTCTCAGAGCATGCTCCCTTAATTCTAATGTTCACTTTATTAGCTCCATTTCAGGATGATGACACAGAATCAAGCGAAATCCAGCGGATGATCGTGATAAATGATCCAGTATCGGAGTCAACGATTGTGATTGAGGATTTAGGACATTTGGAATCATTTTTTCGACGACTGTTGAACAAAGACGAGCCCCAGTTCGGCCATTGACCAGATGCCGGAAACCTCAAATCGGAGGGCCCACCCGACACCTTCTTCCGCTTCACGGATGTCATCCTCCTCGATGACGACGTCTACATCACTGACTTCAACCTTGATATCTCCTCTCTGCTCTCCTCCGACACGACTAACCTTCTGATAACCACCGTCCATTCCAACTCATTCAATGGTCGCGACAACTCCAAGCCGGAGCCGGTGGAACCTGTCAGCAGCCACTTCAGGAGCTTGCCCATCGACGCCGACTTCTTTGACGGCCTTGATTTTAGCTTCGCTGCAGATGGCGGCGAGTCCGACAGATTTGACGAGAACCCAGTGGCGGAAAAGGGAGTGGGTGGTCGTTACAGGCACAACAACTTGACGGACGATGGTACTTCGTCGCTGGAAGAGAAGATTTTGCACTTGCCCTCTATTGATCTACTGGTTTGGGTTGCAATCTTGCACTTTCTGCCATGAAAAATGGAGGATTTCTCTATGAGAACTCACGCTTCATACGGTGATCTCACTCCATCTTTTTCCTTATTTCAATATTTTTTCCTCTTACAAATATTGCTCATGACACCTTGTTACCTGTGTTGTTTTGCGGATCTTGACTTCATCGTCTCTTGCATCTAACGACACTACCATGGCTGCTTGCATTCACCCAAATCATAATCATTTTATACACACACACACACACACATATATATATTGTTGGCCCACTTCGTGCTATTTCTTTCACTACATAAGAAAAATTTATTGATTGTACCATTGTCGCTCCAACATTTGAAAGTTACGAATTGAAAACTTCATTTTTTAAACAATTATATATGTCTATATATATATATATATATATATATATATATATATGACGAGACATATATTTTCTTTCCTTAATGGAGGGAATACTTTTATCCTATTCGATGTGGGGTACAATTTTGCTTCATATATTTCTTTCTTTTCATAAAAAGGGGGGTTATACTTGTACCCTACGATTTTACAATTTTTATGCATTTTTATGCAAAGAAAAACAAAGGCATGTTTCAATAATTGCTTGTGTTCAGAATCTCTTCTTTCATAAGTAACTTATGTGCGGCAACATTTACCATTACTATTGTCCTACATCGATTAGAAATAGAAATAATATGTAATTAATATATGCATGATTTCATACATCAAAACGCCACGAAGAGAGTCTCCGTGGAGGTTCAGCGCCGAGGAATAAAACGCTCCGGACCCAAAGTGTCCGGCTCAGCATATTTCTTCTCATGCACAGCACCGAGGAAGAAAACACTTCAGACCCTAAATGTCCAGCTCAGCATACTTCCTCTCAGGCTCAGCGCCGAGGAAGAAAACGCTCTGGACCAAAAGTGTCCAGCTAAGCATACTTCCTCTCAGGCTCAGCGCCAAGGAAGAAAACGCTCCGGACCTAAAGTGTCCGGCTCAGCATACTTC